GCAAGCACATTCTTTTTAATCTCTGCTTTAGTTGCACCTGCTCTGTACTCCACTTTATAGAATTTAGCAAGAGCTATCCAATCATCTTTCTTCATGTTTACATCAATCAATTGTTCGATACTTGGGTTATTGGTAAATTCATTAACATTAAACTCCATGGTTACACTTTAAACAAGTGAATCAACGGGCGTATCAACTGTTGGACCAAATAGTTTGAAAATCTGGGACAGGCCCCCAATATTTGTAACGTGTCAAAGGAGCAAGGCTCGTAAAAAAGAAAAAGTTAATGTATTTAAAGAGAATTAAAATATATGGTTCTTTAATTTGTATCGAAAAGAACTCCAACTACGGTGTAATGTATGGATTGAATGCAGCCCCTTTTAATAACTGAATACTTGATGATTGGAGTAAAGAAACTTAAATAAAATGTATAATTATATTTACAAACGTTTACCCCTAATAACAATGAAATAAAGCTAATCAAATAGACATACTGTACTAGGTTACTTTAAGGTTGTCACGTAACAATAACTTTAAGTGGGGAACCTTTCAGTGGATGAAATACTTGCACTATGGTTATCAGTTCATTAACAAAAAATGATATGGCATCTGCCATCAGTGTGTCAAGAATCAAATGATTCTTTCATCAAATGCTGGTTTGTTCTACACCTTTAAATTCATTATCCAATTGATAGTTCTATTGTTGAATATTATACAGTACAGTAGTTAAAATATGAAAAATATTAAGTACATATACAGTGATACACATAAAATTTACTATATTTCAACCCAGGATTACAGCAACAGTCCTTGATATATAACTCGGTTAGTGTACTTGCCAAACGTATTGAGGGATGATGGTGAAAAGTTGAGGAAGGCTCTGTGTGTTTTGTTTGCATGATGTATGTTCCCTCCTTCCGGCCTCCTTCCACCTTTTCAGATGTTCCTTGAGCAGGTTATACATCACATTCATTGTAACTATTTGGCTCGAAGTGTCAGAAATTTATGTACTTTTTATGCATCTACAGTCTCTCCTCGACTTACGACTTGGTTCCATCCCGACGACCAGGTCGTAAGTCAATTTGGTCATAAGTAAAAAGTAAAAAGTACATAAATTTCTGACACTTCAAGCCAAATAGTTACAATGAATGTGATGTATCAATGGGTATCCAACACAAGTCAAAAACCCATTTGGATTACAATGTTTACCTTTTACTGTATAACTACATATAAATTAGAAAAATATGTTACAGTAGTTATGTTAATATTGTGCCAAGACATATAAATAGTGGGTATAACAAATGATAATAAAGGAAATGCTTGTTGAAATTTGAGTGCAACGATTGAGTGGATACAATGCTGCTGTCTGTTCTAAGTGTCACTGGTTCAACCTTGGATGACTCGTGGTCCACCAAGCTGTAAATATTTACCTAACCTTACAGTTGGGGAAGTGAAGGTGGTGGTGTGTAGCGATTACACTCATGTCTCCTGGCAACGTACAGGCTCTCCTCGGGTTATGTAACACTTGGCTTCATAAATTTAACTTTACATATAAGTCCAATTGAAAATAATAAAAATTTAGGATACATAAATTTTTTATGTTACGTATAGGCTAACCCGGGTACTACCAGTGGTCATGTAGCATTGTGGGGCAGTGTTGATGACCTGGATGACCCTACAGAGGAATTTGGTTATTTTCTTTTCCTCTCCCACTTCCATGATATTGTAACATTGCCATCACTGCCATCCCTTCAAATTAGTAAGTTATCACTAGGAATTAAGGTAATGTGCTAGTACAGTATTGTAAATGTACAATTTATCATATATTATCTATTGATACATTAGTATAGTTTATTTCAGTTCAGTGCATACAAAATTATAATGTACTGTACAGTACTGTAGTTATATACTGCATGTATTAAGGTTGCATTACCTTACATTCAGTAGGCAGACTACCAGTGGTGGGCACAGCTAAACGAAAAGTTAGCTTCGCTAACAGCTAATCTGCTAACTAAAAAGTTAACTTCGCTACCGCTAAACAGCTAAAAAAATTAGCGGAAGCTAACGCTAACCGCTAACTTTTATTACATGAATTTAGCTTCGGTTTGTTTGTTTGTTTTTGGCTCTAAAACCCTTAAAAACAGACCTAGAGCTGAAATTTTCATATGTTGTCTTGTAGCTTAGACATAAAGCTTTTCAAAAAGGTATAGCATGCCAAGATCAGATGATGATCAAGGTGTACACAAATAATTAAATGAACAAATGAAATTAAACATTAGTTTACATTCAAGTTTCAACATACCAGGTACACTTTATAATCTTTATTTACTGTACGAAAAGACAGAAAGTATTAAACGAATCCAAAAACTATAGTACTGTATAGCATAGGTAGCAAATAGCATCATGCCAAGATCAGATGATGATCAACTTATCAAGGTGTACACTATACACAATTTCACAAATAAATAATTTGCATTCTCATACAACCTATCGGCCTTATTCATTATTCATGTAAATATGCAATACCAACCACATACACATTATACCAGTGCATTTTTATATAACTTATTGTTGGTCTTAGTAATGGAAATAAACAGAATGCTCTAAACTTTAAGAAAAGTAAGTTTTTAGAAAATTTTTTTGGGCGCACACCTTGGATGACATCCTGGTTATTAACTTATGCAGTACTTAGCATAACCAAATATATTGACACAAAAAAATACTAAATAAATTAACAAATAAATGAGAAATGAAATTATACGTCGACAAATCATATCTTGTCACGTTTACACGTACTAACACGCAGTCAGCCAAGCGTGCCTGACTGGCTGTTGGAGACACGCATCGCGGCGTCACACGCTTACAACAGACAGGAACAAACATGTATAAATTTTGTTAGCGGAACTAAATTTAGCGGAAGCTAATTGGTCCGTTAATGGTTTCCAAAGTTAGCGAAAACGCTAATCCGCTAACGAGAAAGTTAGCTTCACTAATTAGCGGTTAGCGGAACCGTGCCCACCACTGTAGACTACCCATTTAAGCGTAACCGAGTAAAATTCTATTTACATAAAATTCAAATTACTGTACATGATTGTTCCAGAATCGTACCTCTTAAATTGTACATATAAGAATACTGCATTCACACTGCCCTTAATAGAGTCATTCCTATGGGGCCCACAATCACTGTTTTTTGTTGAAATTATTGCTAACAATCAGTTGATACCTATTTAGAAGTTAAGTGTAGTCTGGGGAATTAATATTGTGATCATTATCATTTGGCTTGGGTTGGATGGATCACAATTATGGAGGGATTTTCAAAGCTTCAAGCTTTGCAGCTTCTGATCTCACAGTCTACTTCAAATTTGTTTTGATTCAACCTGCATTAGGAAGTTGACTACTGTCAATTATTTTCTATTGGCCTGTACCATGAAATAATAGTTATGTACAGCTGGGTTTTTCTTTTGAATGAAACATCTTGCAAAATATTTTTTACAATATAACGGTCTTCTTCCACTTTGTGAAGGATGTAACAATGAGGCTGTAAGGATCATTCTAGAGTAATATGAAAAGTGAAACATTGTGAAAGTGATAGGTAATAGTATAACATTCTTGGTATTCCTTCTAGTGTCATAATCATGTGATTATTGGCTGGGCACTAAGTTTTTATTTTGAATGTAACATTTACAAGGTAAAAAAAAAAAAAAAAACATGTTATAAGATACAACAGATCAAATAATTTAAACAAAATACGATTAAGATCTTCAGTTTCTAAGCCTTAAATATTGCCAATTGATATGTAACCTTAAAAAATTACTGTTAATCCATAAAAAATCCCTGAAATTTATCAGCTTCCATTGCTGCTGAAGTTTTCATTACCTGTACTGGACAATGAAGTTGTTTATTTAACCAATTGTTACACTACATATTGGAATTGTGCTAAAAATTAATGTTTATCTTAAACCTACTTAACTTACATGAATTTCTTTCAATTTCGTTTGAAGAGTTGAAAATTAGAAACAAATTTTCTTAGACAATATATGATTCTTCCCCTTGCTTCCCTCTTGCGATTGATTACAATGTTGATACGGTGAGCAGAGATGTCACTCAGTAATGCCAAGGCTTTGGAAAAGTTATTGTTTCTCACAAGTTGTGGACACCCTGCTGACAGTGGAATGTGATTTTATTGATATTGTATGAGCACTTTAAACTGAATTTGCAAAACTTTCATTATAATACAATCCAACATATGCATATATATATATATATATATATATATATATATATATATATATATATATATATATATATATATATATATATATATATATATATATATATATATATATATATATATATATATATATATATATATATATATATATACAGTATACATAGAAATTTGTTCTACAATGAAATTTTCATTAATGAGAGCATGAAATAGTACTAAAATCAAGTTCTGGAGTTGCCTGTTATGGGTCACATGATCACACTTGTGTGAACATATTCCATACACTATCAAAATTACTGTACAATGGGAAATGGTGTATCAGATACACACTGACTTACTGGAAGCATGTACAGTAGTAATATTTTATTTGCATTAACATGAAGCTAACCCATGTTGCCTTTCCAACATAAGTCACATTTATTCAGACAGTCCTCTCATTATCATTCTCCCTTCCTTCATTCTTTAATTTTGCTTTTGTCTTTTCCCCAACTTCCAAAAATACCAAGTCCATGAATATAATTATCTGCAATATTTTTACTTCTAAATTCCTCTTTTCCACATTTTCTACCTTCTCCCTTTAAATGTATAAAAATCCACTTTCCACCTCCTATCTCTTAGCCATCATCCATCTTCATAAATGCATATTGTGTGGATAACACCACTGTTTTCACAAATCTTTACTGTACCTACAAACTTTGTCTCATTCCTATTTTTCTTGACAACAGCAGTTTCATAAAACTGTTTCCCCTATTCAAGTAAAGTATTGTAAAGCTTATTTAAAAAAAAAATGATGTATCAGACTCTATAGGTGCTTTCCAACTCTACTTATTGACACAACTACAGCACCACTTTTTTTTTACTTGTACAGTATTCTAATCCCACTTTTTTATCTAAAGATTTGCAACCCACAGCAAATTATAGGGTGGAAATTGGCATTGATTATAATACAGAATTTATAAATGTAATGTGACAGTTTCTACCCTACATTTAAATGCATGGAAAATATCCTGTGTGAATGTCAATAACTTCAGTTGGGAAAAAATGCCCCACTAAGGCACAGATCAATTATCCAAAGTAGAGCGTAATTACATAGTGATACAGTACTGTACCGAGTTAGGTTCAAACCAGTTGTCTAATTGCAGTACATTACAATTACATGAGGCATCTTATAGTTTTTTCAATTTAACAATTTTGTACACAGAGCAAATGGAAATGGCAGGTCACAATGGTACAAACAAGAATTGAAGGACTGGAGTATGAAATCCCATTTTATGGCTGAGGGAGTGAGTGACGTAGAAGATCTACTACCACGAAAACCCTGTGTCAGAACCTGCTTTTTTTCCAGGGGGCATAACATGATTAGTGGCAAGATACATTACCCAAACTGCCAGTGTTGGTGCTGTAAGGAGCTCCTCTCCCAGTGAGCAAGGTTTCTACCAAAAATATATTTGATGGGAATGTAAGATTTGCATACACTTGACATGGCTTGGTTTGTATAATCAATGTAAGAACTATGCTTACTTGTGAAGTGTAGCATTTAAGATTTCACTTGCAGAACAATATGGTTGCTAACTGACAGATTCATTGCTTGAGGAAAATACCATTTACCTGAGTTATTTAAATGCCTAAAGTGCTCTACAGACTGCGTGGCCTGAACTGAAAATTGAGAAATAATGTGAAAATATACAGTAAACTGCAATTATAACACTCACTCTTTGTTCACAGGAGAAATTGGTGTTGGTTCAGAGTAGCAGTACACTGACAGGTAAGATGTGGACTTCTTTTTATGGCTAAATAGGTCTGGAATACTGTACCTGAGTTTTGAAACATTGATCTAGACTCTTGCTGGTCTCTGAGACAACCACCGAACAGGTGGTTGTCTCAGAAACCCTGATATGATTGGGTGAGGATCTGCTTGCAGAGTAAACATTATCAGCCTGGGTAATGCATCCTGCCACAAAACACATCACACCCTTGTTCTGCTAGGAGGTGTTTAGCGATGATATATCTCACATGTGACTCAGGAAGGACCTAAATGCCATTAAAAGATACCACTCATAGCTACTCCTGTTCAGGTACATAAAATTTAGAGATGCCAAGTTGTGGTTTTCACATAGCAAATATTTTCCTTGTTTAGTGGTAAGAACTTAATCAAATTTTCAAAGAATATTTACACTTTGTTTTCACATTTCTTAATTATTAAGAAATAATAATAATAATAAAGACTGTGCCTGAATACTATTAGGTGTATCACAGCACTACATACATTTTATGAACATAATTTGAATATGTAAAAAAATTATCTGTGAATGAGTATTATTAAAAAGTTAAGGAAAATGTATAGATGATTATATTATTTTTTACTAAAACTTATTAAGAAATATAAAAAATTATGTCATAATAGTTAAGGTGAATACATGAAGCCTTGATATCAATTTATAGATATATGGAATGTGCAAAAGCTTACTTTTTTCCATTATAAAAATCCACCAATCATCAAAATTTGGTCCTAAAACAAATTATTACCTTATAGGTGAGGTATATTAATTGTGCTATAAAATCAAATGTTCTGTCTATTAAATAACTATGAATAATCATACCTTTATCACAAAAAGTAATTATTTACAAAGAGTACATGACATAAAAGTTCATTATCTGCTCAACATTTACTGATGGATCCTACATGTATGTAAGAGGCACCACCAGGGACATGCTATTGTACAAATACATCATCCATAATATTAAGAAGTAAACAAAATACTACAGTGTATTTATCATAATTTTCTTAATTATATGATTGCTTTTATAAGGATCATACTCAACTGTGAACCCTAATGTACAATTACAATTTTAAAAATTTATGCAAGGAGGACAGCCTAAGAATAAAGAAAGCTCATTGAATGGAACTTAAATTCCTGAAAACTAGCGCTTCAGTGAGTCTGAAACTGTGTAAGATCTGAGGTCTATGTCATAACACATTACTGACATTTTTTAAAGTATTTAATATCAAGTTACTGTACCTGCAATTTTACATGTAACTGGCCACTTGATAACTTGTTCAGCTTTGTTTTATCTAAAATCTGTGTCAATGGTTTTGAGATACTGTATATATAATTTTGTAGTTACCTTCAAGCTTCTGTTGAAGAAAGGATTAGTGGCAGAGTTGACAGCACAAATCAGCTTTCTTATGCCTATATTTGATAGACCAGTTGATTTCTGATAAGCTATTACAGATCCCATGTGTTGAATTTGATGATATTCTAAAATCAACTTACCATTCAAAAGTTAACACAAAAAGGTTTGTTAGTGCTCTCAACAGTGTTGTTAATCCATCTTCTGTTATGTCATATTTTCATGATGAGGTTTACTAAAGATGGATGGTAACTAAAAGAGTACAGAATTTCTAATTTGAAAACAATCACAAGAACATCAGAGAAAAGAACAAAGCTGAGAAAGTTGTCTAAATACTGATATAGACATCACTGGCTTCTAACTTTGAGGAGCATAGGTTTCAGAATTCTATGCCCTATTCATACATTAACTTTCATGAAATTTTGCTAAATTTCTCAGGCTATGAATGCTATACAAAACAGGCGGGCATGATATTGTTATACAATTCATTGTGTTTGGGCCATAAACATTCATCAAATGTTTATCTTATCAAAACTGGCCAGAAAGTAAGAAAACATGACCATCATGGCACATCACCATATGTAAATTAACATTTTCCAGTTATTTATCTACCGTATATACTTGAATATAGTTCAAGTTTTGTTGATAAAATTTTTGGCAAAAAGTAGGGGGTCGAGCTATAAACGCATAGCATTTGAGGGGTTAAAATTAATGAATTTCTGCGGGTCATTTACGGTGAACAATTGCTACCCGGGACACGGGAGGTGTTAAGGTTATTTGTCAAATCATAATTTCAGGTAGATATACAGTATGTAACTTTCATCATTTTTTTAAACTCGGATACGTGCACACACAATCCTACGTACATAGTGTGAAAAAAGTAAGAGAAATAATTATAAGGGCCAACTCATAAAGGGATTAAACATTTTTTTGAGCACAAGTTAGAAGGCTGAGATGGGGGCATTGCTAGGGAGGTGGTGGCATCCCCGGTAGGCTGCATTGTTATACCGACTGTTGAAGCGGCCACGTAGCCAGTGCCTATGCAAATGACAGTTGTGCTAAACTTTCATTTAGCATTTCCTTAATGGTTTTAGCTGCATTTTTCAAGTATAGAGTGTATACAAATGTTGTTTGAAGTAGCACAATTGTTAAACAACATAATAAATTTAGGCGGCATGATTTATGAATGCTGGGAAATAGGTACTGGGAGTTGAGAGTTTGCTTCAGCCAATTGACTTACCGTGTAGGCCGTCACATCTGTGATAATATTCCTTGCCTTTTTTTTTTGCTTGTTTTCGGTATTTTACATTACAGTAGTTTTGTATTTGTAATACATAGTAACACACGACTTGTCATTATAGCCACATCCCCCTAGCCATCTCCCTACTATTCCAGGCCAAATTGTGAGCTATGTTATAATTATTTTTCAACTTGGGGTAGATATACAATTTTTTTTTTTTTTTAGTGTACACACAATCTTAAATATAGAATGTGCCCCCCAAAATTTATAAAATAATAATTATCATAAGATCAAAAACATAAAAGGGAATAAATTTTCTTCGTGTGTTACGAGTTCACGTTAAACGGGGGTGAAGGGGGGGGGGGGGTCTCGGCTGTCTCCCGTGTGTAGCAAAAGAATTGACAAATTTTGTCATCCAGCAGCCAAATGGGAATAGAGTATTATTTTGTTCTATTTTATTTATTTGTATTATTTTGATTTATTTATCACATTTACTGGTATAAAGTACAGTATATTAGTTGATCTTATTCCTCATAAGAGTTGGTAACTGACGGGAATTCAGTTTCAGAGTTGGTAAGACTGTTCATAACGTTAGCTGTTGTGGTGGTAGTCACGGCCAAGATGCGTTGATGTGAATCTGGTGTCTTGCTACAAATTATGTCTAGGATTATACCCAGTATTTTTTAAAAGCTATAGTCGAATTATACAACATATATAAAACAGGATTTTTTTTTACAAAAAAATCAGGGGTTGAACTACATATGAGATTGGTTTATACCCAAGTATATACGGTATTCCACATACTGGGGCAATTGGCTGAATCTTGGTAGGATATTATTGAGCTGTGTACTCTTTCTTTGTAATGTTAAATATACAGTAGTGGTATAATGACCCCTTTTAGTGCTGATTCAATTAGCAGTCTTTTTAAAGAACCTAACCCCAATGCTAAATGAAGTCCACCTGTATATCAAAATCTTATAGTCCTAGGTTTGTGCCACAATAATTTATACAGAATACATCAGTCAATGTGTAATAGTACTAAGCCTTATACAAAATTAACATACATAATCACAAAAATGCAAATTGAGCAAAAAAGCTGATAACAGCAGCTGCACAACTGCATACAGTACATCATACTGGAGAGTATCTTTGGTGTACTCACAACATTTCACAAACCCAATTCAAACTTACAAAACTGGCAAAGGCCTCATTGTTATAAGTAAGTTATTTGTGACTAGTCAACTAGGGTAGATACAATTATTCAATATCTGACTCATGTCTTTGGTAATTTTCACTTTGTATCAGTTGAAACTCCTCTCAACTTGCTGTACAGTTTTGTCTATATTCAACAGTATAAAAGAAAAACACTGCAAGTTTTTGAGAGCCAGAATCTATATCCTAAAAGGAATGCAACATTCATTACATTTAACTATGGAATTATTTTATCGTGTACAGAAGAGATGTACACCAACAGTTTCATGGTACAGTATAGTTTTAAGTAATAGCAGTATAAACTAGTTCATAAAAAGATCACATATTGAGGTGAATTTTTATAGAACTTCTAGTATAATCCTTTGATCTATCTAATTCATGAAATGCAAGTCCTTAGTAGGCAGGTAAGAAAGAGAAGATCCATTCATTGACCACACTCGTAGCGGCAAGTAAATTATACCATTTTCTATTTATTCATTTTAGTGGTAATGACAGAATGGATGGATATAACTAGCAGAATGGCAGTAACACATGAGATCTTAACAATAAAATAAAAAAATTACCGTGAAGCTTAAACATACTGATACATATCTGACTGTGAGAGAAGAGGTTGTTTATCTTCTGCAGACTCGGAGAGAGTGTATATATGTAGCCAGTCTGTTCTGTCTGGCTTAAAGATACCAAAACACTGCCAATTGAGTAGATCTTGAAGGTTCTGCCATACACCATGATGGAAAGGTGAACGAACTTCTCCTTTCTTTCCAACCTGTAGATAGATTATCAATGAGTTTGTGGGGTTTTACAAAAAATTCCCCTAAATCCACTTCTAAGCAAGGTTATTATAATAATTGCGTTATGGGACGTCAAAATATATACAGCAATAAACTGAAAGTCCCATGACAACTCTGAAAATAAAATCATGTAATTAAATTCATTATGTCTGGTTTTACAGATAACAGAATAGCTTTTGGTCTTTTGTGTCTATTCCCACAATAATGCAGATGGCTAGAATTAAAAGTAAATGCTCCTTTCATTAACTTTAATGAACATGTTTTACCTTAATATTCCTTTTCCACAACAAGGCCCCATAAAATAAATTTGCATTCATAACTCAGAGTTCTGTACTTTCCCCAAAGAAGTGTAGTGGTGAACTGGATACAGCATTTGACTCCTGTCCTTAGGGTCAGTGTTTCCATGGTCTAACAAAACCCGTTGGGCAAAGCACAGTTTCCCTCCCGCACTAGTCAGGTCTACGACGTCATGTGCACCGGAACCTGACTATGTTGGGTTCTGCTCTCTCTCTCTCTCTCAGTAAGATTAAATTAAAATTTCAAAATATTTACCCCAAAAGAGTTATAGAAATAGTTTCTGAAACAAAACTATGTACTTTATTACATAACCAAAGAAGACTTCATAATTTGAAAAAGACTTTTTGTCCTCTTGATCCTATAAATGTATCTAAGGTACTACTCGCTTATGAACATGCTGCAAACTTTGGAGTGATAAATAAATGCTTTGCAGAGGGTAATTTTGTGTGATCTGAGAAACAGGCCTTATTGCATCCACTTTTTAAGAAACCTGGTCTTGATACTGAAAATACGTTAAATTATTTTCCAGTGTCCAATCTCTCATCCTTATCAAAGATCATAGAGCATGCTATGCTAGATCAGTTGCTTCCTCTGTTAGAAACAAATGGAGTGACCCTCTGGTCCAGTCAGCCTATATAGGAAGTATTATTCAACTGAAACTACCTTATGTAAAATTCATAATGATTTGGTAATAAACACTTGTATGGAAATGGCCTCCCTCCTGGTTCTGCTGGATCTCTTTGCAGCCTTTGACACGGTAATCTTCAGGATCTTTGGTCATTCATTGTCCGTGATGACGCACTCTCACTGCTTGAGTATTATTTGTCAGGGCAATCTCAATGTGTGATCGTTGTTGGAACCATTTCAGACCTGGTCACCTTTGTAGTCCCACAGGGATCAGTTTTGGGACCACTTCTGTTTACAGTCTGTACCAGCAGTATTGCATCTCTGCTGGATGCTGCTCATGGTGTTGCCTACCATTTCTATACCGATAATACACAGCTTTTGTGAAAATAACAAATGTCGAGGATATTGAGGAGATAATGGAATCTTTGACGTATGACATTAAAATTTGGATGGCTAGGAGAAAACTTTTGCTGAATGATGGCAAAACCGAGATTCATCATCAGAGGAAATAGATGACAGCACGGATGGTTTTGGCTCTTTAACCCTTTGGCCTTGGGAGGTTACCCTAGGCTGAATACAATCGTCTGGCGATAGCCAGAATAAAATGGCAAGTGAGGGAAACGTAGCGAAAGGGTTAAGCGAGACAGGTCTTAAACGTTGGGGAAGTACAAGAAGCCGGTTCTCTTGATTCTGTTTGTAATCTTGGAGTGTGTTTTGACTCAAAACTGAATTTTAAAGAGTAAATAAATTTGGTGGTTAAGAGTTGTAACTTTCATATTCAAAATCTATATTTTGTGAAATAGTTTTTGGATAGACAGTGTCTTGTGACACTCTTATATTTACTTATTTTGTCTCGGGCTGATTATTGTAACCTAATTATCTACTGAAGAAAGTTCAGACAGGAGCCTAGAGCAGTATGGGAATGATCTTTTGCTGCTCGATCCTTTTCCTATACAGCACCCAGATTGTACAATTGGTTGCCTGCATCCATGAAGCAGCTGACTTCTGTGGAGGCCTTTAAGAAACAACTGAAGACTTTTCTCTTTTTGATGCTGAATTACAGGGTTTAGGAAGTGTTACAACTGAAGGATACAGTAAAAGAACTGTCACTTTTTGTACAATAATATTTTTTTTTTAGTATCTTTTCTTTTTCTCAGGGCCTTGACTTTGCAGTGTTTTGAGAGTTGGTGAATTGTTTAGAAGAACTGGTGCTTTTGAGAAACAAAAAAGAGCTCTTATTATTATAAAAGGAAGTCAAAATCACTGTTTCTGCCACAGTATGATAAACTAGAAGAGAGAGAGAGAGGGGAAGTGTTTACAACGAACTTTGCTGAGGTGTTAAATGTGAAACAGATGGCCCTCGCCTCGGGGCTGACTAACTCACTCCCTGTGGGGTTCAGAAGATAGTCTCTAGCCATCCAGTGAGCTAACAAGTCAGGGAGCTAATAAGTCCTACATTAGACCCAAAACACATAAGTTTTATATGGTTTAACACCCCACTCTACTCAAATATATCATATAAGAACATAAGGAGTCTGCAATAGGCCGGTTGGCCTGTGCATGGCAGCTCCTGTCGAGAGTTACTACCACTCTCTATCATCCATGAATCTATTTAGCCTCCTTTTAAAACTTTCCAGCGTTCCAGCACTTACTACAAAATTGCTAAGCTTGTTGCACTCGTCCACCACCCTATTTGTGAACCAGTTCCTTCCTATCTCCCTCCTAAACCTAGTTGTTAATAGTGAAGGAACGTAAAAGTGATTTAATTATCTCACATGTAACATATGTAATTTGTACTTTGCAGGTTTTGACAGAATAAAGAGCAATCGAGTCCTATGTGCAAGGGTCTCGTTATCCCACAATCGCTCATCAGGCGGTTACAATCACATAATTATCTAATTAGTTCTTTAAAAGTCTTATTTATCTTTCACAACAAGAGGTTATCTACAGTAGTATGTACAGAAACACAAAATCACATAGTTTATCTGTAAACAAAACTTTGTTCATACATACCTGGAAGTGTTTGTATCTGTAACAGTTCATTCTTTCATTGGTGGTCATGCCAAGAATTAATACCTGAAATAATTTTTTTTTTTTAGATTACAATGAATATTGTACAGAATATAAGTATTCTGATGCTGGAATTCAAAGTGAAAACAATGTGGCATTCTATGTTATTGTCACCATAAATGGTTATGTTCAGAGGTGTGCTGGGACTGATTCGCCCGAACTGGTTGTGAAATTTTGATTGGAGCAGTGAACTGTTTTTTTTTTTTTTTTTTTTTAAACAAATATTGAACACATTAAAATTTTATCTTGAAATTTACAAACAAGCCCTTATTTTCCTTACTATTACCTACTACATGTCACACAAATTAAAGCAAGTTTATACTGCTTGTCAGAGCATCATTTAGACAATAACCTAACACGGCTTTTGGTTCCACAAGAGCCTTACATTTTAAATACAGCCACTGAAATATGGCATTATTATTTCCTGCATTTAGTTTCTACTGGAAAATTCCTCAGTACCCGGGTACATTCCAGAACTATTCACTCATGAGGTTTACTTCGTTTACTGCTAAGTTCGCCAACTCTTCCCTACCCACTGACTGCAACTGACTGGTTCACCAAGTACAGCTAGACCCCGACTTACGACCGTCGGGACTTACGACCGCCGCAGTTGTGACCATTTTTTTTTTTTTTTTTTTTTTCAAATTGACACACGCATTTTCTATACCGAAACATTTCCAGTTAATGTAGTCTCCATGTATAATTAGAAAATTATGGGGGCCCCATGTGCATTCAGCTGACTAAATTAAAGGTAAGTGCTCAGTCACACTGTATCCATTCCTCATTATTTATTACTTTCACTGTACTGTATCCATTCCTCATTATTTATTACTTTTACTGTACTGTATTTCATTGTAGATTTTTTATTTTTTTATTTATTTTTTTTTATTTATTTATTTTTTTATCTATGTCGGACTTACGACCATTCGGACTTACGACCTGGATTTGGGTCCCTAACCCCGTCGTAAGTCGGGGTCTAGCTGTATATATCATTGCCATCGAATCAGAATTTGAGATCAATATGATGATCATCAATCATTGATCAAATGTGGAATCAAAGAATATTCTTCTTCCACCTACCATTGCTAAAGCTAAGAAAATAATGAGCACAATTGTTATTAGGGGTGTAGAAACAGAACAAAACTTCAGTGCTATGAACAATATTGCGAGAGTGGAAAGAAGAAACTTTCTGTTAATCATATTTCCAGTCTGATGACAATAAAAATATTAGGAAAGCCTGTAGCAGACTGGGATGCTGTGCCATATGTCAAGACTTGGCTAAGAAATCCTCATCAAGGTGATGCTACTAGAGTTCGTGAGAAAAGTGATATCCAACCATTGCAAAACGAACTAGTTTTTTTAAACTTCTTGGATGAGACAATATAATTGAGCAGATAAATTTATATCTAAATGTTGTTTTCAATTTTTCAGGATTTTATAGAAAAATATAGGTAGTATCACAAGCAGTGGTCATTTCAATATCTATTTATTTTTTTAGAAAAATCAGTTTATTTTTTATATAATTATGTCATTAATGAGTATAAATAATTTCTCCCAAAATGTTACAAAATGCAGTTTAAAAAAGCTAAAATGGTGGGAGAGCTATCACTCAACCCAGACCCCCTAGCTTCATGGCTCGCATCACTGGCACTTGCCGATTTACACCACTATCTGAATCAGAACCAGTTGTTAAGAAATTAGCAGCACACCCCTAGTTATGTTCATCTTGTTTACAGGACTACATTATTTACTATTATTGTTAGGCATTTTCACATTTGCTACATTGTTCTGGCATGGTGAACTACTTTTTTGATTAATCATTAATACTTTACAGTATATGGTTTTTAGAAAGAATTTTGGCTTAATACCTGTGCATTACTAAACTGGGACTTCAACACAAAAATGTTTCATGGTTTTGAGGGGTGCCAAGGATGATTGACTTTTAAGAAACTAAAAATAAAAAACTCAGTATATTCTCTCTTCCAATAGTGCTGTACAGGTATTTCCAATTTATTACAGCCTTATCTGGCTACAGTATAAATATAAAATTATATTACCTGATAGAGCTGGCAACCAAGAAGTGTAGCTACCCAGAGAGCGTGCAATGTGGCATTGGCACCAACCCATGCTACCCATGGCTCACATGTGCCTACTGAACCTAGACCTGAAAAATATTGTCAATAAATCAGTGCATAACATGAAGACATTTCTTTTAACAAACATCATGAGAGGTATTACTATACTGTACATGAAACATTTACAAGAAAATAACCATTAATTTGCCTTTACAAAATACAGTATAGCCTTACGAGAAAAATTATATTAACTGAGATTTAATCATTAAAACAATAACAGTTACCATTTGGAATAATTTATTTGTTCTAGACTTACACCAAATAATAAAGGGGGTTTGACCATGCAATACAGTAGTACCCTGATTTACGCGGTCAATTGAACCCACAGGGTACCGCGGAAAGTGGAAAGTGAAAACCGCGTAAAGTGAACAACAGAACATATGGGATTACTTCCAATAGAGACAGGCCCGACCCCCAAACTCCACTTTTTCCGACACAATACAGTCGCCAGGTTAATGTCCATTCAAATAATGGACTCAAATCCCCCCCCCCCTTCCCAGCTCACTAGCTCCTACCTCTCTGAGAAATGTTTGGGTGAAAAAACTAGATTTTAACTTTTAGCAATTAATAATGCCTCAGACTAAAGTTAGGAAAATATAATTGACATTTCTGGATTCCTTGAAGGTCAGGGAATATTTTGAATGTAAACTTCATATATTTTGCACAAAAGATAAAATATTTGCTTTGTGTAAACCAAATTATTACATTAGATCTAAAATTTGTATGTCTAATGCAAAATCCATGATGTTTATATTCAAAATGATCATCATATTGTAAGAATTCCAGCAATGTAAATTATATTCTGGCCGGGTAATTTGTATGAATTTTATGAGCTAAAGAAAAAAAAAAGAAAAAAAGAATTATACTTCACCGCGTATATGAGTAGATGCACCGCAGAAAGTGAAAGAAAGTGAAAGTCCGGTTCTGGCAAGGTAGTAAATGAGAAATTGCGGAAAGTGAAACCGTGTAAAGCGGGGTAATACTGTACTGTACAGTAAATTATAATAATTTAGTGAGACAAAAAATAAAGAACATGAATTATTGAACTGTGAAATACCGAAGCTCTACTGTACTTCTGAGCAGTATGGAGACCAGATTGTGGTATCTATGTGTAATAAATATACAGTACAGATATACTAATAAATACAAATACTGTATATAAATCAAGTAAACAAAGTGTGATTTTATTATGTGATGTGAAGTTAAGTGTATCTCACCACTTCATTGTCATCAGGCATCACATTACACTCTTATATTAAAATTCTAGAGAAACTGGATTTTGCAACCAAAAGGAGGCCAGAAATAGACATTCTCTTACTTCTCCATTACTTTAACCCCCCAAGGCTTTTTATTTTTTAGGTCTTCTTAAGAGGCCATTGTTGACGTAAAATTTCTGAATTAAAAAAAACACTTAAGGCAAATAAACACAAATCTTGGAGCACACTTCAAGTCTGAAAGTTTGCAAATACAGTACTTGAACATTACAGATTCTTGAATTTGGGATTTTTTAACCCTGACTGTACATGTCATAACATGGAATAATTGGAATAATTTAATTTGTTTTGTAGCCTTAATTACTCACCACCTATAATTTTCTTCTGGCAATATACATTATTTCTGAAAACAGCAAATTAAAGTACAGTTAACCCTCACTTTACGCGGTTAATGTAACCCGGAGGGTCCCGCGTAAAGTGAGAAACGCGTAAAGTGAATAACATAACATATGGGATTAATTGAAATGGAGTCCGGGCCGATCCCCAAACTCCACTTTTTGACGACACACAACTATGTTGTAGTAAAAATATTATCTTAACTTTATGATGGTATGCACACACAATTAATAATTAAGAGAAATATCAATAATATTAGGTTTTTTAACACTTACATTAGTAGAAAAAATGGCTGGGCACACGGGGATGGGCGGTTGGTTCCGAGGCAGAGGGCAGATTATTGGCCCTCACCTGTGTCACTTGTATCAATTGTATCACTATCCACCACAGAGGCTTGCAGGGCCTCTTTGTCAAACTCCCCAAAGTCCATATAAGTCCATATCCTCACCATAATTATCACTATCACTGACTTGGGCCGGCTGTGGTGGGTGGCGGGTGAAGAACTGGTAATGTTTTGATGACTGGGCGACCTTGTGCGCACCATGTTCGCGCAGCTTACACAACATGGCGGATGGCGGGAGGTTTGGATCCAAAAATGGCGCGGCTCGCCAGCCGCTCTCCGCGTAAAGGGGTACACGCACCGCGGAATGTGAGCATCCTGGGTTCCGGCAGGGCACCGCGTAAACGTGGAAACGCGGAAAGTGGGACCGCATAAAGTGAGGGTTGACTGTACAGTGTATTAGGGTTTTTTCCCACACAATAAAAGAGAAACTGACAATAAATATAAACAGACAACAAGAAGCCAGTGACATACAATACTACAACATCTGAATAATAATCCCATTAAAACTAAGTAAATTTTATATTATATAAAATGTATATATATACAGTATTTTAAAACAAACACAGTAAACTTACTGGACCAGATTCCCTGTTTCGAGAAGTCAATATTACAAGCACCATTCCAAAAGGAGAAGCAGCCTTGCACAACAAAGCAGCTCATTGCACACAGCATTATGAGATAACCAATAAAATACTTCAAGTTGTTGGCACCTGAAAGGAAATGGGAAAATTAGTTTTATAACCACTTTCTGTAAACACCAATTTTCTATTCTGCTTTACCTCTTCACACCCTACCATTCAACTAACCTAACCAAGTCTTCCTTCACATGGAATACTGTTCTTATGTGTGTGTAGTGTTGCTCTTTAACCCTACTTAATATTGTTACAGAAATGGACGATTAATCCTGAAATCCAATTTTATAACCAAGCCTATATTTAGTGACATACATATTACCCAAACAAGTCTGTAGGTTGAACACCCAAGATAACTCTTGATATTAGTGGCTGAAACTAATTCAATGTCCAGTTCATACCTTCCAATCACATCCCAGTACAGTATCTTAAAAAGAGAAGAAAAAAGTAAAACCTAAGGGAACAAGTCACCAAGTCCGAAATGTATGGGAAAGTGTCCAAGACCAACCGAGATAAAAGGGATCGAGTTGGTGAAGATTTACAGTACAATAGTACCTCGATACCTCGGACTAATTAAGGCAGATCCCAGTCCAGAAAAAGCAAATCTATGGGGGTCCAGACATAACTCTGCTTATCTGGATTGCTTCCGAAAAATCAGATACAAGTCTCATTGCCAATAACTGTTTTGATTGATATGACTGTTTCGTTCTGTAAAATGTTTACCCATAGTATAAATGGTATTAGAGCTGCTCCAAGTGTTGCCCATGTACAGGGTAGAAGTGCATCATCAACACATGTACGAGGTATTCGTTGAACTTTTCTAAGTTTTTGCCTTTACCATATTGATGCCCCATGCCCATAAACCTGTTGTTTATGAGAACTGAAAGAAATCCAACCATCTGAGGACACCTGCGCTTGGGAAGTACTGTACATGGACAAGTTTTGACAGCATTGTCACGACTCAAATCTCCATTCCTTGTAAAACTAGCCCTATTAAGTCTGCTTTCATTACTGTACTTTAAAATGAAAATACCTGTAATAATTTACTGTAGTGTGCCTGTATACAGGCACACTACAGTAAATTCAATGATTTAATCTTGTTACAGGTATCCCGATCTATGATCCCCCTATCTACAATATTCCACTTTAATGATAGTGATGTATTAAGACAACCCCCTATTTACAATGTAACATTCCAGATGAACGATGGTCATCACCCAGCAATGCGCAAAATATGGAATGCATCTCTCACTGCATTTGTCAGCTGTGGCATCAGCTACCCACGCGCCGCCAAGCAGCCATCTGATGCACTACAGTCCAGCGCATTGTTCCATGGTGATCGTATCTATCCGTGATTGTGTAGTTCAATGATAATTATCAGTCAGTATTGGTGTTGTTACTTATCATTGGCATTTTTTTCCTTCCATTGAAAGGACATCACTAACGTTGATAGTGTAATTTGTTTTGGTGACTGTGAAGTAATTTTTACAATGTTTTTTGCGACTGTAAAGTCTTTGCCTCTGTTGTTGTGAACATAATGTGAGCAGTGTCAGCCACTATCATTGTTTTTACGCTACCATCTGTATTTTTTATCCCCTCACTAACATTCAGATTGTACTGAGTTTTTGTGATAAGTACTTTTGCTCATTTTTTGTGATTGTGAAGTGCTTTAGCTCCATTTTAGTGACTGTGAAGCACTTTCTCTCTGTTTTTGTAGCTATGAAATGCTTTTGCTCTGTTTTTGTGACTGTGAAGTGAGCAGTGTAAGTTTCAAGTCTAGCTAGTGTGTTGCCAAAGATCCTACGCCTGGGAAGGCCAAGGCGCCCAGGAAAACCATGCCTCTGGAGGTGATGCTTGACATTGTAAAGTGGCATGAGAGAAGTGAAGGAGCTTGCTATATTGCTTGCACTCTTGGCCTGATCCAGTGAACGGTGTCTACCGTCATTAAAAAGTCACCAGAAGTAATGACCACGACGCAGAACATGAGCTTAGTTTCCGCTTCTAGGTCATTAAAGAAGCATGAGCCTATCATGGATAGGATGGAGGAGCTACTCCATGACTGGATTCAGGACTTGACTTAACTCCGCTTAACTCTTTCCACAGCTATCATCATGGTGAAGGCATGCAACATCTGGACAACGCAGTGCTACTGAGGCCTCGTTCAAGGCAAGTCCTGGGTGGTTAAATTGTTTCAAGAAGCAGGCCAAATTCCACAAACCTTTGTCTGACTGGTGAGGCCGTCACTGCTGGAGTACCAAAGCCTTCCCAGCAGTCCTGAAGGCTAAGATGGTGGAAGGAGGATACAACACCAAGCAGGTACTGAACTTCGATGAGACGACCCTGTTTTGGAAGAGGATGCTATCGAGGATTTCCTGGCTAAGGAAGAAAAGACTGCACCAAGCTTCAAGAATGTCAAGGACCACCTTACATTGCTGCTTGGAGACAATAGGGGACCTTGAGTTGACTCCGATGCTGGTGTACCAGTCAGAGACCTCTAGAGCTCTTAAGGAAGGGGTTTATTAAGGAGCACCTCAATCATCTTGCACTCCAACAAGAAGGCCTGGGTCACGACGGTGTCATGCCAAAGTTATGTAGTTGGCTACCTCTCCAAATGCCTCAAGGAACATCAGTGAGATGTTCCTGCCCCCTGAACATCACCTTACTCAACCAGCAGATGGATCAGGGCATAATCCCAACCTTCAAGGCTTACTACTTGAGGCGACAGATTGAGAGGGAAAGCCGAACATCAAAGAATTCTGGTGCAGCTACAACATCAAGCACGCCATACAGAACTTTGAGAAGTCATGGAAGGAGGTCACGGTGTGTGGAGGAGTGTGGCCTGACTTTGGCGGCTTCACCGATGTTGTAGCTGTACACTGCAACATAGCCAGCACCTCCAAGGAAGTTGACAAGGGGAATGTGGCTGAGATCTTCAAGAGCCACTCCAGGAACAGCAGCAGGCAAGGAAGGAGTCAGCGGATGAAAAGAAAAATCCTGCACCCATGACACTGACTCTGATGATGTTCAGCACTACCATTGACGGTGTAAGCTCTGCCTTTTTCAACCCCATCACAGCCACAACCCTCGACTTCTGGGGTCACCCAAGAACTTCACCTTCTATGGGTTTGTGTTGTATTGATAGTAGTGGCGTAGGAATTTTATTTTTGGTGATGCATGTGGGTGTCGGACGGGCTAGGAACGTATCCCATTGAACCACATGTTATAATGATCCCGATCTACAATATTTCACCTTGTGATGGGTTTTTCATGAACATAACCCATCATAGATCAGGGGATACCTGTAACTTGTTTTATTTTATTTCTCATCATAATAAATGGAGACTGTCTTAAAGAAATTTTCTATTAGCTAACGATGTCCTAAGAGGGGGGAGGGAGTGAGGCGTCACCTTCGATAAACGTATTCTTTTATTTCCAAGTCAAATTACAAATAATAGTCTTGTATTTTTTTCTATTATTTAAAATGTTATATTATATATGATGAATTATAAACCATAAGAGGCTGATCAAACAAGCCTGTTTACATATGCAGTGTCTTATTTCTTGTACAGTACTTAGTAGCTCTCATAAGGCCTACAGCAAATCTGATTAGATCACTGCACAGTATTCAGTGAACAAATATTACCCTTTTTCAAAAGAATTTTTTTTTAATTCACTAAAATTTCTCATAAATTACAGTAGGTTGTGAGGAGTGGCAGGACTCAGACTGTGGCACATGCTGCATGACACCCACACACGAACGTTCAACCACACGTATGAACTGACTGGACGGATGCTGGATTGTCCCGACTTTTTTTTTTTTAATATTTCTTGTGAACAGTGGGGCGGTCCGGAGCACCTTAGATAATCCCAAAAAACAAATTCTGGTGTATTGAAGTCCAGCATACATATAGAGGTTCTACTGTATATGCAAGACTCAACTTTCAACTAAAATGATAGTCATATTGGTTTATCAAACCCTTTTCCAATGAATAAATACATTATATACAGATATTCAACAGAGTAATAAAGGGCTAAAACAATCACAGAAGAACATGGTGATTATACAATAATACTCTTTAGTAATCATACCTATACAGTTTCCAACCCAAGGGCAATGGTGGTCAAACTTGGCAATACATCGGTTACATACAGAACAATGTTTGGACCGTATTGGACGCCGAACCAAACACGTTGAACAAAACCATTGAGGATCAAAGCCATCTCTTTCTGCCAACTCAATGATGGTCTGAAATAGAACCAAGATATACATTAACTTTCATTTAGATAATCACTCATAACCAGACAAGATAAAATTTCCTATAATAACTGCAATAAAACATTTAAGATACAAAAATTTAGAAATACAAAAAACTTTTCCTCCTTGAAGAATAATCTTGCAAAAAAATTATCAACACAGTCTGAGGTCTAAAAGTCAAATATACAGACATTGATCATCCTACCATATCCTGCATTTAATACATAAGGAGACTAAGTAATGTTTATTATCTTACTCCTGATAAAATCTTTCAATTTAAAATACAATATTTTTACCTCTCAAAAACTGAAAAGTAAAAGTAGGGAAATTTGTTAACAGTGTTTTGTAACTGACTCCATAATAAACAGGACCAAGTCAGGTGTGTTTGGTTGGACAGTAACTCAGGCTTATTTGGGATTAGTGTATCCTAATAATTATATAAATTTGAACTTCCTGAAGGGTCCTCTACTCTAATAATCTGAAAATTACAAAATTGGGAAAACCCATATTAGAGGTTGGTCTTACCTCCAAGTCTGTCAGTCCAAGTTATCTGAATTTCATCTTTGCAAACTTTTGAATAAATTTTTGTAACTTTTCTTGTTAGCTTGACAATGATTAATCCACATCCAGACAATCAGTCATTTTGTGTCTTTATTACCTGTTTTCAATTTCAATCCACACAGTTACCACCTTGTACAGTATAGTAAACCCAAAGTGATTTTACCGAGAAAGTTCATTTGCTACCTACCTGATACTTTTGAGCCTGATCAGCTGTTATGACTCCTGGATCACCTCTCCATGCTCTCATAAAGTTGTACCATAAAAGAAGTGAAGAAAGAAAGAACAGTGCTGTTGTTTGAAGTCCAGAGTACTCATGAATGTACAAAATCCAGGTAACATAACACCAAAACTGAAACACAATATACAGTACAGTGGATCAGATAGGCTGTAAGAAAATCACAGTGTCTTATTTTAAACATAATGCTTGTTTAATGAGAAATTTTTATCTACCAATATTCAGTTAATTAATTAATTCTGTACTAAATGACACTGGAATAATATACAGTATATTAGATATATCAGATTTTCCAGCCAACACCAATGTGAATAGAGAACTCATTTAACATACCTTAGTTGCTAAATAAACTGCCATTGGCATAACTGTCATGAGTCGCTCGTCATATAAAACTCTTGAGATTCCATAAACTACAATATACAATGCAGTGAAAATACCCAACTTCAACACATAATAAAGATTTAGTTTCAAGACGAGGCCAATCACGTAGAAAACGAGAAAAGGAGTTCCCATCATGGTCCAGTATCGAAGACTCTGTAGAAACATTACATGATGAAAGTAACTAATATTTACATAGTAAAAGACAAAAAATTTCTCTAACAGGTAAAATAACTTCCTGATGCACTTTCAGAAATATAAGTATTCAAACAAATTTACTGAGCAAATCACACATGACAAAGTGGATATACACTAAACTGGAAAGTAACAGATACTCATATTTGGCATGAGCAATTTTACTGTCAGGAGGATATGCTAAACAGATTTATTACTTTTACAGTACATTAGGGTTATATAGATGTTAAAACTTTTCTATAATATATCTGAACAAATTGTACTGATCTGTGCTGCTAATGAATCTTACATAAATAATGGAATATAGTTCCTCTAATATGATCTTCACAATGCAGTATGTGTCTATATCACCTGAAGAAACCTGATCTGCTCTCTGCCTAACATTTCTTTCACTTCTACATCTCCTTATTTTTGGATTTCTTATTCTCCACATAAATACATCAACCTTTTACACAGTATGCCAAATAAGATTGTTCAACAAGCTTCATTTCAAAGAATTGAAGTTTGTACTTCATTAATTTAGAAAAAAGTAACTAAATAATGCATTTGAAGCTAAGCAAGTCAGCTCCAGCTGAGCAAATTTTTAGTGCTGAAGAAATGAGTTTACATTGGAAACCTTTACCCAATGAAACACACTTTACTAAAAAGGAAAACTCTGGTCCTGAATCTACAGCACCTATTGATCATATGATACCATTTCTTTATGTTAGTACAGTAAAGCACCACTAGTAACTTCATGATTAAACCTTTGGTGAGGTCATAATCCCCATGCATTCAGAAAGGCTTCAAAATAAGCAAGCTATCAGTTTTTTGGATGTCAAACAAAATAGTCATAAAGATAGCCATTCTCTTTGAAGAATGCATTCTAAATTATACAATTCCAGCCATTAAAGGGCACTCTGAAGATACATACCTGGCAATGAAGGGATTGACCTTGTTAACAACACACCGAGTCATCTTCCCTACCTGAACAATCTACATGAAACATCAAGCTCCTCCCTCTCAATATCACTTCAACAGAGTTGTAAAAACTACTGAACTTTGTTACTTAAGTAAAAATATTGTTACATTGGCAAAATGTTACTCAAGTAGAAGCAAAAATGTTTCTCATTCTTAAAATACTCAAGTACAACTCAAGTACAGTACTGAAAGTAAGAAGAAACAACAAATATTAAAATAAAACCATGGTAAATTATAAAAAAAATAATAATTAAAGATTAAAAATAAAACACATAGCACTACACATGTTTATTTGCAAATCTTTCTATTGAGATTAATCGGTGCTACTATAGTATGCAGTCTACCGAGCTGGAGCTACTATAGTTAGGTTAAGATATATTAGATTAAGTTAGGTTGGGTTAATAGATGTTACAGTGTAAATGTCCCTGTAGACCAACTCCAGCTCGGTAGACCATATCCAGCTTGGTAGACCGCATACTATAGTCGCGCCGATTACTCAATAACTGATTCTCAAAATTATGGTTGTCCTATCAGGATCTTTTATGCCTAAATATAAGCCCAGCATGATCTACCGTTCAGCCGCTCTTCTCCCTACAATCCTTTGCAGGGATGGTGAACGGGCTGAAAATATATCTAACCAACACTATGATCACTGTCTTCCTTATCCACACAAGTATTGTCGACGTGGACTTATGGTCCGTATACATATGTTGTCTCTGCTCGCATTAGGTTAGGATACAGACTTATCTGGCATGTATCTGAGGTAGGGGATGACCAGCACTTCTCTTCTCGTAAACTCTGAAACTGTCGCTTCAACACTACTGTATTGCCTTCACTGTCCCACTGTCAGGGACCTCCTACCACAGGACGAGTCACTAACCACTTTATGTCACCACCTACTTATTCGTAATAATTTAGATTACTTCTTGTTTGCTACCCACGCTTTGGTGGATACAAACTCCCATTGTCCTTAAATCATATCAATATTGTCTCCATATCACAGGTCACAGCATGTCCTGCGAGACACGAGTACCAATGTATTAGTCTTGTGACTAGTCTTGTCGTCCCCTGGGGTGTAATAAATTAATTAAATAGTAAATAATAAGCCCAGCATTACTAAACAGATGCTCACAAGCAGCAGATGTAGGTAGTGGGATGCTAAGCTTCAGAGATAAGTCACATAATGTCGGGAAAGACCTCAGTAGCTCCATTCCATTCCTTGGGCATGCCAAGTAGCTATCAAGCTCCTTCAGTTGAAGAGTTTGTGGATGATTGTTGCCTCCATAGTGACCGAGTCTGACTAAGACTCCCTGTGAACTGTCCCTCTAATTGGGGGTGTGGCTGTGGTGACATCACTCTTCTATTCTAATTGATGAGTGGCTGAAATTTTCGCACCATGTAACATCTGGCGGGTGCTGGCGAGAGGAGGGGTGGGAGGGGGACAGTGGTACTTAGTTATTTAAGCAAAATTTTATATACACATAGTCTCACACATATGTATAGATACTAAATTGCTTTTCATATTATGTAAAGCATTTTAGAATCACAGCTTCTTTGAAATTCATTTTAGGTACAGGGTTATGCAAAGCGCAAATGACGTCTAACAGGAAGTTGTGGGGGAGAAGAGAGGGAATTCGATGGGGGGATAGGCTAGGTGAGGTGGGTGGTCAAGGTGCTAATAAACACAGGAAGTTCAAAGGGAAAGTCCACTGTCATGGCCACTGCCACCTGACCTGACATCAACTCACCTCATGAGACCTCTAGGTATGTGACTGCGTGGTATCTCCCCACACCTAAACTGTACCCTTCACAGCTCCACCCACACAACTCTTTTACTATGGATAATAATTAATTAATTTAAAATATATTTTTAGTTTGTTACAGACATTAAAACTCCTTGTTTGTTTGAGGCATGTAACGAGTAACGATTTTTGTTTTTTCAATTGTATTGGAAAAAAGTATTAGAAAACCATACTTAAGTAAAAGTAATAAAAAAAATTTAGTACTTTTTAAAAAGTAGATACCCAAAAATGTTACTTGAGTACAGTACTCAAGTAAATTTATCTCATTAATTTCCAACTCTGCACTCCAATAATACATCAGATGGACCTGGCTCTAATATAGCAATTTACTACTACAGTCAGTTCTGCTATAACGCGATAGTTGTGTTCTTGTAAAACCTCGCGTTGTAGAAATTCGCGCAATAGAAATAACAGGGCTTATGGAGAAAATAGGGTTAGGTGCAGATTACTCGAAATCGAAAAAAATTTAGTATTAGCCTAACACAAAGGATAGCACAGTCTAAATAAATGTTACATTCATATCTAATAATGAAATCATACAGTAAATGTAACACTTTACCTTGAAAAAATATGAATATAACTTGATGGGGGAGAAGGGTGATTTTGAGGTTGATAACATCGAGCTTCTCTTCAAGTGTTATTGCCTTTCTTTTACGATCACCAGAACGCTTCTTGGAGATATTCTTCTTTTCCATATTCACAGTTAATACCACAAAATTGGAGAAATAGGAAGCAAAATTTGCGTTACAGCAAACAAGCGTTCGCGTTTTACAATTATCGTTCTTCAATTCATCAATCGTGTCATAGCCAATTCGCGTTGACAAAACAAGCGTTATAGCAGAACTGACTGTACTCTATTCTAAAAATGTTTTATTATCCATTTAACATGTGCAATATCATAAGCTACATTTTCAGTTAATTTATATTATGTCTATATAGCTTTCTCAATGTATTCCCTGACCTCCCTATTTCCCAATGATCTGAAGGTTTTTAGTTATGTGGGTCTAAACCAGTGGTGTCAAACTCAAAACCTTTTGAGGGCCAATTCTTATTTTAGTTACCCTCTTCAGGGCCAACACAAGTGCTATATCACATATTTGCAGGACTGAAGTTTACAGCTTCATGCATTGCCTTACCTGCAGAACAAGAACTATCATGCAACTCACAACTTTGACCTCATTTTCCACTGCACTGCAAGCATTTTACTTCCACAGTTTTTCTATATTTGGCTGGAAAGGTGATATTCAGAGTCGGAGAATGGCATCCACGTGCTTCAGTAATACGGGTATGGTACTTAAGATTTATTTATCTTCACCCGAGAGAATAACTGTTCACACGCATAAGTACTTCTAAACTGAACAGCCCAAAAACACACATTGTAATGAATGTGTGGTAAAGACTGCGACTTCGTTTCTAATTCTTTAGTGATTTTCATTTATAAGCATTTCCCATTTACAATAGTGTTATTACTAGCATTAACAATATAAATTCAATTATTGCCACAATGATGTAAAGATCATTTCGGAATTTACTGACTCATTCATATCTGCATTTTTCCCTTCATATCTACAGTGGTCCCTCGGTAAACGAGCACAATCCGTTCTAGAAGGTTGCTCGTTAACCGAAAAACTTGTGAACCGAAACCATTGTTTCAATGAGTTTTTGGGTAACTGGTTCCAGCTCACCGAAAATTACCTAAATTCAACAAAAAAGGTAGAAAAGTACACTTACTTTGAGGTGTGTATGTAAAAGGCTCCTGGATGATGATGATGATGGGAATTAGAATGGGGGTGGAGGAGAAGGGAGAAGAGAAGGCATTGGGGTGGAAGAGAAGTCACCCCATGGGCCATTTTACCCATAAAATTTTAGCTCTCTTGGTGTAATTCAAGATTATTTTCTTTAAATCAACACTGCACTATTATATATTGTCAATATGTAAAATAAATTTCAAAATGACCAATAATTTGCTTGCAAACACAGAAAAAAAGCAGTTAGTTGAAGAGAGTCTCAAGTAAGATGTTACCTCCACTGAAAAGACACAAAGACTGACGCCTGTTTGGTGTGTTGACAGGCTGGATGGCGTGCATAAAACTAGTTTCCTTACCTTCAATTACGTTCAATAATTGTTAAAATGACTAAAAAATTGAATATTAAACTTTTAAAATTATTGAATAGTATAAATTTCTTGATATTTACTAAAATGGTAAGGAATATAAGCCCTAGAACCGATTACTGTATTGGCAGACTAATACTACAGCTGGTGGACTGCCAAATGCAAGCGAAAACATGTTGAGGTCGGCTCGTAAGAAACTCGTTAATCGAGGGATTGCTCGTTAACCGAAGTTAAGAATCTTATGGAAGGTAACTCATGAGCCGAAATCTCGTTAACCGAGGCGCTCGTTAATCGAGGGACCACTGTATTTCTATCATAATTCCAAGGGCCACATTTGGCCTGCGGGCCATGAGTTTGACACCCCTGGTCTAAACAAATCACACCTGAGATTATATCCAGACATTACACTAACAGACCCAACTGTAAACAGAAGGGTGTACTGTACATGACTAACATAAGAAAATGAGTGTTAACTTGCATATATTATTCAACAATTCAAAACACAATTCTGTATTAAATACATTATGCACAATGGGAAAAAAGTCTCGTGTGTTAAGTGTGATTTGGCTACTCCTTTGAGTCTCTCTCTCTCTCTCTCTCTCTCTCTCTCTCTCTCTCTCTCTCTCTCTCTGTATATAAAACCTTAAGGTATATGTATACAGTATAAGTATAAAAAATAAATAGGTATCAAAAGAAATAATACACAAACCCCTTCCCCAAGCAGATTGATTAATAAAGTTTTTCTTTAAATCTTATTACAATAAGCTCCCACAATTCCAGATTAATAGAGACGAAGGTCTATCTGAAAACAATTGTTTGGTTTTCTTAAACCAAAGGTACCCTCACCAGCAAATATAGTCAAGGCAAGTTATCTCATGCCCACCCCAGACATAATAACGTGTCCAGCCAATGCCCTATTCTCTTCAACAGCCAAAGATGATATTTTGGAAAAAATAAATTGAATACTGTATGTACAATATAAATTCTACAACAGTAAACTGATTTTTTGCCTAAGTTCTTGACTGAGTTTCTAAAAGAACTCATATTCTCCAAATTAGACACAGAAGCATCACCAACCATCTACTAATGGTACAGTCTCACCCAAAAGTTCGTTAATTCTCCCAGCCAGCAATTGCTGCACTGCCTGCTTCAGATGTTTGAAACTGTCTCAGTAACAAACAGAACCTGAAACCGATACGAATGAATCTAAAGGTTCGAAGTAACAGACTCAAGTTCATACATCTGAAGCAGGCAGTGCAGCAATAGCTGGCTAGGAGAGTTAACAAACTTTTGGGTGACTGTACCACTTTACCGGTACACTTTCCAACTCTATGTACTGTACTCCTCACTTTCCTGGAGACTTGCAAATTCCTCATGTTCCCTTTTCTGACATAATATCATAATACAAGCTGAAGCAATTTTCCATTCTGAACTACATCTATCAATTTCAGCTTTTCAGAGATACTTCCTGCTAAACCTATGAACAAAGGCACCACCACCATAAGCCATAGTTAGAGCATGTAGCGTCAGAGCATCACACAGTACAAATAAAAAGGAATAGTACAAAATGTGTCTGAGCAGAGCCAACACAAGGACCACATGTTTACAGCTCATGTGAGAAATCATTATAAAGGCAATGCCCTGGATTTCAATGCCATACATTCAAGATTTCTAACTTTTCCAAAACTATTAATATCTATTCAAAATCCCCAAGGATCACAAAAGTAACAAAATCCTAAAACACTGAAGTTCAAAATTGCAAGAGTTTATCTATAATTACATGGTGGACAAAAATATTGTATTAATCATTTAGTTGATATACAGGGTGAGTCAAAAATCTCCATACATAGGCAAAATTATCACTTTATTATGCAATCACTTGTAAGTCACAAAATATGCTCTATGTGGGCACCATTATATTTCAGCAAGATGGGGCGCCGCCCCATTACGGTATCCGCGTGCGCCAGTGGCTGGATCTGCAGTTTCCAGCTCACTGGATTGGCAGCCGTAGTCCCGTGGAGTAGCCTCCAAGGTCCCCAGACCTCAGCCCCCTTGATTTTTACTTGAAGGCCATGGTGGACCAGGTGAAGATACAAAACACAGACCACCTAAAGGAACGCATTCGTGATGCGTGTGCGCACATAACGCCAGACTTGTTAACACGCGTTCGCCATGAGTGGGAGCAATGCATCAGTATGTAAATTCAGTGTAATGGTGCCCACATAGAGCATATTTTGTGACTTACAAGTGATTGCATCATAAAGTGATCATTTTGCCTATGTATGAAGACTTTTGACTCACTCTGCTAGTTTACAAAAACCATTTCACAAAAGATTATTTAACACAATTAGTTAACTTACCTTGTCATTAGATATACGATAACAAATATTTCTTGCTGACTTCTGCATCTCCTGAATCTTTTCCAAAACTTTTTTGTCAAGCCATTGGGTCTTCCTCTTCATTATCAAGCTATAAGCAGACTCTCCCTGAAATAACATATAAAGTAAACTTGATGCCAATATAATATATAAAGTAAACTTGATGTCAATATAATATATAAAGTAAACTTGATGTCAATATAATATAAACAAACTCTTATTACCATTATATGTAACTGTTAACTTTTGGGCAATAGAATATGTCAAGGAATAAGTCAGCATGCTATCCATTGATTAAGAGTTCCAGCTGTTTGTGTCAGGCTTATATTGGGTTTTCAAGCGACAGACTTGGTATAGTATCCCCCGATACAAGAAGGGGTTGCATCCAGAGAAATTTATTCGTTAAAAGAAAATGTCTATATCAAATGGTAAACCACTGTATTATTGAGGCTTACATTCCAAGGGAAAAAAAAGCAATTGTATATCGATCATGAGTCCATACATGCCCAGTATTTCCCAACACTGGATAACCGAGACACGACCGACCACCAAAGAGGCTAACAGAACGATTAGTGGTGAAAGGGATATGGTACAATACGGTACACTACAGGGATACAGTGGAGCCCATGTTTTGTTGGGAATTATGTTACAGGGAGGGAAAATATTGGTCAACTGGGGCTTTTTACACATAATTCACCATTATATGTTCTGTAAAAATAATAACGTAGTAAAGAATAAATTAAAAACGATGAACATTGTACAGGTATTATAGAGTGCAAATGTGTCTTTGTGCATCCTGGGTGACCATCATGACCACACAACAGCTAAAAGTTTGCATTAAAAAAAAAAGTGAAATAATATGAGTGTTATTTGTTAAACCAAATGCCCCCTGTATTTATGTTCATATTAGAAAGGAGTGTCTGAGTGTGATCTTTATTTGTGAAAGCTAATGTTTGGCTTGAATAAAGAAAAAAGGTGTCAAATTGTTAGTTTTGTTCCAAATTTTTTTAGTTTATTGGTCATATGTACAGTAATGTATATTGGAAGACACTTATACAGGAGGTCCTCGCTATACTGTACCCAACCACAACAATAACAAACACCAGACTGACCAAGCATGGAGAGCAGTGCAGCGAGTGTTACCCACGTGGCCAAATATGCCGCGATTTTCCAAGATAATTTTATATAACTCGGCATTCCCGAGTTACTTTATAATAAATTCTAAGACCATATACGTGCTGAATTATATGAAATTCCGAGACATTGAATGCAGAGTCACCAAGTACTGTTCTTGATTCCATAGCTTGAGCTGGTAGAACGTTTCATAGTACCTCACCCGTGAATTATTGCAACTCCACTGTAATATTCACTATCGGAATACAGTATTCAATAACTAAATGGCTTTCATAGAGCCTATCCCATTTGGATGATAATATATATATATATATATATATATATATATATATATATATATATATATATATATATATATATATATATATATATATATATATATATATATATATATATATATATATATATATATATATATGAGTCATTCAATCCTGGCATAAAATCCTAAAACACTATGAACAGCTCCTCACCTGAGCATTAGCAATATCAACATTGGCTCCATGGTTGACTAAAACACTGACAGCCATGTGATTTTTTGCTATAACTGCCCAATGTAGCGCAGTGTTGCCATGAAGACGATCTGCCATGGACGTACTCGCACCAAATGTTAAGAGTAACCTTGTAGGGTCTAGGCTGTAATGATATAGAAAATCCTTATAATAAATGACAATACTAGTTTTGTATAGAATTTATAAAAGAAAGTATTTTGTTGCATCTCTTGTCATGTCTAAAATGAGCCACAAAAAAATCACATGATTCTCTATTTAAATTGGATGTTTGTGAAACATGTACAGCCCTACAAAGTTTAAAAAGATGATTGAAAACTATAACCAGCAACTTCATCTTTATCACAATGCACACATTCACTATCCTTCTACAACACTATTGCCACTTTTTTCTTTACAATCATTCATAATCAAATACAAGAAGAATCTGGGTAAACATTAAAAAATAACATTTAGGCAAACCTAATCTAATTTGCAAAGATGGTAAAAGATGAAAAAACAACATAACATGACCAATATTATCAAACAAACATCTGGGGAAACTGTCCAGATAAAATTACTCCCAGTGAAAATTAATTATTTTAAGGATGTGTATTATTGCCATGGTTGTTCAAGATTCTCATTGATGGAGTAGTAAGAGAGGTGAATAAAAGAGCAAGATTGGTATATTAGGATACTAAATGAAATTATGAGGCGAGTCAGTTACTGCTTGCAGATGACACTGTTCTAGTAGGTGATTCAGAGGGAATGTTATATGTGTTAGTAAATGAGTTTGGAATAATGTCTTGTGGGAGAGTTAACTCTCGACAAACTAACGGATGGGTGAAAGAATGACCTATAACTACCAGTAAATATATACAGTACAGGATCTGTTAATTTGAAAAACTTAGTATGACAAACCTAGTGACCCTGTAGGCACTCCACATTAGAGGTGTCATTCCATTTTTATCCATGAGGTTTACATTAGCTCCTCTGGCAACAAGATAAGCAACAATAGCTGTGTGACCAAACTGTGCTGCCAGATGTATGCAGGAACATCCCTCACCATCACGGAGGGAAGAGTCAGCCCCATGCTTCATTAACAAAACAACCATGCCTAGATGACCTTGTCTGTAAATAATACAGTTCAGTTCAGTATGTGTTAACAAGTAGTAGACTGAAAAGCAATACAATACAGTATATATTACTAGGGAATAGACTTGAGTTATTTAAAGCATAAATAGACAAACAAGTTAGAGACTTGGGAAAACATAACTGACATGAAAAATCATGTGTAAATAAATAAGGTTATAAGTGAATATTAATGAAGATACTTAACATTGTTGATGCTACTGTATATAAAAAATTACAGATACTCATCTTATTTTAAATACGAGTCAGTAGACATTTTGGCCAGGAAATAAAACTGTATTAACACAAAACCAACCTGGTAGCCCAATGCAGGGGCGTAGACATTAGCTCGCCACCGACTGCATCTACTACTGCTCCTTTGGATACATAGTATCTGTACAGTATAAGAAAGAATAATACTAAATACTGTATAATGGGATAAAAAAATTTTTATTAAATTATAATAGTACAATACAAAGAAAAATCTTAATCATTAAATGTTGAAATCTTATTCCCCCTTACGTATATAACCCTTAACAATATGCCAGATACAGGAGTGCTTCAATTTACGAAAGGGACACGTTCCTGAAAAAAACTTTTAAGGTGAGTAGCCGGCCAGACCCCGAGTGTCTCGCCGGAGAACACCTCTACCTAAGAGTGCTAACAGGGAAAGAGCTAGGAGTACAGTATGTGGCTATAGGTATGAGTCTAACTTGGCAACATGCCACCAGCAATGTAAACATATGCAATTAAAACATACAGTTTTTAATTTTCATTAATATATAAGCACAGAAATGTTGCCACACACTAGCCTGCACTACAGTACAGTCCACTGCTTACTGTATGTGCTCAGCATGGAATGCTTTCAGATGTAAGTCAGCAACTTAGCACCTTGAATACTAAGAAAAAATACGTTGAATTTTGTTCATAAAAGCGGGGTTTTCATTTGTACAGTACACCAAAGTACAGGGTACTTGAAAAAAATATATTTCATAATAGAGAATTTTGGTAAATCGAGGTTTCATAAATCGTAGCACTCCTGTGCTGCTTAAAGTGTTGAAGAAATTTTATCCACAGCTGTACTGTATACACAACCAGTGAAAAACCACCCCAAAATTTAATTCCTAACCAAAGAGCCAAATTAGATCAAGAAAATCAAAATACTGTATGCTAGTTTGTTGGGTAAGCCATCATAACTAAAGTTAGGAGGCTAATGCTCTGACCACCATGCCAAAATCTCAAGGATCATGAAAAATTATAATTAAAGAGGGGATGTGCACAACTTGGTCCAACGTACTGTTGTGTATAAGCAGACTAACCTGACAATTTCTCTTCTGTTATTGATAGCTGCCCAATGTAGAAGTGTAACATTTTCATTATCCCTCTTGTTGATGTCGTAGCCACCTTCAATTAATTCCTTACATCTCTCAATTGCACCATACTGAAAAGTTAAGCAGAAGAAATATATTTACAGGTATGCACTCTGTATAATAAACAAATGTGCAGTGTGCAATTCATTTTCAGAATTAACACATTTACTTTAGTTACCTAATGGCCACCCACTAGAGGTGGCCATGCCAGGGGAAGGAGGCCAGTGGCCTGTGTAGGAACCCCCAATTCTTCTTGATAATTTTGTCAGGGGCTATTTTGGTGTCCAGTACTGTTCTTGATTCGACCACTCCATGGGTCTACCATCCTCTGTGTGAAAAAGTATTTCCTTAATGGTGTTCTGCATGATAGCTTGGCAAGCTTGTAGTTATGTCCTCTCGTGCTGGTGGAGCATGACATGACAAAAAAAATGTCCCAGGTTTACATTTTCCATTCCTTTCAGAATTTTCAAACTTTCAGTGAGATCTGCCCGGTTGTGTTTTGCCCAAAGGGTTGTTAGTCCTATGGCCCTCAGTGTTACGTGATGTAAGTTTAAATGACCGCACTGCATATCCCAGGGTTCTTTGTTACTGTTTGTTGTATGGGACATGGCCACCAAGTAAACATAAGAACTCTTTTCTCCATGTATTATTATCACCCAACAATTCCTATCGCCTTGCCTGCTCGACACGTAACATGATGGAGAGGAGTCAGGCCAAACAAGAATTACTGACAAGAAGAGGAAACACTGCTGCAGTGGAGATTTGAGCCACTCTTTTCTGGTGAGAGAAGGCTGAGAGGACGACTGGAAGCCAGAAGGTGCTAATACTGTGTGTCGACATGGACTGTTGTGTTCACCTACCTGTTGTGATAATCGCTGTGCAGATCTACCATAACTGCTGCGTTGCTGTGAAGATGACTCGATCCTCAAGCTAAGTACCTAATTATAATATCACTCAACCCTATACTACCTGGTATCAAGCCACCACAACCACTGTCACTTGGTTCTAACATAGCCAAGAATTGGAAGCTGAGGTAGAAGGACTATGTAGTGGCATGCAGTGCTTTCTCAATTGGACAAGCGTGACAAGGTGGTATAGGTAGCTTTGTTCAAGCATGTGCTGGCTGATGACGCTCTTAAAGTGTACAATAGTTATGCATTCACAACCGAGGAGGAGTCAGAGATAACTGTCAAGAAGATTATTGAAAAATTTGAGGAGCAAGCCATAGGAAACAGTAGAAACCAGGCTGAAGGTGAAACTTTTGAGCAGTTCTACTCTAATCTGAGATATCTTGCAAAAACTTGTGCTTACTGTGACAGTTGCTTGCGTCAATGGTCAGGGATTATATTGTCTTGGGTATTAGAGATTCAAGTTGGCAAAATGACTGCTTAAAGTGCGAGACCTCACACTGGAGAAATGTATCGACATATGCATAGTTGCTGAAAATGCAACAGCTCAGAACAAAATGATAAGACCAGACACAGTAAATAAGGCAACAAAGGAGAACAGAGATTATAAGGAGACGAATGACAGAGGGAAAGTGAAATATGAGAAATCTAAGAACCACAAGTTTTGTGGTTACAAACATGCTCTTATAAAAGAGAAATACCCTGCATATGGCAAAGTGTGTATCATGTGGCTTCAGTAATCATTTTGCTAATGTTTGTAAATCACAGACGTCAGTCTAGTCATAAGATCTATATTGTATGTGACAATGACTGTGACATCTGAGTCTAAATCTTCCTCAACAAAGGCAGCTACTGATTTTATCCATTCTGGGTCTTCTAAACCTAGATCACATGACAACAATCACAAGGAAACTAAGTGTAAGATGGTGATAGGAGGTAAAGAGATAGTCTTTCAGATTAGCACTGGTTCTACTGTGAATACTCTTCCCCCCCATTTTAGCCAAACATGTCAAACCTACAAATAGAGTCCTTAAGACTTGGAACCAAGGCAGTCAGGTTACATTGGTATGTGCACTAGGAATTTGAAAACCCTGTAACCGGTCAGAAATGTCCTATTGATTTCATTGTCTTTAAAGAGAATCTTACACCACTTTAAGGGATGAATGTTAGTCAACACATGGGACTGGTGGAGGTAAAGGAGGACAACTTTGAGCGAGTGTACAATATCAAACTAGAAGATGAGTATTTGGTTGTGATGAAGGGCTCTCTAGAAACCCACCCTGGTATACGGTCCCTCAAAGTTGACCCAAATATTAAAGCTGTAATTATGCATGACAGACACATGCCAATATCCATGAAGCCTAAACTAAAGGCAGAACTAGACAGACTAGTCAAGCTGGGTGTAATGTACCTGTAGATGAACCAACCCCTTGGGTGAATCAAGTTGTTGAGAGTCCCAAAATGCAGGAGTGGGTCCAGAAATATCAAAAGGGGTGGGGGGGAAGAAGTTTTGGGTGAGTGAACATGGCAAACAAAGCAAGCCCACCGAGCTGGGAGGGTTTTGGGGAGGGCGCTGTAAGGCCCCCTCCCCCCTGAATTTTTTTTAAAATCTGGCCAATATCATGAGCATTTTGAAGCCATGTGCACTTGATATTAGGAGCTATACTGAGGTCAATAATTATTTTTTATTATACAAAAATGCCAGAGTACAATACTGCATTAAAGTATTCAAATTTTCAGATGAAAAGGGGGGGGGGACCCCTGGATCTGCCCTTGAAAAGGATGAGCGTCAGAGCTTGCACAGACCCAAGAGAGCCAAATAAGGCCCTTCAGAGAGAACATTATACATTTCCTATTCTGGAGGACACCCTTCATGAATTGGGCCAGTCTAGAGTGTTCTCAAAAGTCGACTTGGCATTTGGCTATGCTTGATACTCCTTCTAGCTACTTGACCAAATTCCAAACATGTCATGGTAGATTTAGGTGGCTGCACCTACCTTTTGGGATGAAGGTTTCTTCAGAAATTTTTCAGAAGCGATTACTTGAGGCACTAGCAGGTTTGAAGGGAGTTGTCTGCATTGCTGACGATGTCATAATACAATAGAACACAATGCAAACCTAGAAAGTTTTCTCAAATGTTGTAGAGAGAATAATATCCAGCTTAACAAAGACAAGAGTTGCAGAGTGACACCTTAACGTTCATGGGACATCAAATAACCAAAGAGGGTCTACAAGCTGATCCCGAAAAAGTAAAAGTAATTAAGGATTTCCCAACTCCAGAATCCAAAACTAGCCTCAGATCATTCCTATGTCTGGTTACTTATGTGTCCAGATTCCTCCTTAATGTGCATGATATCTTACACACCCTTAATAATCTGTTGAAAAATGATGTACCCTGATGCTGGTCCAGTGCACAAGAGCAGGCTTTTCAGAAAGTTAAAGGCATGATAGCTGACAAATCTCTACTGGTGTTCTATGACCCTATTAAAGGGTTTAATGCTTGAGAATGATGCTAGTGAATATAGGCTCAGTGCTTCTGCAGGAAGGAAAACCTGTTGCTTTTGCAAGCAAGTCTCTAAGTGAGGCAGAGAGGAACTGTGTACAAACAGAGAAAGAAATGTTGGCAGTTGTCTATGGTATTGAGAAATTTCATCATTACACACATGGTCGCTTTGTTAATGTAATTACAGATCACAAACCCCTTGTTAACATTAGAGACAAGCCTCTGTCTCTTGCTCCCAAACGTTTATAAGCAATGCTAATGAGAACTCATAAGTACCACTATAACTGAGCCACAAATCAGATAACATCCCCATGACTGATGCCATCTAAAGCCCCTGTAGATTTATAACTCGACTGACACTCCTTTCAAACCAGGCAAATTGTGAGAGGTTACAGAGGCCACTGAGTAAGATGAAATACTGAGTCAACTGAAGGTAGTTGTTTTAAAAGGTTAGCCAGCTAACAAAAGTAATGTTCTTGTGGGTGTGTCACCTTATTTCAGCTACAGAGATGAGATAACTGTTCAAGATGGTGTGTTGCTGCGGGGAGAGAGTTATAATTCCCAGAACATTTCGGGGTGAAATTAAACACAAACTACATGTGGCCCCTTCAGGAATAAACTCATGTCCGAGACGTACCAGGGAGCTGATTTTCTGGCCCAGCATGTCTTCTGAAAATAGGCAGTACATAGAAACATGTGTTTGTGCTTCTTCAGCTAGCAGACAAACCCCGGAGCCACTATACATGCATGACGTACCAGACCGTCCATGACAAAAAGTGGGGACAATCATTCACAATCAAGTGTCGAGCCTATTTAGTTACCATAGACTATTTCAGTCAGTTCATTGAGGCTGACTTCTTACCTGTATCTGACTCTGAGAGTGTTGTTCACAACCTTGAAAGTCATTTCATTCATCATGGCATACCTGCAACCCTAATCAGTGATAATGGACCACAGTTCACAATGCAATACAATACTTCCAGCAGTTCACCACAGCTTGGGACAAACATCTCCCATGAGACGTCAAGTCCAGGCAATAATAAGGCTAATGGAGCTGCCAAAGTAGCTGTGAAGACTGTGAATGGAATGATAAAGCGGTGTTTGAAGGCAAAAGAAGACATGTACCTAGGACTTCTGAACATCCGAAACACCCCACAAGAGGGACTAAACACGAGTCATGCACAACGGCTAATGGGGAGAAAGACGAAGACAGTGATGCCCATAAATGTTACCCACCTGAAGTCCAAACAATGTTCTCTGGATGAAGAGAGATGGCTAATGCAGAAGAAGAGTACTGTGGCAGAGAGACACCAGGACCATAGATTGCTGAGACCGCTTTCAGACCGAGAGGCAGTCAAGGATGCAGCCCATTGACAACAAAACGTAAGAGTGAAAAGGGGCTACAGTAACCAAGATCAAGAGCAGAACCTATGAAGTCGAGACAGAAGAAGGCAAAAAGTATAGAAGGAATTGGCAGTTGATACGACCCACAAGTGTTAGAAGAGTAGAAGACATTAATCCTGCCAAAGACAATAAACATCAAAGAAGCCTAGAACCTGAAATCTAGGAGGAGCTTGAGGGGAAACCAGTAGGGTCTGAACATGGTGCAACTCCCAAAGCAGAACACTCTAAAATACAGTAGAAGAAAAATACAGGACGTGAAGTGACTGCCCCAAGGAGACTGGACCAGTAGCTTGACTAAATCAATGAGATTTATCTACCTGCTCATAGTGACTTTGAGGACTGATTAAAGGCTCTAACTACGTAGGTTCTGTAAATTATATACTGTACTTCGCATTAAGTAGTGTATTATCGTGAGTGTATTTTTGTAACATTCCACAAAATAACTACCTATGTTACTTAAAGAATGACGCCTTGATTTTAATCTTCGGGGCATCCATTAATATTGATGTAATGAAGTACAGAACATGATTTTCTCATTTCTATTATTATCTTGCATTTCTATTTTTCTTTACTTGAATTTTGTCAGTACATTCTTTTTCTCGAAGGGAAGGATGTTACGTGACATAAGTTTAAATGACGCACGCTGCGCATTCCAGTGTTCTTTTGTTACTTTTTGTTGTATAGGTCATGGCCGCTGAATAAAGAGAAGGGCTCTTCTCTCCATGTATTATTATCAACCAACAATTCTTATTGCCATGCCTGCTCGACACATAACATTCAGCAGACATGGATAATGGAGATGACATAGTTCCAGAATCATCTTAGTCGTTCTGTGTTGCATCTTTTCTTGGGATGTTAGATCTTTCTGGAGGTAGGGTTTCCATGCCCCTATACAGTAATCCAGACTGGGATGTGTACAGTTGAAGGAGCATTTTCCTACCTTTGTATTCGAAGGTACACTTTATAATTCACAAATCTCAATTTTTCTCACTGCTGCCCCCACCTGTTGCGCTGCCTTCAGTGACTGATCTATCACAACACCAAGATCTTTCTCCTTATTGACAGTATCCAGGAAAGTATAATTTGCAGAAAAGTTGTGATTAGGGTTGCTGTATCCTACATGTAGGGTCTTGCCTTTCGTAATGTTAAAGAGTATTTGAGCAGCTCACACAGGCCTTACTGCATTGTTGAGACATATCTTGACTTGCTACCTCCCCAAATATCTTCCTGTTGTCCAAAAAATTGAGTTGTTAATTCACTTCAAAATCTGCAACTGCATGATATACACTAGCACAGAATAGTAATAAAACTCATTATATATAGGTTTATACTGTATCTCATATACTGTATAGTATTTTTGAAATTTAAAAAAGTTTGAAATCCTATTTTATAGTGAAAGGTGAGATATACCAACACTATGACAAGGTTGTGTAAAATGCTCTATCAAGGGAGATGTTCTGAGATGTAATGTCAGAGGTCATTTGGCGAATGACCGACAGGCTAGAAAACATGTACTGCACTGCACATGTATATATACAGTATATTATTAATAATAATAACAACAACATTGATGATGGCATTAATAATAATACAGGTGATAACATTAACTGTAGTTAATAATAAATATACTGTTATTAAATACTGTATAACAAAACTACTTGTCTATAGTACTATACAATTCTGTAATGTAGCGACTTAAATATCCAAATACCTGTAGTAATATATGCCTTAGATATTAGCAATAATAGGTTGAAAGATGTATGCCCTCAAAATCAATAATGCAATTCATTTGGTTTACTCACCTGCGTCGCTTTAACAATGTCAAAAGTTGAGAAATCGGACTCATTTGTGTTGCGAGTAGTAGGCTCAGAGTTCTGAATACTACCTGTAGCTTCATCACCGTCAGTCTCCCGCTCGACACCATACATTCCACTCGGATTACAAGCATCCTGATAAAAAAACTATGCATTAGAAAGTTGATGTATTTCAGATCTCATGAATATTATGAATACCCACTTATTTCACCTGATGATTAAACACCCTGATACTAATCTAACCTTTCAGAAAAATCTATGAAAGAAAACTTCTAGAATATCCAAAAAAAGTCAGAGGAATTAAAGTGTTAACCTACTTTCCAGCATGTGACCTAATGCTAATGTTTCCCAGTGAGCTTTCCATACCAACACAAAATCACCCTAAACTAACCCCACTTCCATCCGAGGATATAATTATAGATTTAATTGGTTTTTCATATTTTTTAATGTCATCAGCTGCTGGAAAACGTTCATGGGTATGATTAAATGTGCTCAGGAATGCAACTCTGTTAATATAAATTAAACAGTAGAGTCAGTATTGGGATGGTGACAGCAGTATGCATAAGGCCCACATGTAAACGTGTATTTAAAACAGCTATGGTACTTCTGTTGTCACCTCCACAAATACAGCCCAGCGTGCATAAGATCGTGTACAATAAAGAAATAAACAAGACATTAATAACGTAACTAATTATGAAAGGCGTGCTGGTCTGGGCTAAAGAAAACTAGTGTGAATGTGAAGTGATGGAAGTCCTGGCGCAGTATAACCTTAATTATCTCATCATATCTTTCTTAAGCTTGTAATTTTTTTTAAATAGCTATGTGCTTATAAGCTTAAATCATATCTGTATAAACTTTAACAACACACTATACCGACCTGACCCATTAAATCGACGGGATTGCATGACGGGTCAACCTCACCAGCCATGTCTGTTGTCATTACTACTCAGCTGTTTAGTGTCGTCTGCAGAAACTACTATTTTATTATATCAAACCTAAATTATTTGTATTTATATATATAATGATACCTCTTTACGTATTTGATAGTTATTTATCTGTGTACTATGAGTAAATCTATATTTTTCCATAATATTTATGTCTTGTGATTTATAAATTCATAGGCGGGAAATTTGAATAAGTTTGATAAATGTTAAAATATGTCTCAATTATCCTCTTCACCAGACAATCAGAAGTCAATTTTACGTTATCAGTAATTACTTGACATCCACAGGCTCTTGGGTGTATCTGAATAGTGTTGAGCGTGTATTAATGAACCACTTTCACTTAAACTGAAATGAGTGTGTGAGTGCATGGTTAGCTAGCTTGTTTCACTTCAACACACCAACCCCAAACAATTTTAAGTACCTAAGATAAGCTGTAAAGTTAATTACTTTCGACAGGGTTAGGGACCTAAATCCATGTCGTAAGTCGAAAATGCGAAGATAATACATTGAAAATCTAAAATGGGTGTCTCTTTTTCTTCTCAGCACCACAAAACTCTCACTTTTAAGCATGCCAGCCATTTTAAAGGTAATTGCAAACGAAAATTTTGTTAGTACACAGCGCAATCACTGACGTCGGGACTCGAAAATACATAATTTGAAAATTTTTTAGTACGACTGGGACGGTCGTATGTCCGGGTGGTCGTAAGTTGAGGAGTAGCTGTATATATGTATGGGATGGTCCCGATTAGACCATATTCCTATTAATTCTTATGGGAATTAATTCCTCTTTACAAGTGATTTCATTATCAATGGCATTTTTCTGGTCCCTATTAACCACTTATAACGAGGACCCCCTGTTTGTAGCAGTGACAAGCATGAAGCCTTTTGAGATGATTAAGAATTTAGAAAATTACTGTACTCTAATTTTTGGTGATGCCAATTAGGGAGGGGGGGGGATATGCCCCACTTGACAGCGAAGTGCAACGTATACACACATACACTCACACACCTCCTATCATCACATTGGGCCCCAACACTCTCCAGGTTGTCGACTTCACCAAGCTCCTCAGCATTACTATAATTAAACTAAATTGTTAAATACACATTAACGCAATTGTCCAATCTTCTTGCTTTCATCTCTATTTCTTCCGTCCTCACAAGTCCCTCAGAGTTCCCGCGCCTGAGCTTTTCAGTGCTTACTCAACATTTATACTTCCTAAGTTCAGCTATGCTACCTCTGTCTGGTCTTTGTCCTTAAATGCTACACAGCTAGGACTCCTAGAAAAAGTGCAGAAGAGGGCATGCAAGATTATTCTCTCCCCCTCCTACTCCACATGAAGAAGTGGCTACCACCCAAGATCCCTCATCCACGAATTGCTGTCCAACACCACAACCACATCCAGCCCATACAATTAAGTACTGTACTGTACTGATCACTAATAGAACAACCCAATCCCAACTATCGTAAAAATTATCAACTACCGGTACTCACAGTTAACCAATGTGTTCACTCCCTGCCAATCTCACTTTCGTATTGTTACTGTGCTGAAATTCCTTGTTAATTGACCCCCTCCCCCCTTGCCATTATATGTAAACTTGTCACTATACTCATATACCGTTATTATATTTGTACCATGTACGTTACCTGTATATTATTTGTCAATCAAGTAATCCATTTCCCACTTACGTAACTTTCAACATCTCCAGCCCTTTGGCTGCCATGTTCTTTCAATTAACCATTAATTATTATTACAAACACAAACATACACATACACCCAGGGTGATTCAAAATTATGCAATTATAGGAATATTTATTTTTAAGTTTTATAATAACAGTTCCCACTGTCAGCCTCTGACAAGCACACACACACATACAAATTCTTGAATGCTGATTTCAGTGAAAAAAAATTAAACATTGACATGTCAATTTTAGCACATTTGTTATGGACTGCACTGATTTATAACACAGAACAGTGCACTACTGAAAATTTAAAGAATGCAATCAGTAACAAATATAAATGTAAATTTTTAGATTTCTGCTCACTCCAGAAAAATCCTGCACTGCAATCCAGCGATCTTATTTAAAATTTGTACTAAGTTTTCTGAAAACTGAATTTAAAACAGAAAACCAAACATGTTTGATAAGCTAACTATGTACAGTAGTCGTCTTTTATTATTATATGCAGCCTAGTCCATAGTAATTAGGAGTATCTCACAAAAACTTAATTTCTAGGTCAAACAAACAAAGGAAAATCACCATAAAACCCCAACACATTCCATAACAATTTATTATAGTTCCAGGTGTAATACATAATATATCAACTACTATAAACATTCATGAATACTTGGCAACTTCATGAGGCAAAAATATAATACTAAGTAATGTAGCAACCATACAAACTTATGAAAAGTAATAAAAAAGCACATTACTAAACAAAAATAAAATGTTCACTAATATAACAGGCACCCCATTCCTCTTTTTCATCATTCCATGTTCATATTGAGAACTACCCTTACGAGCATATACAGTACTGTACTGTATATAACTTAGGTACATAACTACTTCATACCATCTTTTACTAGCTTTCATCAATATCAGTAACTATCAAGATAATATACTGGTGTTAACAGGATATTTTCATGGTATCCAGTGCAAGTTTTTATTGGTGCAGCTATCACGTTAAGTCCTCAATCTCAACTATAAAATCTCAAGTTTGAAAAAATTTGGAACAATCTATATTCAGTTTGAAAAATAAACCAGAATCACATGAAAATTTGCCACCCCAACTTTTTTCCACTTACGATTAAACTCCCTAATACTACCTGGGGGCATTGGGTTGGGATGGGTTGTGTTAGGTTTACTTGAGGGTGGTTAATCTTAAGATGAAATAAGTTGGGGTGATTACTCATGTGATCCTATACCAATACAAAAAATTACATTGTAAAAGACAAAACAAAAGTTTACTCTCTTTAGGCTTTCAATTTGTCAGCCAACTCTGCAGGTTTGAAGATTCCTAACTCTGTGACAATTCCACCTGTGATCAATTCTGCAGGAGTGACATCAAATGCAGGGTTCCAGCAAGATATACCTGGAAGAAACATTAAAAAATTTAGTCAGTAAAACAGTCACGCTAAAATTTACCTCGTACTCTTAACCCATAGACAAAATTCTACAGCACATTCTTCAGTTCAAGAGCAAGTGTAAACTGGGTTTAATTTACCCAAGTTAATAAAATCCCCAAGAATAGTGCTAAATATGACAGAATACCTGAGAGAAGTTTCACATGGCAAGAGTTCACGTAAATAAAGTCTGGGCAGAACTTTGACCAGACTGAACATCTTTATGTTGAAACACTTGTGGAAGAATACTTGGTGCAAAGCTTTTTCTCAGGAAAAACGTCACAAAATGGTGATTAAAGGATCCTACTGGAAACAAGCATCTGATGGTTTTATTGGCTATACTATACTTAGTTGAATTACATTACTGTTTATACCTGCAGTCTATGTATAATACATACCTGCAGTCAGTATGTTTATATACATGCTGAATTGTGTGCTTCCATTATATGTACAATATATATGCAAATAAATCACTGTAAGTGCGCGTGATCCATGTATAAGCCGATAACCACAGAGGAAACAAGAAAACACAAAATTCCCAAGTGCTTTTGTGTAAATCACATCTTCAGGAACATAACTACTTCATACCATCTTTTACTTACTTACATCAATATCAGTAATTATCAAGAGAATATACTGGTTAAGATATTTTCATGGTATACAGTCTTCTGCCAATACTCAAGAGAGGATATACCTGGTATATTGATGTTAACAGCAATCTTTCATGTGCTATCACAAATTTACCAAATGAATATCTATCTATCTAAAATGACAATGTCAAGGAGTGGATAATATATTTACAAGCACATAATTTCTTAGTGGGAACATGGGTATGGTTAGTGAGAGGGGTATATTGAGGAAGATCATCACTTGAATACAGGACATGCTTGAATACAGGGCAGACAGTTTACTAACAATAATTCTGAGGTGATGATAAGCTTTCTCTTGTGGTGCATATGGAGGAGGGTTGGGTAACATTTGTAACAATGATTTAGTAAAGAATTAGAGATTTGTTACTTATGGACTCTGTGGAGAGATTTTCTTGACTGCATTAGACATAAAGAGTCTTGAAAAAATAAACAATATATTTACTTTCATCCCTATATACTGCCAGATTGGGGGTCACTAATACTAAGGCTAAATACTTAACTCTATCTTAATTTCTAAGGGTCGCTGCCACCAGACCCCCTCTGGACAGCAAGTAGCTCGTTAGGTAGCGTGCAGAGTGGACTAGGCATTGGGTAAGGTTTTCCATTGACCAGATCGATAAGGGGAAAGAAGGGTGAAACCATAACATGTCTTAATTAATTTATTCCTTATAAAGCATACTGGTAAAAAACATACACATGAATTGGTCTTCCTCGGAAGAACAACGAAAATGTTGGTCACCCAGATGGGCACCAGACGTCTTACATTAATGGCGTGTCATCCACATACTTATTGCATAACAATCTGTGACCACCTTACCTCGGTCATTCCTTCTTACACTATCCCTTAACACATCAGACTGCTCCACCTGTATGGAATATAGCACCGTCGGTTATCATACATAGTAGCACCATCTCAACACACGTGTTACACTCCACCCCTGCAGGTATGGGACTCCTTGTAACTTTTAGGTATACACAACAGGCACCTCGTTCGCACATCGCCCTCGGTGGGTAAAGACGAGGGCTTCACCAAGAGACATACCAGTACTACTTCTACGCCTGGTATTATAGGTCGCTCCAAGTAACGACCGCAGAGTTTCTCACGGTCTCCTTATTTGTTACTACTCATTTGGAGTGGTGTGCTGGAAATCCACAGGTTCACAGTGGATTGGCATAGCTGGGAGTAGTCACCACCTGTTGGGACGCTCATAGGGATAATGGCTGCCAGGCAGCAAGGCACTCCGACCGCATGGAACCTGAGGTGACGGTAGAACGGAGGGTACTGAGAAATAATGCCTGACGGGCGGTTATCAAACCCCCTAACACATTACTATTACACTTATATATCAGGCAAAGCTTTAAACTGTAATAACTTCTATATAAGCCTTAATTATAGGGCGGGATATAGCCCGATAGGACACTGACCTGAGGTGACGGTAGAACGGAGGGTACTGAGGGCAGTGCCCTGCCGCTCATCACCGCATAGGCCTACAGTTTCCAATCTTCAATTTTTACTTTTATTTCTTACGGTTCTCACCTGAACACTTTTCGGTATATTATCACTCATGCCGTATAAACACATATTTTAATCCTAAATTCCCCTCTAAGGCAAGGTCTTGTTTTGCTAGTTCGTGGGTAAATTCATTGGGTTATAATATCAACGCGGCACACTCGAGGCGGGTACATGACGCGCCTTAAAACAAAGGCTGAATGTTCATGGCGGGGGTGTATCAACTTCACTTAAAACTGTAATGAGGGATCCTCCTCTCACACATTGCACTATTTGAACACAGACATAAGATTCTCTGGTCACTGTACCTGTGGTGGGTATATGTCACGTGAGGATACGAGGTGTATTAAGTTCATACCGACGCATACAAGATATTTCCTTTCAAGTATAGTTTCTGGGTCACTTCCAACACCTCACATAGTTCTGATACATTTATCCTTTTTCCAGATCATTGTTCTCATGCATTTTCATATGATATCTGTGGAAGTTATGTTCGCTACACGCTCACAAACGTAAATAGTATGACCTTCAAACCCTGATCCACACTTAGTCCTACAGTACAATAGTCCAGCTCAACTGGACTTTAACATTCATCTTATGGATACCCTGAGTTCTCCTTAATGCTATGAATACATACAATTAATATTATATAACTGTACCTGGGTACAATACAACACATGGTCTAGTAACATTGAGTAGGTGAGTTATCCTTTATCAATGTTTCCCGTTTTCTGAGGTTCTACAAGCGCGGTGGATTTGAATGTTATATAGCGTAATATGAATTAAATGGGGTTTTAGGAATGACAATGATGTGCGCAGTACACCTAAACAACAATAGACAGACATACTGTATTGCATTTCATCATCAAATAAAAATAACAAATTGAAGAAGCTTTCTGACAACCAACGCACCATAATATTAGTACAGTACAGCACTGTGATCCTCACCTGGGGATGCAATCTTAATACCAGCAATATCTGTCATCTCATTGTGTGGTCGTTCTTCAATTGGTATATCCTTGCCCACAGCTAAATTTAGGTCAATGGATGATGTAGGAGCACACACATAAAATGGAACATTATGGTGTTTAGCAATGACAGCTAACTGAAAAAAAAGGTTGACCATTAATTACAATACTGATGATCCACTTAAGCATGATACTTTCCAGTTTCAAGAGAAAAAGTATTTTCAGACCAAACAATTCCTGACCTTGGTGTTTTTTTTTATTTTTATAAATTTTTTAATTACTTCAATATTTCTTATATATTATATGCTGATTAAGAATTAAAGATCATAGAATGTGAAATCTAAAAACTTACAAAAGAATACTGTACAGTGAATATCTCTATTAGCCAGAACAATTGGTGCAGAGCACTTCTGGGAATGAGAGATTTCCGGGTAACAAGGCGACTCTTAAAGCTGGAAAAAAAATCCCTCATCCCCGGCTAACGTAAAAATTTTCTCGGAAGTTCCAGAAATAGTGCATTTACATCATCTCTCGAACCCAGAAAAATGTCCCCCATCCCCGGAATTTTCCGGGTACTGGAAAAATGTTCTCAGAATTTACAGAAAATGCGCCCAATTTTCATCTCTCAAACACGAGAGAGAAAAAACCAATAAAATAAAAATAAATAATCCCCCATCCCTGGAATTTTCCGGGTACTGGAAAAATTTTCTCGGAATTTCCAGAAAATTTCAATTCCAGCTATCAGAGAGTTTCAGTAAAGAGGGATTCCGGCTAATGGAGATATTACTATATTACACACCTGATAGGTGCCTATCTTATTTGCTGTATCACCATTGCTGGTAACTCGATCAGCTCCAACGACAATGGCATCAATCTTGTGAGAATTAATCAAGGCTGCTACCATACTATCACAGATCAAAGTTCCCGGTATTTTATCATACACCAGCTCATACGCAGTGAGGCGTGCACCTTGGTTGTATGGACGAGTTTCTGTGCAGTAGGCCTGATCTAAAATAATAAAAACAGATATAAAAACACAGTACAATGACATTTGGAACTTATCATCTTCATCACCTGTCAGCTTAACCCCTTGTGTACATGGGCTCTCTGTGCAGAGTAAAATTTTCTGACATTAACCAAATAAAATTCTGAAAGTAGTGTCACTGGAGTGAAGGGGTTAACACATAAAATGTAACTTAATCTGATTAAAAGTTTACAATCATACTTCCTTGATCTAATGCCTGTCACTGTTAACCATAACACAATAGCTATTAAAGCATTCTCCACACAATTTAACTGAAAGTAACTGAGGTTACTGGAAAATGCTTACTGTACTGTAAATCTCCAGTTTTTATTAATTCATTTTAATTTATCATTTCACCAGCTATCAGCTTACTAACAGTTCAAGTGGTTGATCAGTTCTTTGCTACTTTCTTAGGACCTTCATTGTCCAGTGTTAGTACATGAGGAAACTGGAGCACCTAGAGGAAGCCTGTAATGCCTGGAAAAAGCCCTACTCTTACCCAACCTGCAGACTTGAACTTGCAATTGCAGTCATGAAACCTGAAATCCTATATTCCAGCAAAGCTCATTGCCAGACAGCTCTTGTTACTGCATTAGCCACTTCTGGGAACTTGACAATCACACTGCACCTCTTAGCCAGCTAAGAGCTGATTTTATGACAGCCCATCCCCCACTGTTCTTTTCAAAACTGCACTACATGTATCCTTGATAATCATGGGGTTAGGTTCTAGAAAACTACCGGGATAAGCAAAACCATACATATCGTAACACATTACATATGGGAAAAATTAGTTTCGTCACATGACCCCAAAGATGCATCCACTAATTGACCAAAATACGTATATCCTCAAAACTGTGTAGATACTGTACACTAAAAAATATAATACTAGTAACTTATCTTTACTAATTACTGAATAACAAATAAACAATATACAGTACTGTACAATATTGTATCATGAATGACAGTCATAGTAGAATGAGAAGCAGAGTGTTGGTGAGAGCAGTGGGTGTGAGGGAGGGAGGAAGGTGGACAGTGGGTGGGATATTGTGCTGTGGACATTGTGCTAATCTGATCTGGCTAAAGCAAATCCACCATTGAAATTATGATTTAGGTGGTGATAACAGAGGTAGTGGTGGTGATCATGAAGCTGGTGGTGGAGGGGGAAATTGTGGTAAGTGGTGAGGAGATGATGCATCAATCGGTTTGTTTGGTAACACTGGCTGCAGCACTGCCAGACACAACTGAATAGCTGATGTCTACCCACAAAACATTATGTTGCATAAATTTTAAATTATGGAGTGAGAAAGCAGAAAGGTGGAGTGGAAGGAAGTGGTAAAATGCAATAGGTGTGTTGCCAAGTGCATGCTTATCCTTGTCGGGAAATTGGAACATTCAACCAGAGAATACACGTGTCTTCATCGCTTGGCTGGATCAGGAACCTTAACACTATTCTTGTTCACAGGTGCCATGGTGGAGGGTAAGTAAAAGTTACAAAAACTGCACCATAAACAAGCGCGGAGCAGGAAACGGTCTTCAAGCACCGACCAAAACAGTAAGGGGAAACAAATGCTGTCACTGGAAGCTGGCGCTACGAGCCGTGCTGCCATCTCTTGACAGTCGGTGCTACTGCTGGCTCTTGCAGACCCACTGCTGTCCCATGATAATTCCGCGATAACCCAGATCAACCAGTGATAAGCGTACACATGGTCGCAATTGAGGATACCATGATAAGTCAGATGAGTGATTATTGGGTCCTGTGATTATCGAGGATACATGTGTATTCAATCTCACAATTCCACTCCGTAACATCACTGAAATCTTTATTATTGGTTTGCAATATTACATCATTTCTCATTGAAATTTTTACTGCATTTGCACAACTACTGTACTTTACTTAAAAAGTCAAGTAAATTTTGTCAACTCACCTAAGCATCCACGTGCATGAATGGATCGAACAACTCCAAGTGCTGTACCATAGCCAGCAGTTGCCAGTGAGCCAGTGTTACAGTGTGTCAGTATCTTTACATTCTTGCCTCCAGCAGATTTCAAAATTGAGTCAGCACCAAAGTCACCAATTTTCTTATTAGTACTAACATCATAATTTAACATCTTCTGGCACCAACTAATTACTCTGAAAATTACCAATACCATAAAATAAAAAGATTAAAACTTCATTTTGAATACACTATACTGATTCTGGGTATTTGTTTACTCTATACAATATAAATACCACAAACCTATTCATTTACAGTACTTTATCAAATCTTTTTTCACACTGACTATGTAGGCAAGTAACTCCAATAAGCACTCACAAAAATGAGAATTTGGTCCAGGTAACCACAATGTAGGATAAAATTTTTTACAGTATTATCCAAAGTGTTACTTTTTGAAAAGTATAATTTTCCCCTCTGAATAAATATGAATAAAAATTTGGTATGGGTCATCCAACTGCCTGGTAAAACACAAAGGCGATGGTTGCTTAACCCCTTTAGGGACTTACAATGCAGCTTCATATCATGCATTTATACTTTTGGCATGTATTTAGTATCTTTTTGAACCATTATTCTTAAAAAAAATTATATTTTGGAAAATTTTAAGAAAAATAATGTTTTTTTGGTAAAAATATTTAATTTTGAACAAATTTATGATTTTCAAGTAATTTCAAAGGCAGATATAAAAACTTCATGGTCTCATGGTCATAAGAACTTATGAAATTAAAAAACAAAATTCAGGAACCACTCTAAAATCTTATCGCGTCCCTGAAGGGTTAAATGTCGCAATGGTGAGGCATAGTGTGTACAAGTTTTATTCACCTAACATATACACATAAGAAAAGGGCCAGCAAGACTTTGTAATGCCTATATGTTGTATGGAAAATAAGCGTCAAAAGTAAGACAGTGTGTAAATGTACGTAACTGGGAATTTTGATAACAAATTTCAATGTTGCTCTTTAACATAAAATGACATCAAATAAATACTACAATACAGTACTGTATTGTGTTCTGAATGGCCACCTACTGTACAGTAAATATACTATATTGTAATGAAAATCGTGTTGGGGTATTACTTAGATTCATATGCAAATCACAAATTTTCTTATTTTTCCTTTTTAATGAATAAAAATATAAACTTGCTTTACTAGAAAATTTACTTCATCTTACTTCTCTTTGGTCTCACTCGTGTTATCTTTTGATGGATGTCCATTAACAAGTAAAACAACATACTGTATACAGTAAATATAGTACAGGGTACTGCTACTGTACTTTGAGTACCGTATGTATATACAGTACGGCTATAATCATTCACATTAATATTAAGCATCCACTTATACAGTACAGTAATCTATTTAACAACTGAGTACATCCACAGTAATAGAGGAGATGGCGAACACTACAAGGTGTTGTTCTATTTTGTTCATTTTTTTCCACAGAAGTTCATATCATTATAATAGGTATTTTTAAAGGAGGCAACTACTTTTTATTTTAATTATAAGTATTTTTTTTTTTTTAGTTTTCTCTATCTACGATCATAAATCACCTGTAGTGAGCAGGGCATGAAGGATGGAGGAAATTGTGGGGTAAGCCAGTGAAAATTAATCTTATGACACTAAAATGATTTCTCTACATTTTTTATAAAAATGATGTCATTATGTGCTTTATACGTGAAGAAATTAATTATTTACTGTAAATACTTCTCCGAAAAATCTACCAAGTCAACACATGTCTGTCCAGTTTGTTTACAACCGACCCGCTCAGTCTAAGCGTACTCTCGTGTCCACAAAAATGTACAAATTATACCATGTCGCTTCAACAAAGTTGCTTTCACTGGTACCATGTATCAAAACAAGTACTTTCTGTTTAATATGGCAGAGGATCCAGGGCTGCCCCCCCCCCCTCATCCCACCTTGGAAATTAGGCAGTTTTCTTTGGTTGGTTAGGTCAGGTACTAGTAAATGACACCTCTTTTAAAATACAGTACTGTACTTACTATAATGATAAGAATATCTGTGACAAAAATGAACAAAACTAAACAATGCCTTCTGGTGTTAGCTATTTCCTCCAGGATTACCACTTCCACATACACCAGTGTGACCCGACCAAACATGGCAGATTTTCTCTGCATATTCCAGTTTCCTCCTGTACAAACACTGGAAGGGCAATCACATCAGTAAAAATGGGGGTTAGTGAGCTGATCAGGAAGGAAATAGATAAAATAAATTAACTCTTTACTTTACTTTATCCACTTTGCCACTGGACAAGCCACCAGCTTCCTTTCCCCCATCTAAGCATAGAATTAAATATCATACCTATTCCATTATAAGTGAAGTTTGGTACTCACGAATCGACCATCTCTGTAACTGAAACCTTATCATTATACAAATTCTTAGTAAACGATGTCAGTTCTTCAGCAGCTTTCTTCATGTTAACAGCAGTAGGTCGAGCTGTTACTAGATACTGCAACTTTTCACATATGGTTTCGAGCAGCTCATGTTTGTCCTTAAATGATGCCTGACTCAATTCAGTTGCTAGACTCAGACAACCAACAATTGCAATTGCAGGAGCTCCTCTAACCTGTAACAGGCAGTCCAGATAATAAAATGCATAAGACAAGGGGAACAGTGTCACATTATTTGAATAAAATATCTTGCAATGCATACATTTGTGTTTACCTGTATTATTATTATATTTTTTGAAAGTTCTTTCAGACTGTTGATAAGTATTGAGTACCATATGCACTTTACAAGCTCTTAAATGTATCTGAACATAATATTCCAATGGTGGTCAAATCTGGAATTAAAGGAATTCATACATGGTGCTGCTCAAAATTTTCTAGTAGGTTATGCCCATAAAGTTGGGAAAAGTCAAATGAAAAAAAAGTCTAAAATCAAGCCTTAACCTAATTTTCCTTAAGTTAAACTGTACTTTAGAGACATGTCTATAACCAATGACTTTTTTGCAACTATCATTGCAAAGAAGTTAGCTATATCATATACAATTCTAAAGTGCTGGTAATACTTTACAATGTATATGCATAACTAAACTTAAAATTTTGGAATTTTGTTTATAGAATACCCTGTATTTGTTAGTTGAATATACACTGCAGTACTTGTACAGGTACCTGTACTTGTAATAGACAGGACAGTGAAAAGTTGACTTTATTGAGAAAATTGCAAGAATACATGCCACTTAGTTTTTGGTCTTTTCACTTCAGAAAGAACTGTATAATTTGGTGGGAGACACTGTTTACATCTGACTCACATGACTGTGTCCCTCCAATCACTTTAAGTCTGGGTGTCATGCGACTACATCCTGCCAATCACCGTAAGTCTCAGACTCCTGTGAATATGTCCCTCCAATCACTAAGTCTCAATGTCATGTGACTATGTCGTGCCAATCGCCACAAGTCTAGGTGTCGCGTGATACTCCTGCGCACGCTGAGAGTTTCAAATTTTACTTAGCTAGTTGTAAGATGGCTTCTCTCTGCATTGGGTGTTCTTCCTCAGTTTGGCATACCAGTTCATCATGTACAGTACTGTATTTAAAAACAAACCTGCTGCCATGGAAAATTTTAAGGCTCCAAGTATTCTGCAAACCTCTGTGAAGTGTGGAAAGTGCAATTCAGACTGTCACTACTGTCAAGATAACTTTTGGTTTTAGGCAATAAGACAAAGTTGTCAAGACAAAGAAATCTCGGTAAAATTATTGTTTCAGTCATCCACCTATGTATTTGGAAGTTGAAACTCACAAGTTGTAATTTGCGATAGAAATGAAGGTCAGAATCATTCAAAACACATCAAAAACCATTGGAAAAAACACAATTTCAACCTAACTGGAATCATTATCGTTTTGGTCATCCAGCAGGTTAGGTTAGGTTGAAATTATCTTTTTCCGATGGTTTTTAATGCGTTTTGAATTAATTCCTAAATCCAAATAGGTGGATGACTGAAACAATAATTTTACCACCTAACCTAATCTAAAATTTGCTGAATGACCGAAATGATAATAATACCAGAATCACTTCACTTGTGTTTCTGAACTTATGGGCACTTATGGGCCAATGTATCTGCATGTAGCATCACTTTGTCCTGCTTCTTATAATTAAGGTTCAGTTAGGTTGAGTTAAGTTCGGTTATTTTTTTTTTTTGTGTTTTCACCCCACAATTTCCCTCTACTTTAAAGCACAGCCCAATTTGTGCAATCAAATTTGTTAGTAGAGTGGGGACATATTTCCGGTATTTTTTTTTTTTAAAGTAGACAACCAACAAACCTCTAGGTTAGGTTAGTTAAGGTGCTTTTTGGTTGTTGAGCAATGTGTTTTTCCAATATTAATATCAATGATTGTCCACTTGTAAAAATTTACCATATTTCCTTACCAGCCATAGGAGGTCAGATCAGAGAAACATCATAGAAGAAAAGTGTCTTAGAATTGTCTAAACTATTGATTGCAAAGATAAAATTCCCAAGATTCGGTGGGTGGCAACAAATGCAATACCACATAAAGTAATTTTCCTCTATCTTCCTATACAGGTATAAGAATCAACATACAAGAAATACCATATAAAACTCCGTGCATGGTCACTACAGAATATGGAATTAATGATGACTGACCCGCGGCACTCACTGATGAAAATACTGTATAAGAAAATAAACATCAAAACAAATACATGTTGGATATTTTGCTGTACCCGGCTAAGCTCCTACTAACGCTATTTTACCGTGAGTACTTTCTGTTTAATATGACGGGGGGGATCCCCCCCCCCGCTTAGGAAATTAGGTAAGGTTTGTTAGGTTTCTTTGGTTGGTGAGGTCAGGTTATATTAGGTTCAGGTAAATGTCACCTCTCTTATAATGATAAGTTTTCATGCACAACAGAAATATGGTTAGGTATGTTTACAGCTACTCAACGATCCGGTCCAAATAATTACCCAAATGTACCCAAATGTCGCAAAATGTAGCCGCAATGAAGTCAAATGATGGCCCTACAAGCGTAAATCGGGCTGTGAATCACTTCTCGATTATTATTTGGTGTCAAAGTCACAAAAAATTGGTAAACTTAATCTAATTTGAGTTGTGTTAGGTTAGGTTAGGTTAGGTTCATGCACTCGATCTATCAACTCAGATTAAATTAAGTTTACCAATTTTTTGTGACTTCGTGACACCAAATACCAGTCGAGAAGTGATTGGCAGTCCGATTTATTCATGTAGGACCATTATTTGACTTCATAGCGACTAAATTTTGCGACATTTGGGTAATTACTCGCTCCCTCGGTACATGCACGCGATCTATTAACTCAGATTAAATTACGTTTTCCAATTTTTTTTTACTTTGTGACACCAAATACTAGTCGAGAAGTGATTGGCAGTCCGATTTATTCATGTAGGACCATTATTTGACTTCATTGCGGCTACATTTGGGTAATTAGTCGGACCCCAACGATCGACTCAAGGCGAAATAAACGCCAAATGCCGCCAGTCACGGTCAGATATACAGTAGTTCTCACGTTGCTTGCCAGTAATGGATTAGCAATTCACGGTAAAATAGCATTAGGAAGAACTTACCGGTAATGGCAAAATATCCACTGCCAAACAATTAATGCATCCGCCGGTCAGTCGTCAATATTAACCTGGATTATTTACCCATGATATTAATATACTGTAAAGGTAAACTTCAATTTATTTGACAATGTCAGATTAATAATGGTGAGAATCTTTTTGTTGGTCTGACTTTTCGTATTTCAGGTGCAACACTATTGTATACTTTTCTTACCTGCATCTTATTTATGACTTGCCAGCCTTCTTTAACATTGTTGACAGTAATATATTCTGTTTCTAACGGCAAGCGAAGTTGGTCAAGGATGTATAGCTTATTTTCATTCCATTTTATTGCTTCCAAAGCCATTTTGTTAGTATATTTCAGTGACCGGCTGCTGCTCCTCGCCTTATTGTGAAGCTCTCTTTGCTCTGTGTCTGGCTCTCACACGCCAAAATCGTGAGTTATTTTTTCTTTTTTCATTTTCATCTTCAAATTTTGAGCAATATTACTGTCTGGGAACATTTTCTTTAATAATTTTACCAAGTGATCTGCAATTGAAAAATCCATTCTATGCTCTACCATGAATTTTGAGAGCAGTCTCTACCTGCCGAGCTTGATCATGTAGATCTTGCCTTGAAGTTTTTTCAGTAAGTATTGTATATCAGAACTATTTTTTTTTAGATAATTTTTTCATGTGCTTGGTGGAAGCCTTGTGCTTGAAGAGCCCGGACTTGTTACAATTATTTAGTTTACAGTTGCATACCCTGCATAATGCAGCATATTTATCACTTACATCAGGTTCCACCCAGTCTTTTAAATCTGGGTCGGTCAACCACTCAATTTTAAATGCTTGCTTTTACCATATTTTGCCTTCTTTTTGGGGGGAGTACTAGCTTCACTGTTGCCTCGGTTCTCTGCATCACTCATTGCCCCTATATTTACAACTAAGTTGAAAATATCACCAATTTAGTAAAGAACAAAACTGTTTAGCTTTGGCGTCATTCTGCTCGTTTATCAAATTTTGGTCTTTTTGTTCCGACCTTTTGGGTTCTTGGAACTTTTCAAGAAAAGCCTAATTATCTTGTTATTATATATATATATATATATATATATATATATATATATATATATATATATATATATATAATTTTTTTTTTTTTTAATTTGTATCATGTACCGTAAGTTTATTATACACGGTATTGAGGGTAATGTTTTCACAGCTGGACTTCTCACTTCGAATATATAGTCAGCACACTACCAGTGTACAATTCCTTAGTCTTTTCACTTTATATTGCTCACAACAATTCCACAATGCTGTACTTGCACACCAATTATCTTCAGTTGTCCTACTATACCCTTTCTACACTAACCTGGCCCACAGGCCCCTCCCCTTTGCCATACTAATATGTCAAGGGTTCGAGCCTCGGCCTGGACACCGTGAGATGGGTATTGTTATCCAGTGTGACCCTCACTACCAAACACCACAGGTTCCCCAGTCCTTGGTTTCCTCCTGTACTAACATTGGATAGACCGCCCAAACGGCTAGTAAGCTGATAAGTGGCGAATGATAGAAAATTCAAATGTGTTCACAACAGGCTGATCGTTGCCCCTTAGCACCAGCCATCTCTAGTTTTCCCATCTGAGTGGAATGCTCTGCTTTCCCTCTCTTGAAATTGTGGGCACTTTTAGTCTGGAAATGTCCATCTTCGCCAAACAACTTTTCTTTTCAATGTTCTTCTCTGTTTTGCCCTTCTCTCGCTCTCGTTTAACTTCAAAACTTTTTCAATTTATGATCCATTAACTTGTGGCAAATGTTAAGATGCATATTAGTTACATTCTTTATCAAAATGTATTTGTTCTCTAATATATATATATATATATATACTGTATTATAGGTTAATTTATTAATTTGGATCAGTCTATACACATACACTCCCCCCTCCCACTGCCACCACGACTACCACACTACCAACACACCACCATCAGCACCACACCGCCACTACCACCAGGCCCGTCCTTTAGGGGGCCGACTGCCCGGGGCCCTGCGGGCCCAGCGATCTCGGACACATTACCTGTTGACTGGTTGATCTGACCTGATGGCTTACGCCACCAACACGACCGCGACCTTACCATCCATAGCGACAGTCTCATTCTCTGTCATTACCAATTGAGAAGGGCTCGTGATGAGCCGAAACTGAATTGATGTGTGGTTTTTTACCTTATATATATATATATATATATATATATATATATATATATATATATATATATTTTTTTGGGGACGGCCCTGACTACCACAACCCCCACCACACCACCCACACTACTGCCACCACCTTCACCATTACAACCACCACCCATTACCACATCACGCCTCTTCCTTTCTCCAATCACAGCGGCTGAATCCCCTACTACAATACATAAATCTTATCTCGTTCCCTACACAGCTTAGTTATCAGCTACCATGACTCAAAAAATGGATGGTAACAAAATTAAACACTTCAATACTGTACTGTATATACTTATCTTTATTGTCACAAAAACACACTTTTTTAAATAAAAATAAAAGTTCAGGAACAAGTTCCCTTAAAAATACAAGGAAATAAAAAACTTTCTTACATTACATGAAAATATCAAGAACCTGTAAGATGGAATATGTGAATGTTGATTTATGGCAACAATGTTTGTGATGAATGTTATTTACATATGGCATAAAATATATCACAAATTATAAAATGTAGAATGCTATATCACTAATAAATGATAACACTATCTACCCATTTATGTTCGTCCAAATATTTTATGTTGAAAATAAATATGGACATGACAGAAAACAAGGTACAAGATCTCACCAAAATATTTCATGGAACACAAGGTCTGAATCTAAAATTATTATTATTATTAATCATCAGGCATATTCATGTAACAAATTTGGTACTATCATGCACATCAAAAATAAAACCAATAATCTTGATTAAACGGGTTAATCTAAATAAACCACTACTGTACATATGGCCAGTCCTCCATCAAAGTCTTTGTGGTTTATTGCTAGTTTTAAGTGGGGTTGATGCCATTGGTAGAACAGCACCAGTAGAAACATGGAAAGAGTTTTCTTTGTCACCCAGCAATTTGGAGGCATCGTTAAGGCGACTAGTTGACCCACTCAGTTTCACCATTTTGTCCTCCAACCGCCTGATATTCTTGCGCTGCCGCTCAATCTCCTGGCGTAACTTATGAACTTCCTGTAGAGTGCATAATAATAGGTAAATTGTTATCTAATTATGAGCCTCAATGCTAAAAGGTACACAAAGTGAGTGTTGTAAAGTCACAAAAAATGGTAGAGAAGGGTAATTGGTATACAGTACCCACAGGGATTAGTCTTTCACCCTGGTTTGTATAAATATGCAATGGAAGGTTTATCATTATTCCCCAGTCAGCAGCTGTACAGTCAACCCTCGCTTTACGTGGTCCCACTTTACGCATTACCCTGCCGAAACCGGAATGCTCACTTTCCGCGGTGTGTGTACCCTTTTACGCGGAGAGCGGCGCGAGCAGGGTGCGCACAAGGTCGCCCAGTCATCAAAACATTACCGGGTTCTTCACACCCCACCCACCACAGCCGGCCCAAGTCAGTGATAGTGATAATGATAGTGAGGATATGGACTTATATGGACTTTGAGGGGTTTGACAAAGAGGCCCTGCAAGACTCTGTGGTGGATAGTGATACAATTGATACAAGTGATACAGGTGAGGGCCAATAATCTGCCCTCTGCCTCGGAACCAACCCCCCATCCCCGTGTGCCCAGCCATCTTTTCTACTAATGTAAGTGTTAAAAAACCTAATATTATTGATATTTCTCTTAATTATTAATTGCGTGTGCATACCATTATAAAATTAAGAAGTTATTTTAACTACAACGTAGGTATTGTGTCTGAAAAAGTGGAGTTTGGGGGTCGGCCCGGTCTCTATTTCAATTAATCCCATCTGTTATGTTGTTCACTTTACGCGGGCCGCCGTGGGTTGAATTAACCGCGTAAAGTGAGGGTTCACTGTATATAGAGAACCACCTGGAATTAGGAACATCAAGGAAAGGAGGATATATATTTATCTAAAACCCACTGCAGGTAGTTTACATATTAAGTTGAGGAAATGAGGAGTACATTGAGGAGTGTTCCTATTTGCTGTTTCACTCCCTTCTTGTCACTTTCCTCATACCACTGCCCATATTTCCACCATTTTTCTATCTCCCATAATGCATCCCAAGCACATGGAAGTGGAGAAAAGATAACATAGATAAAGCATAAACAATTACCACAAAAGTATTGATCTTACTTCTTTAAGTATGCTGTTCTCAGTCTTGAGCTTGAGCACATGCTGGATTTTCTGTTTGTGATTCTGGTGACCTAAAAGTGTTGCATACTGTTTGCTAAGCTTGTCCACCTCTTCCTTGGCTGCAGAGCTACGTTCAAGAAGGCTAGCTTTCTCAACCTCATATGCATCTAGTTGCTCCTGTTAAAAAGTTGTTGTTTTTATTACTGCACATAAGACATCAAATTTTCTCAAATCTTGGATTATATTGCACTTATCTTATAAAAATTTAAAAGATTTGAAATAAAGATCAATTCTGAATTACTGAATGATGAACGAGGAGAGAAGATTTTTTTTAACTTACTCTAAATGGTTCAACCATTTTTTCAAGATGCTGGAATTTGTCCTTCCAGAAAGTGACCTCCTCCAATAATGCTGCATTAGTGTCCTTGAGGTCTTGCTTATCAGCTTCCAATGACTGAGTAACACGAGACACCTCTGCAGTCTTCTCCTCAGAGTATATTAATTCCAATCTGGGCAAGGATGATAAAAGATGTACAGGAAAGAAGTGCAAATATTGCACTACTAACATCAATGAAGAATTTTCTGATGTGATATTAATCTCAGATAAAGTTAACCTTGACAGCTGACAAATTTCCAATACAGTATTATCATCAGAAACCTATGTAAATTTTTTTTTGTACAAATACCTAGACAACTGGTTTCTGGTACTGTTGAGGGTTTCCTGAAGGTTAGTAATACTATCAGCAGCCTCCTCTTTTTCTCTGATTAGCTTCTCCTCTTTTACTTCCAATTCAAGCAGACGGGTCTCACACTCTACCAGAGCTGCCTGTTTTTCCTTGAGGTTCTGTTGGGAGATTGTTTTGTATTACAACATGACCAATTTGTAAAAAAACAGTAAGACTGCTTAACTGTGGCTTTCAAATTGTTTTTAAAGAAATCAATTATCGGAAGAATGTTCAATAATAAAATAATTATTAATAATAATAATAGTAAAAATAATAATAATAAAAAACTTAAGCTTCCACTCTTTTCCTGGTTTATTGTCCATGAAATAGCAAAATATCTCGTTGATTTTTATCTGCATTTAATTTTATTACTTATGTTCTTATACAGTATATCCTGAACAAACAACTTGCTTGGCGAGATACATCATGCTGCTTACCTTGTAGAGTGACTGCATTTCATCACTTTTTGTATCTAATGTATCATTGAGAGATTCCAGGATATTATCTTTTGATGCTAGAGTCATGCTCAGGGTGTCTATTTCATCCTTCAGTCTATTCATGTTAGTTTCCAAGCTGTTCACTTCTTCCTTCTGGGATTCTAAGCTCTTGCTAGCAGCAGTATATTTCTCCTGCAAGTCTTCAGCCTCTGAAGTTTTCTCTAACAAGGAAGTCTGTGTAGAAATGAACTACAGTAGTTATGTCTCCCAGGTGTGTAAACTGTGTACTCATTGTGCATTTTTTTTGGCCAAATAATGGCAGCAAACTGTGTGTGTTTGTGGGAAGACCATGAAATTTTATTCAGGTCAGGGAGAGGTGCATCTAAATGTTATAAAAATTAAATTTCATATCGTTTACATTTTGCTTAGCTCTGTTAACAGTGTCTATAAAGTGGAATCAAGAAAAAATCGAACATTGATGAAACAGCCTGGGAACCTAATTAGGTAATCCGGTGACCTACAAAAAACCTATCAAATTCAGTGGGATATTTTTTTTTGCTAAACTGTTAAGAAACATGTGTAAGGTATAAATATGTACAAGCACACATCAAATGTCCCCAGTATATGCAGTGTGTGTGTTTGTTTTAAAAACAAGGTCAGCTTGAGGGAGCAGTGGGGCCAACTCTAATGGAAAATGAAGCAAAGATCTATAGCCAAAGAATTCATTGTTATAAGCTGACACGAACAGACAATATTATAATAAAAGAATAATAAGAAATCAGTGTCAACTAAATTTTTTTTTGAAAATACAGATTTAAAGGGGAAAAGTGAGTGTACTTGACAGAAGTAAAAGAGAATGGGTAAAGAAGATCGAGGCATGGTGGAAAGGTACAGTAATATAACTGTTACATAAAGTCTTACCGGACTATTAATAGATGTCCTTATGAACTAATGGACCAGTAGGCATGGTGGAAAGGTACAGTAATATAACTGTTACATAAAGTCTTACCGGACTATTAATAGATGTCCTTATGAACTAATGGACCAGTAGGCATGGTGGAAAGGTACAGTAATATAACTGTTACATAAAGTCTTACCGGACTATTAATAGATGTCCTTATGAACTAATGGACCAGTAGGCATGGTGGAAAGGTACAGTAATATAACTGTTACATAAAGTCTTACCGGACTATTAATAGATGTCCTTATGAACTAATGGACCAGTAGAAAAGAATCACAAAATGCATAAATAAACTAATTAATTTAATACTACAGCAATTTTAAATGTATCACCAACCTGCAAGTTTTTCAGTTGATCTTCATAACCATTATATTTTCTATCCATGTCTTCTAACTTATGAGTTGCCTGTGTCACCAAATGTGTCTTCTCTTCCAACTGCTTCTCATATGATTTGGTAAGCTTTAGTTTTTCCTCCTCAAGGAATGACATTTTATCCTCCAAGTCACTTATCTAAAACACATCAAAATAAAGTTTCTACTGAGCAATCTACTATTTCAGAACCGACTACAAACAGAGAACTAAATACAATATAGCAATGAACTTGATGTTATAAGCAAGAGGCAGACATTTTCACCACATTCAGAAGACTGAGAGAAAACTGATCTGTTGTGTCTGACTCATTTTTATCTTCCTGGAGGGTTGAATATGAGCTTCTAGTAGAATGCATTTTTTTTTACTTTTGCAGTAAAACAATTCCAGCTGAAATAATATTTTTTAAGGAGCCATATTCATTCTTATTTGATCTTTAAACTTTAAGTTTCAATCAAATGGTCATTACCTTTAACTTGAACCTACAGAGCCGAGTCCAAACCAACTCAAAATCATAGAGGATACGATAAGAATCTTTGAGTCAGCAGTTTCCTGTTTTAGTTTGTATTTTAGAGTTCAGCATCATCAATAAACTATCTACACTGTGGAATGCAGAGAATTTGTGATGTTTGAATTATTTATTATGGGATTGCAATATTTTCCCAATTAAGTAATTATCTCTCCCTTACCCTTCTTCCTTATTTACTTAATGCCATGGAAAGGTGTTTACTTTTGAGATCATATAGTGTTAAAAGTCCCACATACTTTTTCAAGGCTCACATACTATAGCAGTACCAATATTTTTTAAGACACCAAACTTTATAAGTGTGTGAAATTTTGTGGGAAAAGTTGTAAGTACATAAGCTATAGATACATCAAATACGAACAACTTTCTTATCAGTTACCTTATTTTCGGCTTCTTTAAGGTGATTCTCAAGGTCCGCAATCCTTGACCTTAGTGTAACACGCTCTTCTTCCATCTCTCTCTCTTCTGTAGATGCCCGAAGATGTAGCTGTGCAATGGTATCCTCTTTAGTCTCCACTGTTTTTTCTAGATTGTCTCGGAGAGTTGTTAGGTGCATTTTCTCCTCGCGTAATGTTTCAATACACTGCTGCATCTCTTCTACTGCTTGAGACTTTTTTCGCATATCAATCTGAGGAAATATCATAACCATTAGACCATTATCTGTACTTGCATGTGTTAGCCATGATTACCTGATGGATTATCCTCATACCAATACAGTATGAGTAATCTTGATGTAGTTGCACTCAATATATATCCACAAAGAGACTGATCTACTTTTGTATGCCTAAAATTAACATAATTTGGAGCAAAAATATATCAGTAAAATATATATATATTTTATCTTTAGGTGTCAAATCTCCTTAGTGTATATGGATCATGTGAAAAAGCCACGACAGTACTGTCAAATAAAAGGAAAACATATTAAATTTAAGTGAATTTTCAGTATAACAGAATGAAATATGACCTGCTTCGGTAATAGAAAATAATGGCTGTGGTCAATAAAAGTTTGCAGAAGCCATTGGAAAAAAATAAAAAATAATGAAAAAAATAAAAATTAATGAATTTGTAAACAACCTGTTCCCACTTGCTGCAAAAGGTGAAATAAGCCTTTAAAAGTGGAGGGGGATCAAACAAGTTAAAATTATTTCAACATATAGTTTTCCCCCACAAAAAAACCACCTTGATTTAACTTTAAGTCATGTATATATTTATTTTCACAACTCTGACATAAAATCAATTTATCATTTAAGTAAAGAGGTTACCTTTAACTGTGTTATCTGTGTACAAAATCCAGAACTTGATGTTTGCAAAGCTGAAAGCTCTTTCTCTGTGGCAGCAGCAGCTTCCTGTGCTAATCGCACCTCTCGCTCCAGTTTGTCTTCAAGATCACGATTCTCCGCTTCCTCACAAGCTTAAAACAAAATTAGTTATTTTCATTTTAGAATTAGTAATTCAGATGTATTAAAGAAATGAATAATATCCTACACTCTGCTCGTGGCAATAAGTACTGAATAACTTTCTGATCAATTTATGTCTCTAAGTGAACACTACAAAATAATCTGATGACTTTACCTTTAGGTTAACAGACACCAAAACAAGCCTAGTCAAAAATGTATGCCTCAATGTGAGATAACTGAACCCCCCCCCCCCCTTGGGTTACACACGAAAGAGTGATCCTATCAAGCGACTAATAGAAAAGTGTAACATATTCAATTTAAACATTACAACCTAGAAACCTTCCTCCTTTCCCCATGATCTAATGACAGACTGGAGAGTGTGAACTACATGTTTCTTTCCATCCATGACACCAATAATTTTGTCCAAATTACAATACAGTATCACAAAAACATACACTAAGTATAATATATATACGTATATTGTATAGCTAAGTATAAGTTACTCATACCTGAGCAACAAACTATTAGGCTAAATAACCCTGAAAGCAAACCTATTTCATATGTAAAACACAACTCACCCAGGGCATCTTCCAAGTTGGTATATTTCTGAACCAAATCCTTGAGGTTTGATTCCATTGTTTTATTCTCCTCTTTATAAGCAGATACTTCTTCCTTCAAGCTCTGGATGTCAGCATCTGATGCCATGCGGAGAAGATTCTCCTTCTCAAGCTGTTCTGTGGTCTGAGTGAGGGCACGACGTGTAGCCTCTTGTTCTAACAGAGCTTCAGAGTACTTCACACCCAAATCATCCAGATCTCTTTCTATGCGATTTAACCTGCATACAATATTTAGTTTAGTTAGCAATGTTTTCCATCAATATTTGGACAATTAATGCAGACCAGTTTGACAAAGCTAACACAAACCCTTTCTGATTACCCGTACCGTAATTTGGGACTTTTAATTTTATAACCGCAATCACCATAAACAGGCTAATAAGAATGATGCAATTAAAGCAATAAAACTTCATACCCAAATCCTTTTCTACAAACAAGACCAATTTTAATTTAATTTTTCTTTCCACATTAACATTCTGATTCTAGAATCCAATCTCAATAACTAAGTTGGTTGAGGGGTTGGTTATCACAGGGATTGTTGATGAAGGATTGATTTTATTCCAGTGAGCTGGCAGGAAAGATATGTATGGGTACTGACAAAATAGACAGGAGTCTGTTATTACAACTTCCCCATGAAATTCTCAAAAAGGATGACAGTATCAGTGATTTAGAATGCTAGGTACAAAACCAAATTACAGTACTTTTATTTATATACAGTACAGACACCTGCAAATGAATGCAATGTAATTTTTAGCACACATACCTAGAAATGTGTTGAGCTTCTCTGTCACTAATTTCTGCCATGAGCTCCACCACCTTCTCCTCTAGCTGATGGTTATTATCCTCCATATTGGAAGTTTTCATCTCAAGGCTTGCTAGAGTCTTTTCACGTGATGACAGTGCATCTTTCATTGAAGAAATTTCTTTGTTTAGGTTTGTTATCTGTTAAATGAAATATCCCAAATGAAAATATGCTAATACGTAATTAACATTTATTTCATCAAAGAAAAGATGTTTGTACTTACCTGAATAAGGTTCAAGAGGGTTCATGTACAATGAAAATCTGAGAAGCTTGAATCTTCTACTGCCTTTGAGTTTACTGTAGCCTGAGGTAGAAAGCCAACACACTGTCAACAATCAGTCAAGGTATTTGAAAAGGCAGTAGCAGGCAACCTCTAAGCAATAGCATGAGAGTTGACTCCACTGTCCACATTCAATACAAGCCATAAGTAGTCAGCAGTGCACCAGAAGACGTAATAATTGTTATTTTTTCGGCAACTGTGTCCAGTTTATAAGATATAATTAAAGAGATACTGTATTACCCCGCCTAACGCGGTTTCACTTAACGCGTTTTTTCATATACGCGGTGCCTCGCCAGAGCTGAACTTTCACTTAACACGGATTTTTTCCACATATACGCGGTGAGTGTCCGGCTCGAGACGCTATTTTTAGATTTGCCCCACCCGCCACCCTGCCTGACTGCCTGTTTTAGCTCATAAAATTCATACAAATTACCCGTCAGAGGAATTTTATTACTGTTGGAATTCTTATAATTTGATGATCATTTTGAATATAAACATCATATATTTTGCATTAGACATACAAATTTTAGATAAAATGTTTCTCTAAGTAAATATGTTATCTTTTTTGCAAAATATATGACATTTTATATTCAAAATATTCCTGGTCTTACAAGGAATCCAGCAATGTCAATTGTATTATCCTAACTTTAGTTTGAGGTATTATTTATTAAAATTTAGTGGTTTTCCCCAAAACATTTCTCAGAGAGGGAAGAGCCAGCAGTGTAGTGTGAGAAGAGGGGAGGGAGTTGAGTCCATTATTTGAATGGACATTAACTTGGCGACTGTATTTCTCTATTTCTCTTAAGTATTAATTGTGTGCATGTACCATCATAAAATTAAGATGTTATTTTTACTACAACATAGTTATGTGTCTTCAAAAAGTGGAGTTTGGGGGTCGGGCTGGTTTCTATTGGAATTAATCCCATATGTTCTGTTGTTCACTTAACGCGGGACCCTCTGGGTTCTATTGACCGCGTTAAGTGGGGTACAACTGTAATCTGGTTTCTGGTATCGAATAGGTTTGCTAACCCTTAGATGGTGGTCATCATTAATAATAATTAACATCTAAACCTGGAGTAACTGACCTGTTCTTTCTTTTCCTTCAGCTTTTCTTCCATCTTGTTTGTGGACAATGACTGTGCTTCACATCTGTCTTGCAAAATGCTTGTCTCGTTAAGCTTTTGACTGATCTGCAAGGTAAAGGAAATTTATAGAGATGATGATGATACAGTATTCTACCTTTAAATTGCAGTCTTTACAATATAAGTGAAACTTACAAAACCTACAAACAAAATACTCAAATTCAACACAGGTTCAGACCTCAGTGTGATTCGTGTTTTCTTTACCAACACCTACTCAAGGTACATAAAGAAAATGGAAAAGCCACCAGGGAAATTTTTTAGCTGTTTCCATAACTGCCAGATTTCTTACAATTGTCTGTCAGTAGAGGAAAAAAGACAGTTTCTAGGTAAATGCTTGCATCTGATGTTTCTATACTATACTTAATGCAAAGTACCAAATTTGTGGGAGATTCAAGACTAAGCATTCTACTATCAAGATTAAATGTTTAGTTGATCATCTGTAATTTTCATACCTCCTCTTGAAGTGTACTAATTAGCTCTCCTTTAGCATCAATATCATAATCCTTTGCACTAATGGTTGCTTTAAGTGTCAATACATGGTTGAGTTGAGCTTCTGCTTCTTCTTGCAAATCCAGAGCTACCTGACAAGCTGTATCCAGATCACTCTCGAGTTTCTTCACCTTTGTTGATGATTCCGATATCTGAAGAAAAAATACAGAAAATTATGTAATAAACCTAATGTATAGAATAACAGTAAGTTTCACTCTCAAGTCTTTTACTTCTATTAAAAAAGGTGACTGGAATCAAGAACAACACACAAACAGACTCTTCTTTCATTCACTGTCACTCAAATTAATCTACCTGTGCATCACTTGTGCTAACATGAGCCCTTGTAAAATTCCTGACATCACTGTGTAGGATGCCTGGTGTTATACTAAGCTCTTGTGAGGTGCCTGAGATTATTATGAGTAAATATCTGAGCTATGTGAAGTCACTAGGAGGAGTTGTGTAGAGAGAATATTTTCATGTAAAATGTAGCAGAGGTGTGCACTGGGTAGATGAAAGACCACTACATCAGTGGAAAGAAAGGTGAAACAATACATTAAGAGATAAGGTACATAGTAATAGGGTGGTCTGGAGGCTCTCTGAAGGGGCTGAAGAAACAAATACAAAGAGAAAGAGCTATTTTTGACTATGAAAAGGAAAATACTGGTAGATGAGAAGACCAATTCTTACCTCAGCTTCTCGTGAAGTTATTTCCTTTTCTAGGAATTGTTGCACTACTTCTTTTTCTTTTATCTGCACTTCAAGTAGATGGATCCTCTCACTTAATTCAATTGTTTTCTTCTGTTCCACTTCCAGGGTAGCAGCCAAGCAATCTTTCTCTTGTTTAACTTCATTAAGCTTCCTCTCAACTCCATGTATAGTTTCTTCTAGCTTACTAACCTGTAAATCATAAATTAATTATATATTATATCTCACAATGGTTTTGTTTAAATTGTTGCTTCAGGAAACAGTTACTTTTTTTGTCTGTACAGTCAGTCCAAGCCTACTTCTCTGAACTAACTAACTTCTTGATAAATAATTTTCCCAACATTGTCTGGAATGTTTTCATCTGCACTAAACAAGTAAAAGAAAAACAGCTTTCCCCCCACTTGATGATAATGTTTGTCCATGCCTCTAGTAGTGTTGTAGTAAGTCTGATTTTCTCCCCTTGACCCACAGATAATATTGATAGTGCTGTATATATACTGGAGTTTCTTAACAAGCAATTCTGATTAAGGTAAAAATTCAGATGGTGGAGTAAATCGGCGAACGCCAATGGTGAGAGCCATGTATATATATACTTACCTCTTCTGTTCGATGATTCAGGTCCTCTTCCATCATGGATTCCATTACCTCCTTTTCTTTATTAATCAAACTAAGATCAGACACTGTTGATTCCAAGATAAAAATTTTGCTACTTCGTTGACTCACTTCTTCCTGAAGACTTGACAAAGTTTGTTCGTATTCTGCAATCTGTGAATGTTGGGCAATTAATATTTTTGTGTACGATGTAAAAATAAATTTTTTTTGAGAACATCATGAAATATGTTGCCAGCTTTACTACATTTAAAAGCAAATGGGTAAGTTAAATATTACTTCCAAATATAGACAGATTAACACATGCATGAGTTGTTGGCTAATGTAAACAGAAACTGATAAAATGATTGGCCAAATAAATGAACAAAGTTAAAATATTGTACAGTTTACTTACTTTCATATTAAGATTATTCATACTACCATTAAGAAGCTCAATCTCAATATCCTTTTTGGCTAAGATCTCTATATGCATATCTCTCTCTTCCACCTGGTCCTTCATCAAGGCCTCATACTTGGCTATTAGGCCGCGAACTTTATATTCTGCCTCATTGCGTTCTTTGAAACTATTTTCAATCTGCAAATATAAATTATATTTAATAAGAAAATAGTCTGGCCATTTTCATGAATTTTACATGAAGCACCTTTATAAATACAGTAAAATATATATATATATATATATATATATATATATATATATATATATATATATATATATATATATATATATATATATATATATATATATATATATATATATATATATATATATATATATATTATATATACAGTGGGGTATGCTATAACGAACGGATCCTACTACGAATATTCCTATAACGAACGGTTTTACCTATAAAATTGAGAATGCTATAACGAACGAAACTCCTACAACGAACATTATTTAATTTTTTTTTTTTTTCTAATTTATTGTTTTTTTATTACAAATATTAATGATATTCTTTATTTCAGGGGTTTAGATGCATATTTATGCACTTTTTTACAATTTTTACAATTTTATATTATATTTTTCAGTGTTAAGTGGTTGTATTTGGGGGCCTGGAACGGATTAATCCTATAACGAACGAATGCTATAACGAACAAGGTTCTAGAACCAATTAGATTCGTTATAGCATACCCCACTGTATATATATATATATATATATATATATATATATATATATATATATATATATATATATATATATATATATATATATATATATATATATATATATATATATATATATATATATATATATTTCATGTAGATCCACAATGAAAACGTGGATAAGATAAATCTTGATAAAATCACACGGGAAAAAGGAAACAACGGAGCACCTTAGCTTTCGTCTATATTCAAGACATCTTCAGATGTAACTGGATTACATGGACAGAGAGAGGCTTAAATATACAGGGTGACCTTAAAAACATGAGGTCAGGTCATAATGATGTCATCCACTAATCTCCACACCATCACACACGTAGAGGAGCTTAAGAGAAGGGGGGTGACGTGACTAGTCAGGTCAGGTCAAAAATAAGGGACCCACAAAATAACTATCATACAAAGGAGGGTGTGAGTGTGGAAGGAGCTATTTTTTCTACATTAATATGTGCTACAGGGTATTGTATTTTATGATGTGCTATGTATCAATTTAACTTTTTATAATTTTTGGGGGGTAATTTTAGACAAAAGCAAATTAAAATTTGTTTGAATTAGGCTCACCTTGTATTCACTAAATCGTTTAATTCTGAACCATATCAATTACATACAAGTTTGGTGTTAATAAATAAATAGTTTAACTTCAAAACCATTTATAACAACTCTTATTATTATTAGGGAGTACTGTACAGTATTCAGTGTATACTGCCCTGCCGTTTCAACCTGTTGTTTACCCTCTGTGCTTCAAAGTTCTCTCTCATTTAGTGATTATTTTGATTATCGTTAGATTTTTCAGGAATGCAATCTCATCATTAAACAAGGGATACCTGTAGTAGCTATATGAGAAAATTACAGTCAGATTTTCTATGACATGTAAAAGCAAACAGCCTATGGCTACACTACTACAAGATTTATACTGTACCTCATCCTCTATGTGTTCCAATTTGGATTTGTAAGATTCCATCTGGTCATGGTAACCACGTCCTTCCACCACAACTTCATCAAGCTGCACCTGAAGTTCAGCAATCAAGTCGTCCTTGATATATATAGAAGCTTCTAGGTTATCCCGCAACAGAGTCAAATGATCTACGTGTTCTCTCAAACCCTGTAGCTCATCTTCAGAGAGAGATTTACGTTCTGCGGATTCCTATATTGGGAGAAAAGAGGGAATGAATATTATCATAAGTTTAATCTCTTAAGTCACATGAAATCAATGTTCTTTCAGATTTTGTACCTAATTTGCAAAATCCTAGAGAGAGAGATGAAGGGGAAGCCAGCATGTTTAAGCATTGTTCCACATAATTCAATACACTGTGAAAATACTATTTTGTAACAATGGATGGAATAAAACCGACAAAGAAAACAAGGCAGTTTATTAACAGAGCCAAACAGACAACAGAATTAAATTAATATTTTTTCCAGAGCAAATACTACAGTAAGTTTAGTGTGCATTGTCCTCACCTCTAATTGTTGTATTTTAAGTTGCAATCCTGATCGTTCATCAGTGAGACTTGAGACTAGTTGCTGTGCTTCTTCCAGGTCCTTTCTTGTTGACTGAAGTTGTTCTTTTAGCATCAAGTCTTCCTCCAATTTGTTTCCTCTGCTTTCTACAAGAAAGGGATAATTACAGTATTTATATGTAATCGGGACCTAAGACACAATAGATGTTAACCATTTAGGTATACTATATACATGTACATATACTGTGTTGTATATTTAGGAGAAATTTCATTGTACTGAAACTGATATTTAAGTGTCTTGATGCCAGCTAAGAATTCAAAAAAATTGGTCTTAATTTTACCCAATGCAATCATCCCAGGGAAAAATTTTAAAATGCTTTCCTAAGGTCTTTAAAAAGGAAAGTAATTTCATACAGTAGAAAGCCTTGCCAGATATATTTTTTAATCTGATCATGGTCAGAAGCATAAGACCTAGTTCTAAAGATTAAATTGTAATTAATTAATTCTGAAGGATTTGCAGAAAAACTTAAAACATATCTTTAAATGAGTGAAGTAAAAATTCTTCAATGGTTCTGAGGACACATTTGTACAAAGTTAATTAATCTAAAATCTTGTTATTGGAAAGACACTATGAGTAAGGAAACTTTATAATGCTTCTGAGTAAACTTGTAATAGCTGTAGCAAAACTCCTTTGAATACTGTGCATACAAATTAAGAACATGTCATTTCTACCCGTCTCACCCCTCTTCTATGGCTTATTACAAATGTGTAGCATCACTCCCTATTATTTCACTGGTTAATTCACATTGAATTTTTAGTGTACAGTACTAAATCAGCTATATGTCAAATGTTTAGCTACTGGGGGAGTGGGTAGTACAGTAGTGAAAGGGTTCAAGACAAGTTTTAGCGAACTCTAACTGCTGAGCTTGCTGTCTTTGTATATTTACTGTACATGAATAAAGTATGATTAGTACATGTTATGTCTCTTGGAGTTTACAAGGGGAATCACAGCTTAATGAAAGATGAGTCTTGACTCGCTTCAAATATTTTTGTACTAAATTCTTTAATATTTATAACTAAGATACTGTACTCTAACTATTACCAATCAATTCACAGAGATGATCAGTTTGTTGTATCAGGGCACTGCTGGTAATGGAAAGAGAAGTGAGATGTTCTTCATTCTTCTTCAGGGTTGATCTGGCATTCTCTAACTCAACTTGGTTCTGCTCCCTGGTAAGAAGATGCAAATATAATAAATAAGTAACTTTAGAGATTAAACATACAAGCTTCAGCATTGCCCCCCCCCCAGCCTTTGATCACTTAATGCAAGCTGGAGAACAAGCGTACACACACACACATACAATGTCACTTCATCCATTACTATTGCTGTAAAATAAGAAATACAAATACAAAATTCACTGAAATAACCAATACACCTAACTGAATTACTTTTGTTAATTTTACCTATCTGGGAAAGATCTCAAAATAGTAGTAAATAACAATAAACAAGCAAATAAATGATAGCCACTATAATCCTCCTAATTGCATATTACATAACACAATTAAACATAGCTTGACCATCTGTACATCAAACATTACTAGTTAACATATGACCACCAATTGTATACTGTACCAAGTTTGCATCAACAGTAACACCTCATTCTGTGCCATGCCTTATTATTGTTGTGTTATTTTTACTTTACAATTTAATAGTGATGTAACCATTTTAAAACCCCTAACATCCTGACTGAAAAATTATTAATACTGTACAGCAAAATACAAGAAAATATTTCACACAGGAAGACTTCTTAATAATTTGATTAAGTCTGGTCTTCATGAGAGGTTGAAAATGGCAAGTGAGCATTTTGGTGATTTGAGTAGAAAATACCACAAAATTCCAAGGAATTTAATTAAATAAAATAAAGAATTGTTGGAGAATGCTAAGTATTGTAGATCCCCCGGCAATTTTAGGAAAAAAAGACAAAATCCCTGAGACTCCCAAAAAGGCACCTGCATATCTTCCTTTGATTGTGATGGTGCCTACTGTTTTGACTATATCCATCCAGAATTGTAAAATTACCTGTAATGACAAGTTTCAGATTACAAACACACCAAGGATGACAACAAAATACCCTTGGCCAAAATGCAAAAATACGCACATCACATAATTTTAGGAATGGTGGAAATCCTACTTCGCATAAACTACATTAAAGGACAGGGTAAAACTTATTTATAAGGACTTCTAACTTAAAACATAAAATGTATTCAATATCAGCCACAGGCAACATGGAATACATTAATGAGAACTAATATTATCTGATTCTGAAAACAGCCAGGGCTTACCTGCTTTGATCCATTTGTAACTCCTCAGCATCCACACAAACAGCTACATCCTTTGACTCTGTCCTACTAATCTTGGATTTCAAACTTTCCAGTCTGCAAAGAACTCTTTATATATATATACATATATATATATTATATATATATATACATATATATATATTATATATATATATATATATATATATATATATATATATATATATATATATATATATATATATATATATATATATATATATATATATATATATATATATATATATATATATGTATATATATATTTCATGTAGATCCACAATGAAAACGTGGATAAGATAAATCTTGATAAAATCACACGGGAAAAAGGAAACACCTTAGCTTTCGTCTATATTCAAGACATTTTCAGATGTAACTGGATTACATGGACAGAGAGAGGCTTAAATATACAGGGTGACCTTATTAAACATGAGGTCAGGTCATAATGATGACATCCACTAATCCCCACACCAACACACACGTAGAGGAGCTTAAGAGAAGGGGGGCGACGTGACTAGTCAGGTCAGGTCACAAATAAGGGACCCACTAAATAACTATCCTACATCTAGATCCAAGGTTTACAAAGCATTTTTAACCTTGGGCCACTGACAAATAAATTTATGTAACATATTATCAGTTTTGAACTGACCATCACTAAGGTTTATTGATTTTAATTCCTTAATCAAACTAGCTTCAACCAGAAGTCTTTCTGTGACACAAGATGATTTGAACACTTCCAAGCTTTTTTCCCAAGCAATGGGATGATTATTATTCCTAACATGAACGAACAGGGCACTGCTTTCAGATGCTGTTCTGATATTGTACTTATGTTGTTTGATTCTGAGCTGCAGTGTTTTTCCTGTCTGGTTTAAAAGGGTTAAAAAATCCTTTCATTCCTCTCAAACCAGGCAAATTCCTACACTTAAGAATATTTTGACTCTGCCCTATCGCAATGAATTTGTCCCGTTAGTTCGGTCCCTCAAGCTACTAAATATTAATGTTGTTTTCAAGTATGACTCAACCATTACCAATATGTTAATAAGAAATAGCCCAAGTTTGAATGTAAATGGAAGTGTTTATTGTATTCACACATAGGTGTATATGGAAGTCCATGATTATATATATATATATATATATATATATATATATATATATATATATATATATATATATATATATATATATATATATATATATATATATATATATATATATATATATATATATATATATATATATATATATATATATATATATATATATATATATATATATATATATATATATATATATATATATATATATATATATATATATATATATATATATATATATATAGAGCATGGACTTCCATATACAAACAATACCTCTATGTGTGAACAGGGATCGCTAACACAGCGCCTCTAGGACAACAAAAGCAATCCTAGGCTTTGTTTCATTTCACACAAAACCTGTCCATTCGTCTTTTTTTTTAAGCAACGTGAACCTACATCGTGGTGATGGTAGTGATCCCTGTTCACATGCAGCGGTCCAGGGTTTGATTCCCGACTAGTGTGGAGGGATCATTGTGACTTAGTGCTATGAATGGTGAACACGTCGAATGTCTACCCAAACCTACCCTAATGATATACTGTACAGTATATCCATACACCATATGAAACTCAAGCATACTAACTATGAGCTATGTGAATATTCCTGTTTGCATTACACAAATAAAATTTATAAGGTTTCAATGCCGTTTCATTTCAATGTGAAGACCCTGTATAAAGAACTACCAGACTGACACCTGCCCAGTGATCAACCAATTGGTGGTTCAAAACATTATTACATAAAATGTATTTCCAAATCCATAAAACTTAGGAATACTGTATCAAATCTGCATTAAAAGCTTTGCTTTACCTGTTCTTAATATGAACATCAGATTCAAATGTTACATGACTATATTTACTGAAATAAATTTTTTCAGTGAAAGTTGGTAAAAATGCGAAAAATGCTTTGTATGTTTGCATATTTTATTTTCTTGAACTAAAATGTAAAAGTAGCTAAAGACATCTCCCATATATTATGTGTCTACACTGAAGAAAATAAATAATTTCAATACACTCATCTCCCCAGAACCAATGAAAATAGGAAAACTTACTGTGTTTCTAGCTGTGATATGAACAATTTCATTTTGTTTCTCTCTTCAGTGAGTTCTTGAATTCGCTCTTCTAATTCTGCAACTTTACTATCCCCTCCTTTCGTTTGCCCACGTATGGTACGCATTGATGATGATCGAGTAAGTGTATGTGGATGTGGAGGCTGGAAGTAAACATTTTTTTTTAGTATGGAAATATACACACACACTTCTATGGGGGTTTCAATATAAAGCATATTTTCTAAAGCATCAGAAAATCAGCAAAAATACCCCCATGGCTATCATTGAGTGTCCCCTAGAAACTTATTCAAAATTTGATGTCCACTTTAATGCATTTCAAAATATCTGGGGCTCTGAATCTATTTTTTTCTCCATTTATTAGGTCTCTTGGAAAATTACTTTCTTTATAGTACAGTACAGTACAGTACTAGCCTTGGCCAACCACCACTACACCAAACTTCCAATATTGTCAGTGCCCCAGACCCATTTTTAATGATACTCTGCATATCATATTTTTAAGTGTCAATCATCTTGAAATTGTGAACAGTGATTCGCTCTCACCTCACAGAAAATACCAGCAATCTCTACTGTTACACCAGTAACCACCACTCAAGTTGTAACCATTACAAAATACAGTACTTGAAATCATTTTTGTTAGAATGTCAAGCTGTTCAAATATAAGCTGTACATATAGTACGTTAAACTTATAAAACTTAAAGACATAAGCATAAGGTACTACAGGTATGGTATATCAACTGTAATTAGCAAAAACCACAATAAAATAAAATTACTTGTACAGTATTGTATGTACAGTACTTGTAAGTGATAATAAATCGAAAATAAATCCATAAGAAAATGTTTACAGGAAGAAACCCAAGACACTGTTTATGCTGTATTCCAAGTCACAAATATTTTAATGAATTAAGAGAAGGCAAAAAAATACAAGTGTTGTGTGTGACTTAGGAGAAAGCCGAGTACAGTATGTCAAAGTAGGAGGAAAGTCACAGTTTAGTTGGGTTTCCGTTTATGAACATGTAGATTTTTTTCATCAGATTGCTTAGTTTTTCTAACAACCAAAGAAAATATTCAAAACCTAATCTAACTGCCTAAAATGCTTTTGGTTTTATTACTTTACTTTTTATTGGCATCTATATATAGTGTGACTTTTTTCCTTTCACAGAGTACCCTGTACTAAACTGTACAGTATGTAGTACTCAAGGGATGAAAAAAAAAAGCACAGTGCATGAGGGAAATAGGAAGAAACATGTGTTATTGTCAATAAAGATACTGAATGGAAGTAGTAGTGTTTCATCTATCAAGGGATGGATGTGACAGCATATGGATCTGAGAGATGAACTAATATAGCAATGAGGTAAAAATGAGTACAGTATAAAGAAAAAAATAGGATCACCTGAAGATTCGCCCCCAGCTTATTCCACCTGAAGATTAACCATTCTAATGCTACCAGTAGGATTAACTTAGGTAATGCAAGGTTAGGATTTGAGTTGGGGTGGTTTATCTTTAAATGAATAAGCTGGACAGGAAAATTTTCAAGTTATCCAAAAACTATATCAAAGGAAACACATATGGGGATGTACAGCTGAGGGAAACCTGAACTGACTTTATTATGTGAGTACTCTGGCTGTTGTAGGCCAGGGCAATTTATAAGTGACAAAAATAACATGTTGGTAAAAGCTTTATATTAAGTATAGGGTAAATAGGATGCTACAGTAATAAATACAGTCAATGCTCGCCCAATGCTGGTCTGTCCAATGCGATTTTGACTATACGCATTTAAATACATGCGACCAAATAATTTGCCCAACAGAGAAAAATTTAAATACAGGTATAAGAACGTTAACAACCTTTAGTGTTTTTGCATTGCTTTGTGTTTGCCATTGCAGTATGGCCCCAAATGCAGAGGTGATGCTAGTAGTGGTAGCACACCCAAGAAAAGTAGAAAAGTGAAGACATTAGACGAGAAAATTAAGATTTTAGATCAGCTACGTGCAAGAACGTGTAGCAATGCTTGCCCATGAAAACTCTGTAAATGAATCCACCATACGCACAATTCGTAGTGGTGAGGACAAAATACATGCAAGTGTAAAAGCATCTGCATTTCTTAGTGCTAAGGTACCCCAAGTACCAAGGAAGGATCGGTACTTAGAAAAAATGGAAAAACTATCAAATGTTTGGATCAGTGAACAAGTGAATTTGAAAGGATCTGTTGTTGATAGCATAGCAATACGTGAGAAAGCACGCACCTTGTATGCTCATGTTGTGAAAACTGAGGGGGCAGGGAGTGATGCTGTGACTGATTTCTAAGCAATGTAAGATTGGTTTGAACATTTTAAATGCCGCTTTGCTTGACATAATGTGAAGCTTTAGGGAGAGGCTGGACCAGCAGACAAAGAGGCTGAAGAGCACTTCAAGCCCATGCTGCTTGAAGTGATAAAGGACAAAGGATATGCCCCAGAGCAAGTGTTTGACGCTGATGAGACTGGCTTCTAACCATGGATTGGCGAGTACAGTAATATGACTATATAATGCGTCTCATTAATATTTTTATTTGTTTTTATGGTATGTTAGATCTATTTTTATCAAATATGTGTATTATGTAAAAGTTTAAAAGGTATGCATTTCACGTGATAAGAGTCCATACATGGCCACGATTCCGCCACCCCATTTTTCCCATAAAAAGGTAAGTTTGCCCAACACGCCATTTTCGAAGAACATAACCCCCGTGTTGGGCGAGGGTTCACTGTACAGAAATAAGGCGATATGGAAGTTAAAAATTACAGACAAAGATAAAGGTCTCGGCAAGAAGAGATAATGAGAAGTGCAAAAGACGAAGGTGGATGGTAGGAGGGGAGGGGGGACAGGGAGTGGCAAGGGATATGAAAGTGTAGAGTGAAGGGCATAGTGGAACTGAGGAATGGATATCTTGGGAGCAGTAGGTAGTGTGTGTGTGTGTGTGTGTGTGTGTGTGTGTGTGTGTGTGTGTGTGTGTGTGTGTGTGTGTGTGTGTGAACGGGTAAAGAGAATGAGAGAGTGATCTTCGAGGAAGGACATGCTGTTCATGGGTAATGGTTGAATGTGTGAAGCAAAAGGAATAAACAATATGGGCATTTGAGGTCTTGTTGTGGAAGGGACTATCACAGCAGGTCATAAAATACTAATTACAGCATTAAGAATGATTGAACGGTAACATATGGAGGGGAAATTTAAGTGTGCGTGTTCTAGATTATAGCAGCAAAAGGCATGAAAAAGAGTGAAATTTATAAATACTCATGTGACTCACACTAAGAAATACTTTACTGCTTGAAGTAGATGATCCGTTTGAACAAGTTGATATAGTAGAAGTGTCAAGGCGTGATGATGATGATCTTGTGTGTTTTTTAACTGGAGATACGCTCTCACTTCTGTAAGTTCCTGGGCCTGGGGTTGTCTGTGGATAAATTAAACAACCTGCTTTTATAATTGTAAATGCAAAAAGGATTACTGTATTATGAAAATGTATATGTAATGAATTTTAACAACTTTTATTGCTACTCAATCTCCTTTGTTTCAGTATTAATGACTCGGTATTACAGTACGGTTTAATTAATAAGAAAATAAAAAGAAACTTCTGTATACAGTAGTACATTCTATTAAAATCAAGCACATCTGGAAAGAATTCACCATGATATCAGGTGAGGATATGTAATTCAACTACAATTACTGTACTACATCCAAAATTACCATAATACAGTATCCTCAAAAACAAAAGTGCCCCAACATACTGAATAGAGTAAAACCTTCTAAAGTATTCAAAGAGAGGAGTAAACATACAGTCACTCCAAAAGGTATCTTTATGGAGGGGTCCGGTGAATTTCAAAATGAACACTGCGGCTCCAGTTGTCTCGGCAGGGTTGTTAAAATCTTTCGTCAGTTGTGTCATATTGTCTCACACAAACTCATAAGATACCATTTGGAGTGAGTGAATATACTCTGTACAGTCCCCTTCAGTAGTGTGTTTACAGGTGCTTGTCAGGTTTTGTACAGTGTGGCTGCCCTGTGTTCGTTTACATTCAACAGAAGGAAACTCGCAATCGTAAACATACTATGGAATCAAATTAAAACAATTCTAAAACAAATACCTCAAAGATAATGATTTGTGGAATGTTTATATGACGAGCTCCTGTAAATGCACTAGTGAAGAGGACTGTACAAATAAATACTATACTGCCATTAAGGAAGTTTCTCAAACAAATAAAAAATAAATAAATAAAAATTCCACACAGATGATCTAACCTAACTTAACCATTAAGAAAGATGGCAGATATCACACAAAACAGATAATCATCTAGCAGGGACCTGTACATATTGTGATGAAATTTGAAAAAGTTTTGATCATCAGTGGTTCCCAAACTGGAGGCCAAGATGTTAAAAAAAACAACAACAAAAGCAAATGAGCTACTCATTTACAACAGAACTGAAGGTCAAATTCGTATGAAACTCAATGAAATACACAACAAAAACCCATTTTCCATAGTAATTTCTGTGCATGAAAACTGGAATATTTATCTTCGTTTCATCCCTTTATACTAATCTCAGATAAGGTTTGATATAAAACGAGGTCACCCTTACCTCATTGGTTGACCTCCATCTCTCAGACTTGTCAAGAGTTACAGCTATACATTTATTTTCAGTCTTCTTAGGGTTGTATGCTGTGGGTGGTGGAGCACAACCTGTAACAGAAAAATGGATTGTGATTTCTTTTATACTGTACCTAATAAAGAAGAAAAAAACAGGATTAAAATATGGGATCTTCTGATAATTAGGCACCACAGCTGATGTCAAATAACGGTTAACCACTTTTCTACATGGTCCCTACCCTGCTGAATAAAATTGTATGGTGTTAGCCAAATAAATTACAAAGTGGTTATTTGACCGGGATTCCCAACCAATTAATCATCATGGGGATTGTGTACTATTTTAATATGCCTTTAATGGGATTATGGTCAGGATGGCTGTAGGCAAACACTAATATTTAAATGATGAATGATTTATCACTAATACAGTATCTTCTTTATTCGTCTTCTCATACTCATAGCCATATACAGTATAATGTACATGTATTATACAAATTATACATTGTGGGCTTTCTGTGCTTGGTAAAATGTGAGGTATCATTCTCATGGTTAGGTTAGTAAAATAATAATTATTCACATGGTTAAATAATGCAAATACAACACACATTAATATTATACACAATCCATGGTAAAATAGCCAATAGCTATTTGGCCGGGTACCAGTCAAATAACCCCTGCCAATAAAATATTAGAAGTAGCATCTCTACAGTGAAGGGGTTGAATGCTATCTGGATGGGTTAGGGAAACATTAGGGTATTTACCAGTATCACATGAATTTCACATATACTCGTATTTGATTTACTGGAAGAGAAATGACTAACAACACCAGCCTTCAGAACATTCGCCAGTATAGCTTAGAAACTGCACTTCAGGATCAGTTCAAATTGTTCCATTTATATTGTCTTATAATTAAATACTTTACCACAAGATCTAAACAAATTTTTCGAATGGTCTGAAAAATGGCAGATGAAATTCAACGTGGACAAATGTAAAGTACTCAGTATAGGAGATGTAAACAGGGAAACCAGATACCAGATGAACAACGATGCCATAGAGAAATCAGACTGCGAGAGAGATTTAGGAGTAATGATAAGTAGGAACCTTAAGCCAAGTAAACAATGTGTTTTTGCTCGTAACAAGGCTAATAAAGTACTTGGGTTCATACAAAGGAGTGTTAGTTACAAGACTAGCGAGGTCATCCTAAAACTGTATCTTGCTCTTGTGAGACCACACCTGGATTACGCAGTTCAGTTCTGGTCACCGTATTACAGAATGGATATAGAATCCTTGGAAAGAATTCAGAGGAGAATGACAAGACTAATCCCGGGCATTAGGAACCTTGAGTATAGAGACAGGTTAAAGCATCTTAATTTGCACTCCCTCGAGAGACGTAGAGCGAGGGGCGACCTGATAGAGGTGTACAAGTGGAAGGCAGGGCTAAACAAAGGGGACATTACAAAGGTACTCAAACTATCCAACCAGGAACGAACTCGTAACAATGGTTTTAAATTAGACAAATTTAGATTTAGGCGGGAAATAGGTAAACACTGATTTGGAAACAGAGTGGTGGATGAATGGAACAAGTTACCAAATATCATCATTAACTCGAATACGCTGAATAGCTTCAAACATAGGTTGGATGCTTATATGAGCAATAGGGGTTGGGTGTAAACGGGACTGTCCAGTATGGGCCAATAGGCCCGCTGCAGTTTCCTCCATTCTTATGTTCTTATTACTCACCCTAGCTGAAGGATTTGACACCAGCAATGAGTGCAAATGCACTACAGGAGGATTTAAATAAACTGCAGGGGTGGTCAGAAAAATGGCAAATGAAATTCAACACCAGCAAGTGCAGCGTACTTCATATTGGAAGAACAAATACTGTCAATGCATACAGCCATAACAACATCAACCTAGAGAGGTCGACTTGTGAAAGAGACCTAGGGGTACTTGTAAGCCCGGACCTACGGCCTAGAAAACAGTGAGTTAATGTTCTAATAAGGCAAACAGAGTATTAGGTTTTATATCTAGAAGTGTAAGTAATACGAGTGCAGAGGTCTTATTGCAACTATATCTTGCGCTAGTCAGGCCGCATCTCGATTATGTGGTTCAGTTCTGGTGCCCCTATTATACAGTAGAATGGATATAAATTCACTAGAGTCGGTGCAGCGCAGAATGACGAAAATTATTCAGGGACTTAGAAACCTTCCATATCAGGATAGGTTAAAGAAACTAAACTTGCATCCCCTAGAAAGACGAAGAGTGCGGGGAGATATGATAAAAGTATTTAAGTGGGTAAAAGGAATCAATAAAGGAGATATAGATAAAGTTCTTATAATATCCGAGCAGGATAGGACTCGGAGCAACGGATTTAAGTTGGATAAGTTTAGGTTTAGGAGGGAGATAGGAAGAACTGGTTCACAAATAGGGTGGTGGACGAGTGGAACAAGCTTAGCAACTTTGTATTTAGTGCGGGAACTCTGGAAAGTTTCAAAAGGAGGCTGGATAGATTCATGGATGATAGAGAGTGGTAGTAACTCTCGACAGGAGCTGCCATGCACAGGCCAACCGGCCTATTGCAGACTCCTTATTTTTGTTATGCTCTTATGTAACCACCCTAAAGCTAACCTAACTTATCAACATCTATTTATCTATCTAACAGTCGACTAGGATGAATGAATAACTTTATGGTGAAAAATGCTTACTGAAGATCTATCTAACAGTCGACTATGGGTGAATGAATACTTTAAGGGGCAAAATGCTAACTGAATAATAGTCGACGTTGAATATTACAACTACAAAAACATGAATCACATTAATGAGTACCAAACACGTTAAATAATCATGAGGTAAAAACAAATAAAATCAATCAACATTTTGTTTATATGACTGGACAGAGTTTGGTCACTTCTATAGTAATTTAAATTGTCTTAATTCGATCACTTACCTACTTCCTCGTTGAATCTCTTTATCTTTGCCTTCGAGAACATCCTGGAATGAAAAATAACAGACCGTATAAGAGAAAAATTAGCACAGTAAACCACACAACTAGATCAAACTACACCACCACAGCCGCCACAACACACACCCGGGAGATTTAAATTACATAAACCAATCAGAAGTGAGGAAACTGGAGCTGTAGCCAATCACCGTCCAGGACTGAATCAGCTGTCGGTGAAGCCACGCCACCAAATATTAAATTATCTCTATTTTAATTTCCACATATACAGAAGAAAGAGACTGACTAAAATGTATTGTAAGTAAACCAACACAATTTATTGAGGTATTTCAATTAGATATTTTGTTATTTATGTATAAAAAATTATGCCAAGTGTATGTGGCGGTATGATTTGATCTATAAATGTCTGAAGAAAAAACACGTGATATATAAATAAATAAAAAGATTATTTATGAATTTTATATTACCTGTAGTCTTTATTTCATTTTAATATGAAACTGTAATATTACACAAACCATATAATTTACGGCGTTAGTAAAAATTGGACCGACATTTAAAGGGATGTCCTTCCTTACGCATGCGCGCACTCTCGCACGCACGTACCCCCACACGTGCCCGTATGCGTACAGACACGCACACACTCAAAAACACATCATGCATAGACGACAAAATAACCAAACTCACTCTTATAACTACTCACAATCAAATATGAATATAAATTTACTGTACACTATCCGGCATCATAATTTATGCATGAATACGGATACACCCCCATTTCGTCACCAATCTGAAATCCGTTTCGTCACCACTAACAGTTAGTGGTATTAGTGACAAATTGTAGGTTATTATTTTACACGAATAGAAATTACACATGTATACAGACGACTCGAGAAGTATTGTTTCATTATTATACATGAATATTAATTATTTAATGAAGAAAACCATTAAAACATTGGTAAATAAACAAAGTACAGAAATGAAGAATTATTGTGTTATTACTATACATGAATATTAATTGTTTAATAAAAAAACGATTCAACATTGGTAAATAAAGCAAAATACAGAACAAATGAAGGTGATATGGCCCCTCAGTCTCTTTCACAAGTCGACCTTTCTAGGTTGATGTTGTTAAGGCTGTATACGTTGACAGTATTTGTCCTACCAATATTAAGTACGCTGCACTTGCTGGTGTTGAATTTCATTTGCCATTTCTCTGACCACCCCTGCAGTTTATTTAAATCCTCCTGTAGTGCAGCAGCTAGTTTTTCATTTCCAACGGATTCGCTCAGAGTGCACGATTCTAAATTCCTTTCAGCAGGGTGACGGGTGCTGAACTGAGTCACTTATCTCACATGTTCTGAACATGTACGTGAGTCATCGCCTTACAAGTGGTGATCACACCAAATGTTCTCAGTCTGGCTCAATCTATCATTAGAAAAATATGTGAGTGCACTGTATGTGCATGTTTTACGTGTGATTATAGGGACTTTATGTATGTTTACATACAGTATGTATGGACTTCATGCATGTTTGTGTGTTTGCCATTCGGATTATTTTCTCATTTTTGTTTTTTAGTATTAAATTTTTTAGTCTTTATCATTCGTTTGTTTCTGTGAAATTTTTTTTAAGAACTAGTCAACATTTAGAGAGAGAGAGAGAGATTACAATTTTTTGGTAAAACCAAGAGATTCATGATTGTCTTATATATGAGAAGAGACAAGGAAGCGAGGGGGTGGAAGATAGGGGAGGGGTGAGTGAGGAAGAACTAGGCCGGGGTGGGAGAGACGAGGTAGGGGAGGGTAGCAGTAATGAGGTCAGTTCCAACATGACAACACAATCTAGCTTGTTGAACATGTAAAAGATTCTCGGGGGGTAATCAATATCAGCGAATAAGAGCAACAACTAACGTATCTATCATCGCAGTGGCAGTGTTTATCGATATTTTCTGTTTCAGAACACTGTGTTGCAAGATTCTCAGAAAGGCCGTGTGAGTGTGTGTGGGGGGGGGGGGATGAATAATCTAAACACCAAACACCGAGGTCACAGTAAAAGTTAACGTCACGCTTGGCTTCGTTTTCTCTAGTATGTAGGCAGAGGCAGTAGGTAAGTAGAGGCGCGACGTGGTGTATGCTTGGATACTGTTTGTTGTGGAACCTTAAAAGTATTGAACCCTCGCTCCATCCACATGTAGAACACAATAGCAATGTGAGTGTTGCCACACCACCTCCACCACCACCTCCTTCACGGGTAAAACTTAAACAATACTCAGGTGAGTGTCAACCATCATTACCTTGCTAAAACGTGTAATCTCACAATTATTTACTGTTGGTGAATTACGACGCGTTATAAAATAACACCTCTCTCTCTCTCTATCATGGGAGTCAAAAAACAAGCAGGTCCTGGGAAGTAGTGAAACAGAAGTAGATAATGCTGAAAATATAGTTAGTCATAATAACAAACATCAAAGTAATAAATGTAAAACAGATAGAAACGGAAGAAATATATTGAGTGTTTATTATACTAATAGTAGAAGCCTGTGTAATAAAATGGACCAGCTCAGAGCCATTGTTAGTAAAGAGAACATAGATATAATTGCAATAACGGAAACATGGATAAATTCAAACAGCAAGCATTTTTTAGCAGAATTTCATATTCCAGGATATAACCTATTTAAATTTGACAGAGTAGGAAGGAGAGGTGGCGGTGTAGCAGTGTATATCAGGGTGTCATTAAAAAGCTGCAATAAATCAAACATTAAAACAACTAGCGACAATGAAAGTATTTGGGTAGAGATTGGTGAGGGCAGTGAATCCGTAGTCATTGGTGTTATATATAGACCACCTAATTTGAGTAGGAAGGATGGTAAATTGCTATGGGAGGAAATAAAGAAGGCATCTGATAGAAACAATGTATGTATTCTAGGCGATTTCAACTTTTCAGGCATAGATTGGAAAAATCAACTTAGCGATAATGAATCTGAAGATTTTCTAGAAGTAGTACAAGATAGTTTTTTATATCAATTCATAAACTCGCCCACTAGAGGAAATAATATCCTCGATTTAGTTCTCAGTAATAATGAAAATCTAGTAAAAGATGTTGGGATTGGAGACGAACTAGGAAACAGTGATCATAAAGCCATATATTTTAACATAATATGGGATGGCAGGAAGAAGGAAAATTCGGCCTTGATCCCGGATTTTAGGAAGGCTAATTACGGTAGCTTAAGGAGAGACCTAAGGGATGACCCTATGGTCAAAAGATTAATCCCCCCCACACCTCCGGAAACTGTCAACTTAGGACGGGATAACCCCGAATTTAATTTAGCAGCTACTTATGAACAATTTATTGCGACAATCAATAATGCCCAAAATAAACACATCCCTAAAAGAAAATTCAGATCGATACGGAACCAACCAAAATGGATGAATAATAGACTCTTAGATCTTCTAGGGAAAAGAAAGGAGTATATAGAAAAAGTTAAGAAAGGCGAAAAATCACTTACTTGGTTACTATCCAGAACCTAACAAGACAGGTAAAAACAGAAATTAGGAAAGCAAGAGAAATTATGAAATCAAGGGTAGCAAACGAATCGAAAAAATAACCCCCAAAGCTTTTATCAACTGTATAAATCAAGGTTAAGAATACAATAGGTCCCCTTAAAACTACGACAGGAGAAATGACTGATGATGAGTTAGAAATGTGTAGTACGTTAAATGGTCATTTTCGCTCCGTATTCACAAATGAAAACCTAGCACAGTTTCCAGAAGTTCATAAGGTATATAACGACAGTATAGAAAATATGTTGATGAATATCAATATTACTAGTAACGATGTGCTTAAAGTAATTAACAAACTGAAGCCTCATAAATTGCCTGGTCCAGACGAGGTATATGCTAGAATATTAAAAGAATGTAGAGATGAGTTGAGTAATCCATTAGCAGTTTTTAATAAGTCATTAGAATCGGGCCTAGTGCCAGAAGCTTGGAAACTTGCAAATGTAGTTCCGATTTTCAAAAAGGGTGATAAATCAATAGCATCAAATTACCGTCCCATTAGTCTCACGTCAATCATAGGCAAGTTGCTAGAGTCAATTATTGCTACAAAAATCAGAAGCCACCTTGAAACATTCAACTCAATTCATTCTTCTCAGCACGGGTTCACCCAGGGACGTTCTTGTCTCAAATTTGCTTAGCTTTTTCTCAGAAGTATATGAAGCGGTAGATAATGATAAGTCATATGATATAATTTATTTAGATTTCAGTAAAGCATTCGATAGAGTTCCTCATGAGAGATTGATAAGGAAGGTAGAAGCACATGGAATAAGTGGATCAGTATTAAAATGGATTAGGTCATGGTTAACTGGTAGGAAACAAAGAGTCAGCATAAATGGATTAAAGTCAGATTGGGGTGCGGTTAAAAGCGGAGTTCCCCAGGGATCTGTATTAGGCCCTCTGCTGTTTGTTATATTCATTAATGATCTTGATTTAGGCATAACTAGTAGGATTAGTAAATTTGCAGATGATACCAAAATGGGGAGAGTGATAAATTCAGACAGCGACTTTGAACACCTTCAAAGAGATCTAGATACCTTACATGAGTGGTCAGTAGACTGGCAAATGAATTTTAATACTGATAAATGCAAGGTACTACAGATAGGGAAGACGAATACAAACGTTAAGTATAAACTAGGTAACACGGAAATAGAAAACTCAGTTTTGTGAAAAAGATCTAGGTGTATTTGTTAGCAACGACTTGAAACCTAGAAAACAATGTATTAGCGTTCACAACAAGGCAAACAGGATTCTTGGGTTCATATCTAGGTCTGTGAGTAACAGAACTGCTGACGTTATCTTGAAACTTTACCTAGCATTAGTGAGGCCACACATGGATTATGCGGTTCAGTTCTGGTGTCCTTATTATAGAATGGACATAGATTCTTTGGAGAGAGTACAAAGAAGAATGACAAAATGATCCATAATATTAGAAACCTTCCATATGAAGAAAAGACTGAAAAGCTTAGGCATTCATTAGAGAGGCGTAGAGTTAGGGGAGATATGATAGAGGTGTACAAGTGGGTAAGTGGGATTAACATGGGTAAAATGGGAAGATGTTCTGAAGCTCAGTAATAACGAAATAACTAGAACAAATGGCTTTAAATTAGATAAATTCCGATTCAGAAAGGATATAGGCAAGCACTGGTTTGGTAATAGAGTTGTGGATATGTGGAATAGGCTACCGAGTGCTATAGTAGGATCGGGGACGCTAGGGAGCTTCAAGACGAAGTTGGATAGGCACATGGAAGTGCTGGGATGGGTGTGAAAGGGATCTGCCCTGTATGGGCCAGTCGGCCTCCTGCAGTATCCCACTTTCTTATGTTCTTATGTTCTTATATATGTAGTGTGCGTTCTTGAATGATGTGGGCCACAACGATGTGCTTCTTTTCAAAAGACCGCCACATTGTAACTAATGTATGTTTTTGTCTTTCGCTAATGTTTTATAAGCAGTGGTTCTAAAGTTTCTTCTATTGTCATATCGGCAGTGAATAGCAATTTGCCATTAAAATAAAAAGATAAAAAGTACAGTGGAGATATTTGGTACTACATAGAACGTCTGAGATGGATCAAGGCAAGGGACAGTGGCCGAAAACCTACTACAGTAGTACTACAGCATCTGACAATATGGAGGCTGTGAGGTAGAAGCCTCGCCAAGGGAGTAGAGACGTAAACTTTCTCATTTGGTAGGAACTTGACGATCAACGGTTTGCAGATCTGTTCATGACGACCTGTATCCTAATAAAGTAGATTTATTGCCAAGTCAAACCGGTAGAAATAAAAGGGAGAGGCTCATTGAATTATGTGAGTATTTCCTTGCAGATACAAAATGAACAACAATTCTTTTCGATCTGTCTCCAGCTGCATACTCTCTCTGAGATATCATTAATTCAAAATATATTGACAGCCTCAATACGCTGGAAGAATTGATGATAAACACTGGGTCGCGCGGATTGATCATGTGATAACTTTGGATTGATCGATGGATTTATTTATATGATTCACACTACTGTACTTTCTGTTATGAATAAAATATTTTGCTTATTGATATTTTTTTAGGCCAAAATGACCAAAACAGATTCACAAACAATTCAATGACAATCTTTTAAATCAGGGCACATCATTGTGGTCCACCATGTTGATGTACCCTGCATGTACTATGTGATGTAATGTTCAGCATGCTCACCTCGTAAGATAGTTGTCCCGGGTTCGATCCCCGGCAGAATGAAACTATGGGCAAGTTTCTTTACGCCATTTGCCTCTGTCTACCCAGCGTAATTGGGAACTTGGATGTTAATCGATTTGCGGATCGTATTCAGGGGTAATGGTTAGACAGTGGAGTTGTATGGTCTTCTCGGACTATTCCTTGACACTGGGTCAGGCAACTCGTTAACTCAGGGTGTGGTTGTTGTGTTGGCGACAGCTTCTACACCTTGAACAAGTTCACGTCTAGGTGGCCCTTGTGCCGGCCATCCTCGATCTCGAGGGGCAACCATTAAACAAAATAATGTATGTATGTCTACGTGTATTTGTATGTACTGTATATACACATGTAAGCATGTATGTGGTTGATTGCATATGCATATAAGTGTGTTTAGTGTATTTTGTAAAAGTACTACATATGTATTATTATGCATGTGTTTGTTGTGTACTAAGAGCAGAACCAGTTAATCACTCCCTGAAAATCTTCACAAAAAGGCCTAGAAGTTGTCCCCCAATTATACTCGCATAAAGTGATATTTAAGACTCCTGAGTCCTGATTGAGTTTTGTCCTTGAAACATTGAAAAAAATCATTGTTGTATTATGACGAAAGCCTCCATTTGTTTGGTTACGTACATCACTAGGTTCACCACACCCGTTGGCATAAGTTCACAAAAACTCATTATGTGTGTGGGGGACAGGTGTGTGGAAGTGTGTGTGTGGAGGGCAGGTGTGTGTGTGTGTGTGTGGAGGCCAGGTGTGTGGAAGTGTGTCAATGCCAGGTGTGTGGAAGTGTGTGTGTGGAGGGCAGGTGTGTGGAAGTGTGTGTGTGGAGGGCAGGTGTGTGGAAGTGTGTGAGTGTGGATGACAGGTGTGTGGAAGTGTGTGTGGAGGGCAGGTGTGTGGCGTGCATGCAGTGTGTGTGCGACGTGAAGTTGGTCACTGGTGTTGATGTATTGATCAGTGTAGTGGAGTGCCGTCCCCTCCACCCTCTTCATACCACCTTCCCTCCACCACACAACACTCTCCACTATACAACACCCTCCACCACACAACACCCTTCACGATACAACACCCTCCACTATTCAACACCCTCCACCATACAACACCCTCCACCACACAGCACCCTTCACGATACAACACCCTCCACGATACAACACCCTCCACGATACAACACCCTCCACGATACAACACCCTCCACGATACAACACCCTCCACTATACAACACCCTCCATTATACATGTTATTTACTTAGACTTTAGCAAAGCATTTGACAGAGTACCGCATCAGAGGCTTCTGAGAAAAATTAAGGCTCATGGTATCGAGGGGAAAGTTTTAAATTGGATAAAATCATGGCTCACCGATAGAACGCAGAGGGTCAGCGTAGATGGTGTTAAATCTGAGTGGGGCCATGTAACCAATGGGGTTCCCCAGGGGTCAGTACTACGCCCACTCTTGTTCATAATCTACATAAACGATCTAGATGCTGGGATCAGCAGTGACATAAGCAAGTTTGCGGATGACACCAAAATAGGGCGGCAGATTAATTCAGGGCAGGATGCAAATGCATTACAGGAGGATCTAAATAAACTGCGGGGGTGGTCTGAAAAATGGCAAATGAAATTCAACACCAGCAAGTGCAGCGTACTTAATATTGGAAGAACAAATACTGATAATGTATACAGCCTTAACAACATCAACCTAGAGAAGTCGATTTGTGAAAGAGACCTAGGGGTACTTGTAAGCCCGGACCTACGGCCTAGAAAACAGTGCGTTAATGTTCGAAATAGGGCAAACAGAGTATTGGGTTTTATATCTAGAAGTGTAAGTAACAAGAGTGCAGAGGTCTTATTGCCACTATATCTTGCGCTAGTTAGGCCGCACCTCGATTATGCGGTTCAGTTCTGGTGCAGAATGACAAAAATGATTCCGGGACTTAGAAACCTTCCATATCAGGATAGATTAAAGAAACTTAACTTGAATTCCCTAGAAAGACGAAGAGTGCGGGGAGATATGATAGAAGTATTTAAGTGGATGAAAGAAATCAATAAAGGGGATATAGATAAAGTTCTTATAATATCCGAGCAGGGTAGGACTCGTAGCAACGGATTTAAGTTGGATAAGTTTAGGTTTAGGAAGGAGATAGGAAGAAACTGGTTCACAAATAGGGTGGTGGACGAGTGGGACAAGCTTAGCAACTTTGTAGTAAGTGCGGGAACTCTGGAAAGTTTCAAAAGGAGGCTAGATAGATTCATGGATGATCGAGAGTGGAAGTAACTCTCGACAGGAGCTGCCATGCACAGGCCAACCGGCCTATTGCAGACTCCTTATTTTCTTATGTTCTTATTAGTTTAGGTGAGGTGAGGTAAATTTAAGTTGTTAGATTGGATTGTGTAAGGTTAGGTTATATTAGTTATAGGTCAGCGCTAAGGTGGCTAGTGTTAAGGTGAAATAATGCTTGGGGGCTGATCCTGAGGGAATACCAACTACCATCAGTAATAACACCAGAAATACGTCATTATTGTTCTCAGTCAGGTTTACATAATAATACTCGTTGGTGGCGGTGAAAGACGGCCGGCTGAAGACCATCCAGGTGGGAATTTGTTTAATTTGTATATTATCTGTATACTGTAGGTGCAACCACACCATTCTTATCCTTGCCACATAGGTGAAACGGAGCAAAGATACTTGTCCATAGTTTCTGTTGTTTCAACCTGCTCGTGCGCGCGTGTATGTACATTTGTAGGATTTACAACTTCTTAATATTAATTATTCTCACGTTATATAACGTTTGATCATGTCCACAAGCGTCGAGTTAATATGTGCACTCGGTAAAAACAAATTTTCAGGTGGAGTCCGATGAATTTGGAACTTAACAATTATGTTGTCTCGCTAGGGTTGGTAGGCGTGATTGTGAGACATTTCCTACCTATTATTGTAGGCCTAATTTAGTTATTTCTTTCGAAATATAAAATGTGTTCGTTGTAATATGATAGGTTAATAACAATATACCTCGTGGGCCTTTATCAGAAACCACCATTCGTGGTGTCACTTTGTTTTGCACAAGAATTGTAAAGATAGTTATTTTTCCCAAATGAATCATATTAAGTGTTCTTTGTCGTTTGTGTTGGCAGCATCGACCAGATAATTGAGGGTCGTGGAGGGCGAGGTCCGTCATGACCCGAGCATGGACAGGTGGACCAACAACTTCTACAAGCAGCAGAGTGGTGGTGTTGTGGCAGGTGATGGTGTGGTAGAGAGCCGAGGCCACCAGGGCAGTCTCACAGCCAACAGCCGTCGGCGTCGCAGCAGCCATGGCAGGATAGAGGGCAGAAAGGTGGCACACCTGTGGGTCTTCCGCGTGGTGCACCTTACAGAGGTCACCCTCAAGTCATTTGTTGAACGTCAAGGTATCCAGGTTTTTAACGTGGAGCAAGTGTCGCACAGGGAGGCGGCATACAAGTCCTTCTTGCTGACGGTAGATGAGAGGGACGCCGTCACGCTGCTCCAGAGAACCTTCTGGCCTGGGCTGGTGGCATGCAGACTGTGGCACGACAGAGGTGACGGACGGCGGGGTGATGCTTTTAGCAGGAGGTCTGCCAGGGGCACCCGCACCGTCCTCGAAGCCCTTGATAGTAAGATACTTAAGTATACTTATATATGTTTACGCTATACAATATATATATATATATATATATATATATATATATATATATATATATATATATATATATATATATATATATATATATATATATAACAGTTTCTAAACCATTTATTCACGAATCTCTATAACTCTTGGAAAATATTTATTTTTATGCTTCACACTAATAATGATTATTATATTATTTGAACATAAACTATTATTTAATAGTTATTTTCGTTCGTTCTTATTAATAAAGTTAACGGAGACAGGTGACAACCTGCTAGAGTGTGTACTTGTACTTAATTAACAATTGGTACTTTACAGGCCAGGTTGGTGGTGGACAACAGAAGGGCAGGGACGGCTCCTTCCACACACACACCAACACTTACAGGTCGACGCGCTACGAATCACCACCTTGTAAGGAAAGACACAGAACTATCACTCAGGTTGGCTCAGGCTTGAAAAGTAACAATAGAGAAAGAAAATATGAAGAGAAAAAAGGCAAATACAATAATGGTTTGAGAAAAGATAATAAAAACAATTCCGATAAAGAGGGTAAAGGAGACAACAGTAATAAACTAGTAGGTATTTCGAAATTAGGAAGCAAAACAAAGACTACTATCGGAAAAAGTGATAAGAGTGTAAAAAGTAAGGAGACTAAACCTAAGGACAACAAAGAGAAAGTAGATAAAAATAAAATAAAAAGGAAGGAGAAACACATAGGTGAAAAGGTTAGCAGGCGCAATAAAGAACCAGATAAAGGCGGTAAAACAGCTGGATACAAAAAGAGAGAAGTTTCGCGAGTATCTGACAGAGCCACAGATCGAGGAGATGTAAACAAAAGATCTAAAGACAAACACAACGAGAATAAGAAGCCACCAGATGACAAAGACAAAATGCAAGCAAAGTCAGCTGAACATAAAGGATATAAGAGACATGTTGGTGATAATGAAACAGTAGATAAGCAATATGATGAGAAATATACTCATGATGAACGTGGAAATATGCGAAAGAAGATAGATAAACAAAGAGGCTCAACTACCCAGCACGTAAAGGGAAAACATTGGAACCAGGGTCCCGAGACGCATGATCACCCCCGTAAGGATGGGTCAGTAAGAACGTCTATGGACACACATTACTCGAAGAACCCAAACAAAAGTGTAGTTCAAGATACAACAGATGTCAACAGTATAGAAAAAGAAAAGACAGAGTATCCTAACTGGGTGATGTCGTTGAGCACTTTATTGATACTGTCGTCAGAGGAGGTGGTGTACAAGTTACTAGGCCCCGATTATGATGAACTGCTCGGACAAGAAGATATAGCTGACGATGAACTCTTCCTGGGAGTCAAAGTTTTAGCCCACTCAGCGCGGGCCAAGTCAAGCCAAGATGACTTAATACGACTCCTGAACAAGATCTGGCAACCTCATATTATCAACCTAATCAAGACGTTCTCTGTGACGGTGGAGAGGAGATACCCTGAGAGAGCTGAGAGATACTTCTGGGATCTGGCTGAGTTTTTAGATCTTTGTATTGTCAGTAGTGTGTTTATTGAAGGTATGTGTGGATTACTTAGCACCTGTGTCTCGGAAGTGTTAGCGCTCAATTATAAATCCTACGTCAGTGATGATTTAGTGAAGGTATACAGGAGGATGCAGGAGAAGTGTGGTAGATTATCTTGAGTCACTTCCAGATTATCTTGAGTCACTTCCAGATTATCTTGAATCTGTGCTAGATTATCCTGAGTCAGTTTCAGATAATCTTGAGTCAGTGTCAGATTATCTCGAATTAGTGCCTGGAAACAGCTTGTGTGTGATCTGTGTCAACTACATATACATACATGCGTACAATGAAAAACAAAAGTCGTGTCGTGAAATTTGGTGAAAACATATGCCGAAGGGCTAAACTTTTGGTGCACCTTGCCTTGTGATTGGGGGCTCTCATAATGTTTCACGAGTTATATTTTATCTTCGGACAAAACCGCCACACGAATTTTGTCTTCGATTGTACATACATACTGTACATACATACAGGGTTCAGCAGGATATAGTTGTATCATTCATATAAGAACATAAGAACATAAGAAAGTGGGATACTGCAGGGGGTCGACTGGCCCATACAGGGCAGATCCCTTTCACACCCATCCCAGCACTTCCATGTGCCTATCCAACTTCGTCTTGAAGCTCCGTAGCGTCCCCGATCCTACTATTGCACTCGGTAGCCTATTCCACATATCCACAACTCTATTACCAAACCAGTGCTTGCCTATATCCTTTCTGAATCGGAATTTATCTAATTTAAAGCCATTTGTTCGAGTTATTTCGTTATTACTGAGCTTTAGAACATCTTCCATTTTACCCTTGTTAATCCCACTTACCCACTTGAACACCTCAATCATATCTCCCCTAACTCTACGCCTCTCTAGTGAATGCAAGCCTAAGCTTTTCAGTCTTTCTTCATATGGAAGGTTTCTAATATTATGGATCATTTTAGTCATTCTTCTTTGTACTCTCTCCAAAGAATCTATGTCCATTCTATAATAAGGACACCAGAATTGAACCGCATAATCCATGTGTGGCCTCACTAATGCTAGGTAAAGTTTCAAGATAACGTCGGCAGTTCTGTTACTCACACTCCTAGATATGAACCCAAGAATCCTGTTTGCCTTGTTGCGAACGCTAATACATTGTTTTCTAGGTTTCAAGTCGTTGCTAACAAATACACCTAGATCTTTTTCACAATCTGAGTTTTCTATTTCCATGTTACCTAGTTTATACTTAACGTTTGTATTCGTCTTCCCTATCTGTAATACCTTGCATTTATCAGTATTAAAATTCATTTGCCAGTCTACTGACCACTCATGTAAGGTATCTAGATCTCTTTGAAGGTGTTCAAAGTCACTGTCTGAATTTATCACTCTCCCCATTTTGGTATCATCTGCAAATTTACTAATCCTACTAGTTATACCTAAATCAAGATCATTAATGAATATAACAAACAGCAGAGGGCCTAATACAGATCCCTGGGGAACTCCGCTTTTGACCGCACCCCAGTCTGACTTAAATCCATTTATGCTGACTCTTTGTTTCCTACCAGTTAACCATGACCTAATCCATTTTAATAATGATCCACCTATTCCATGTGCTTCTACCTTCCTTATCAATCTCTCATGAGGGACTCTATCGAATGCTTTACTGAAATCTAAATAAATTATATCATATGACTTATCATTATCTACCGCTTCATATACTTCTGAGAAAAAGCTAAGCAAATTTGTGAGACAAGAACGTCCCTGGGTGAACCCGTGCTGAGAAGAACGAATTAAGTTGAATGTTTCAAGGTGGCTTCTGATTTTCGTAACAATAATTGACTCTAGCAACTTGCCTATGATTGACGTGAGACTAATGGGACGGTAATTTGATGCAATTGATTTATCACCTTTTTTGAAAATCGGAACTACATTTGCAAGTTTCCAAGCTTCTGGCACTAGGCCCGATTCTAATGACTTATTAAATAAAACTGCTAATGGATTACTCAACTCATCTCTACATTCTTTTAATATTCTAGCATATACCTCGTATGTACAGTATAGTCAAGGGATATGTTTGCGTTATTCTATTTTTATATACGAAGATAGAAGTGATGTCTACAATAATGGTGAGGAGCTCATTATGCATCTGTTAAGTATGAAACAATATATATATAGATATATAATACCTGTCGAACTGTGTTTCTTTACCTGCCTGCATTACCGTGCCTCGCCACCATGCCTTGAAGTACAACGCACGAGAAAAACAAGAAATGACTTAAGTTATTAATTGAAGACAAAGACGTGTAAATATGCTTCCATGACAAATAATTTATCTTATTCGCCCTGATAAAGCTTTGAAACACCAAAGTGTGTGAACGCAAGAACATAAGAATGGAGGAAATTGCAGCGGGCCTATTGGCCCATACTGGGCAGTCCCATTTACACCCAACCCCTATTGCTCATCATTAACTCGAATTCGCTGGATAACTTCAAACATAGGTTGGACGCTTATAATTATGAGCAATAGGGGTTGGGTGTAAATGGGACTGCCCAGTATGGGCCAATAGGCCCGCTGCAGTTTCCTCCATTCTTATGTTCTTATGTTCTAGTGCTCCTATATCCATCCAACCTATGTTTGAAGCTATCCAGTGTGTGTGTGTTTGTATAATTAACGGTTGAAAATATACAATGAACAGAGATGATAAGTCACATATGGTGAAATCGGGTAGTGGGTCACTTGATTAACAAAAGCTTTCAATATGAAAATATAAGAAACATATCGATTGGCTTTAGATCTGGTACTGTGGGAGCTGGTCTGTAGACATTCTTGTGACCTGATGTCGGCTTCAACAAAGTCCTTCCCACTGTCTTGATGGCCGTTGTACCCAACTGTTAAGCCGTTACCTCACTACAACTGCAGAAGTACCACGTGGTCCGGGGTAGGTCCTCCAGCTCACACAGGGTGTTGGAGATGGCTCTTGTTCCTCATGTGATGTAGTTAGGAATTCATAGTTCCTCACCTGGGTGGAGTAGGGAGTCCTCAGTTCTCTTCTGGTGTAGTTTGGAGTGTTTCTTGGCTTCTCATCCAATGTTGGGGGTGGCGAGTGTACCACGGGCGGGCTGGGTGCGTCAGGTCAACATTGGCCGCTAAGTACTGATTGTCGCTCTCACAGTTGTTTCGTCCTTTCGAGTTGAAATTGTCACTTTTGAACATAAGAACATAAGGCGGGTAAACAAAGTAAAAGATTACAGGGAAATAGTGTTAGGAATGATGACAAAACTAAATTAAACAGGGAGTTTGAAACTAAACGCGGTAAACATAAGAACATAAGAATGGAGGAAACTGCAGCGGGCCAATTGGCCCATACTGGGCAGTCCCGTTTACACCCAACCCCTATTGCTCATATGAGCATCCAACCTATGTTTGAAGCAATTCAGCGTATTCGAGTTAATGATGATATTTGGTAACTTGTTCCATTCATCCACTACTCTGTTTCCAAACCAGTGTTTACCTATTTCACGCCTAAATCTAAATTTGTCTAATTTAAAACCATTGTTACGAGTTCGCTCCAGGTTGGATAATTTGAGTACCTTTGTAATGTCCCCTTTGTTTAGCCCTGCCTTCCACTTATACACCTCTATCAGGTCGCCCCTCCCCTCTACGTCTCTCGAGGGAGTGCAAATTAAGATGCTTTAACCTGTCTCTATACTCAAGGTTCCTAATGCCCGGGATTAGTCTTGTCATTCTCCTCTGAATTCTTTCCAAGGATTCTATATCCATTCTGTAATACGGTGACCAGAACTGAACTGCGTAATCCAGGTGTGGTCTCACAAGAGCAAGATACAGTTTTAGGATGACCTCGCTAGTCTTGTAACTAACACTCCTTTGTATGAACCCAAGTACTTTATTAGCCTTGTTACGAGCAAAAACACATTGTTTACTTGGCTTAAGGTTCCTACTTATCATTACTCCTAAATCTCTCTCGCAGTCGGATTTCTCTATGGCATCGTTGTTCATCTGGTATCTGGTTTCCCTGTTTACATCTCCTATACTGAGTACTTTACATTTGTCGACATTGAATTTCATCTGCCATTTTTCAGACCATTGGAAAAATTTGTTTAGATCTTCCTGTAGTTTTGCCGAGTCCTCGTCAGATTTGATAACACGTCCTATTTTAGTGTCATCAGCAAATTTACTTATGTTGCTGTCTATGCCGATATCTATGTCGTTTATGTATATAATAAACAATAATGGTCCAAGTACTGAGCCTTGGGGAACTCCACTTGTGACGTTGCTCCAATGGGACTTAGTGCCGTTAATGCTCACTCGCTGTTTCCTGTCCTGTAACCACGCCCTAATCCATTTAAGGATGTCACCTTTGATGCCATGAGCTTCTACCTTTCTAATTAGTCTTTCGGGGGACTCTGTCAGGCTTTGCTAAAGTCGAGATATACCACATCATAATTGTGCCCCTCGTCCACTGATTCGAAAACTGATGAAAAGAATGTTAATAGATTAGTTAGGCAAGAACGTCCGCTTGTGAAGCCATGCTGGGAATCATTGATCAATCGGTGCTTCTCCAGGTGATTTCGAATAGAGTTTGAAATGATTGCTTCCAGTAATTTGCCTACTATTGATGTTAGACTGATTGGGCGGTAGTTAGAGGATAGTGATCTAACCCCCTTCTTGAAAATCGGTATTACATTTGCTATCCTCCAGGATTCTGGTACTACACCTGTTTTTAAGGACATGTTAAACAACTTTGCTAAGGGCATACTAAGCTCTTCCTTACATTCCTTTAATAATCTGGCAAATATCTCATCGGGACCAGGTGACTTATTAGGCTTTAGTTTGTCTATTTGCTTACTAACATCGTTACAAGTCACTACTATCTCACTTAATTTGTTTTCTTCACTATCTCTGAATAGAGTCGGTGCCTCGGGTATCATGTTTAAATTTTCGGTGGTGAAAACTGTTGAAAAATAATTATTCAAATTATTGCTCATTTCTCCGTCGTTATCAGTGAGCTCGCCGGAGTCTGACCGTATTGGTCCAATCTTTTCTCGTGTTTTAGTTTGATACATTTGGTAGAATCCTTTGGGGTTTGTCTTCGCCTCCCTTGCTATCCTTACCTCATTATTCCTCTTTGCTTTCCTTATCTCGGTTTTAACCCTACTCGCCAATACCCTATAATAGTCCCGGAGGTGAATTTCGCCACGATTTATCCTTCTACCTATAGCCTTCCTTTGGCCAATGATGTTCTTTAAATAATTATTTATCCATTTAGGGTCATTGTTGTCTGCTCTGAGTTTTTTGTATGGTATGTTCTGCCTTTGTGCATTAAGTAACTCACTATTTAAATTGTCGTGGAACTCGGCAATCTCAGATCTCGTTATCAGGTCTGTGTCATCTGTCAGGTTCGCGGCCAAGCGCGACACCCCCTCTCTCAGCTGCCTCTTTAGACTGTCAAAGTTTGCCCTTCTGAAATCTGGTACTTTAGTGGAATTTTCCTTACGTCTGCCCTGAAAATCTAACTGGAATCGAATTTCTTTGTGATCGCTGTTTGCAAGTTCGTTCCCTACCTCGACATTGCTAATGAGGT